CGATGCGGGAGCCATTCCCTCATAAGTCCGCCTGCGTCTGCGAGAAATTAGCACGGCGAAAGGACGACCAGCTATAACACGCACCGAGCCGGCCAACCTGGTCTTCGCTCGTTTTCGGGCATGCCCAGGAAGTAGGTGCGCGTTTGCAGGGTCCCCAAAGTCGAAGTTCGGAATGTCGTCGACTGCTGGTTCCGATGGAAGTGGCTGCGAGGACAGACCGGTCGTGGACGGCCCAGAGGCAGATGGCCCGGCGATGGGTGCATCGATTTGGTTCCGCCTGTAAACCTTGCGGGCACCAGTGAATATCGTTCCTCGTCGACGTTTCGGTAACGCGCGTGCGCATCACCTTTGCCCGCGGCTTCACTCCGGCCTGTATGATACGTCGCGACATCGTGGGATGAGCAGAGCAGCGATGGCAAAGCCAACCGTGTGATTCAAACAAAATTGTGACGTGGCAGCTGCTCCCTCGCCGAACCCAGTGAGGCGAGACCATTGGACGGCCGACCGTCGGGTGAAGGACGCAAGGGCGCGACGGGTCGTTATGAATACGGCCTTATGCGCTTTCAGTTAGACCGTACAAAGACCGCAATCGATTTCCAGACGGACTCCCAAGCGCAAAAGTTCAAATACATTAATGCCCGCGCGCTGAAACACTACACTACGTCTACGCCGCGGCAACCTGGTAGCGATGCCTGTGCTGCTCACAAAGGTCCGTCACGTACCTTCGGACGACCTCTGCCTGCGCAGGCGTCGCGGACACGACCTGCATGAGCCAGGAGAATACCTGGCCCGTCGATCGCGACCACAGGAGCTTCGTCACCGTCAAAACCACTCCATCCGACCTGATAAGCGTCTCCGGGCTCGCCTTTCACAAGTGAGTAGAAGAACAGGCCGCAAAAGTACAAACTCACCATTCGCTCGCGGGCAGCTCCCTGCGCTGGGCGTGTCCGGGGAACCACGGCTGCATGTCCTCAATGATCCAGTCAATCCGCTCAAACAGACCCTCCAGCCCGATGGAGCGCGACGGCGTTGCGATGGCGCCACTTGGTCTATTTAGACGGGCTGCGGCAGGTCGACAACGGGGATGGAGGCGGCGGAGTACGGCGGTGGTGGAGGGTCGTCAACGCAGGCGTCATCCACGCCGGTCTGCGTCACCTCGGCACCAGACGGAGGGGTGGTGGAGGGAGGGCGCGGGCGACGGCCGGAGGTGCGAGAGAGGCCGGACTGACCGTGAAGGCCGGACAGAAGACCGTGCTGGCCGCGGAGGCCTCGGCCGGAGGGGTCGTCGCGCCGCTGGACTGCCAGGCTTGGGGCGAGGCCACGCACACCCGCCCCGCCGGGTTTGAGTCGACCGTGCACGCAGCTGCGGGAGGGACGGGCGCGGGGGGTGTCGCATGGAAGGCCGTGGCGCGTGGGCCAGGACGGATTGCGCGGGGCGCGTCAGAGGGCGAGGGCGTCGCGGAGGTGGCGGGAACGGCCGAGGCGGACGGCCTGAAGGAGGCGGGGCGCGAGGGCCGACAGGAACGGCGGGAAGACGGCGAGGGGATGGGCGCGACGAAGCGGGCATGAGTGCGGGGTGGGGGAGAGACGTTGAAGTCCGGTTGATGGACTGGAGGCTTAAGTGATGGGCAAACCGCGCAGCCACAGGCCGCGCAGCCACCATCAGAACCAGTCACATGCCGTTCAGACGGCCTGTGATCTGATCATCTCGGCGAGCGCTCGAGGATCACGGTCTTCGATTGCTAGCGCCCGCGGCCTCCCGGCGCCTGCACGGCCTTCCGCGCTGATTTTCGAAGACCGGGCTGGCGCGGAAGCCGCACGAGGCCTCTGCCTGCACCTCGGCGGAGACTGCATTCGGCACGCCGCCGAGATAGAACGGCATAAGGCGGAATCTTATGCCTTTTAGTTGACAGCCGGTAAGTTGGGCAGCATTTCGTTTGCGCGCATTTCCAACGTCGTACGCACTATGCCGGCCTCTGAGTCGGTGGCCTTGGAGTCCGGAACAGGCGCGTTTTGACGCATTTGCCACACTATGTACATTCGATATTGAATACAATACGTACAGAATGTCGCATATTCACGCTGGTGGCGCGTACGCTCCCGGTGCGTGCGTCATGCCGCTTGTTGACCATAGGTGGTGCACGATTCGATAAAGCACCACCTCCTGCTCCGGGTGCGCCGCCACGACGACCATCGACCACACGAGCGGAGGGCCCCTCTCCCGCCAGAGAATTTTGTACACGTGGACCATGGGGCCCACGCGGATTGCATCTGTTGCATGCCTTCGTCTGCGCAAAATGAGTACGCGGGTGTAGCCATGAGACCGGGCACTCACATTGAGTTCGTCGGGTCGGGCACCCCGCGCGAGTCGCCGTGGTAGTGCGGCTGCATGTCGCGGACCAGCTCTATCATGGTGCGGAGGAGGTCACGTAACGACACCGTGGCACGGGTCCAGGGTCGGTTGTAGTCCGGACGCAGGTATGCCGGCCAGGTCCACTGCTGGTGGAAGTCTTGTGCCCCGTACAGGGCGGGGGAACCGGAGGAGGCGACGCATCCCAGATCTCGCGAGGAGCGCCGCCTGCGAGGCCCATCGGGCTCGCTGCAACAGGCCCAGTCGCAGGACCTTGGACATGGGTGAGATGGGAGTTGGGAAGCAGGGCCCGGACGCTCACCTTGCTCAGGCGCGTCGCGCGCCGGCAAACCAGGCTCCGCAGCAATTGCTGAACCAGCGTTGCCGCCTGATACGCGTCACGCAAGGTAGGTCAGTAGTTAGTGGCAGGGCGTGGAACGGAAGGGCGCACCAAAGGCGGTGGCCGCAAAACCATCCCCCGCGACGGGATCTGAAGGCGGGGGAAGCGCAGCAAAGGCCGTCGGGGCCGCGAGGAAAGCCGCTGGACCGCGCGCAGTGCCGCGACCGGGTCACTCAAGCCAGCTGGGGAGTCGGAGCGATTGAAACGTGAGGGCGGGGAAGACATGATGGCTTCAAGGGTGGGGGAAGAGATGGAGGTGCGGAGGACGGGCGAGTATATGTAAGGCGCGTTAAGCGACCACTCTGCCGGTGCGGCAATCTAATCTGATGGGAAGTGACTCACCAACGACTAACGGACGGCGTGTTGCGCAAGGAGCTGGCCAATGAGAACGCTAAATCGAAAGGCAGACGGGAGGGAGTACGCGTCGGGCGGGCGCTTCGGAGTCAGCAGGTACGGACGGAGGCTCGCGGGAGCAGCGGAGCGCCCCTGCGTGAGCCCAGGGCTGTTATCAATGACATATTCGTTCGTTTTATGCCTCACTCATCGCAGTCTCCGCGAGCTTCGGAGGCGGTTGCGATTTCTCCAGGCAAATCCGGATCCGCGCGGCCATTTCCGAAAAGGCCGATCAGATCGCGCGTCCTCAATGGGAGGCCGCACCGTGCCCAGCAGCCAGGCCGCAGGCTTACGCCTGCGGTCTCGGCTGGCCTATGGTCATGCAGACCGCCGACATTACCCAACCGAGGGACCCCCTGCCAGCCGACCCATCCGACGCAGGAGGGGACAGCCGACATTGGAAAGGCGGATGGTGTGGCTGCCCGACATCGGCGTGTCCGATGCATATCGTGCAGCCCGACCGCGGCCACCCGATGCTCATGGAGATATCCGATGTTGGGTACCGAATGAATTCGCCCTGAGGTTGAAGAGGCGGAGCGGGAGGCCGGCCGACCTCGACTGCCCGATGAGTATGGGGCCCACCGACATCGGCCATTCCTATGGTGTTAGGGGCACCCGACGTCGGGTCGCCGGTCTTCGAACGTCTTAACAGGAAAGGCCGCAAGGTGCACCCATCCGACGCCGGCCAACCGATGGCCATAGATGCATCCGAGGTCGGTTGCACTATGCTTATAGGGCAGGTGTAAAAGCCGTTGCGGTCTTATACCAGCCGATGTCGGGTACCCAATGGGGATCGGATGGCTCAGTAATAACAGCTCGTACTGTATACATTACTATGCTACACTGACCCGTCGGCCGTCCCAATGACTATGGACGCAGAAGACCGCCGGCTGCCCAAACCCCATAGGCGGAAGAGGACGCATCGGCCGGCGTCGGCTGCTCGATGGCATGGGCTTAATGGATGCCTCGGCTCACTAATGCTCATGGGCAAATGCGCTGAATGGGCTCTATGCCGGCTGGGAGCCGATGATGACACAATTACTCAACGTGAGTCTACGCTGATCGTGAGACTATTCGAGCTGACGCTGATGGCTTTACCGTACAGTGCGCAGAAAAGGTCACGCTGTGGGCAATCAACACCATCCCTCACCTACCAACGTACGTCGGGGAACGCGTTGCACTACTAGTGGATGCGTTTCCGTAAGGATTTACGGACGTCTCATTCACTCTAACTGGCTTCAGGCGGAGCCTGAACGTGTTTTAGAGCCTTCCTCCAAATCCGTAACACATGTTTAGAAGCCAAGACACGTATTCTGCACCTGCTAACGTGGCTTCCCTTGCATACTGGTGTGCCCCGCACCGCGAAGAGAAGGTATCTGCGCGATGATACAACTTACAAGGAGCTGCGAGTACTTATACAGTCACTTCGAGCCATCGAGGACTTTGGCAACTATTCAGTCACTGCATGTAAGTGCTGTGCCTATATAATCATTCATCACACGAGGAATGACTGGTATTCGACAACATCTGAATCAGAACGATGTCATTTTGAAGCCTCCAAGTTGTTGCCACTGTCTCTGCACAGTGAACGACCAGCGCACAGACTCTAACGTCCGTGTGCTCGATGTTCACGAGGGGTCCGCCGAGGCGCCCGTCGAGCAGTGCGAACCTCGCGCGCGTACAGAGAGGGGCGATTCCCGTCTCCGGATGTAGAACGTCGATGATCAGACTGAAAAGGCGCGAGGAGGAGAGGGCGTCACAGTCAGTGGGAAAGCCCAGTGACTGCGGTAGAAGTCGACGACGCGTCCCTACAGGGAGACGGCAGCCAGAGACTCCGTCAGCGAGAGACGGACTCGAAGAGAGAACGTACCTCTATGTACAAGCCCGGGGGTGGCAAAGCCAGGCATGGGCGGAGGACGCGCGAGAGAGAGGAGGCGAACGTGCAGATGAAAGTGAAAGACCCTGAGTCACCGTGAGCGTCCATTCGAAGTACGCGGTACGTGCAAGCATGAATATGGACTTCCGTAATCTACTGGGCGGCTACTCTCAGGCTACGACGCGTGAACAAGTGCGGATCGCGATCCAGCTCCCCCTTATACGCCTCCCGGAAGGCCTGAGTCCGTCAGGCCTTCAGGCCCTGTTCAAGAGCCCTAACACCGTGAGCATTACTATAGGTTTTGAGCGCCTGTTGCATGACTTGTGGTGGGATCGGTGGCAGGGGCGAAAAGCTGTTTCCACTCTGCCGGAGACCGGGCTAGGAAGCTCGACCTGTAACCTTACCTGCCCAAGTGCACACCCGCCAGCGAGGGCACGGGCTCCGCACGCGTGAAGGCAGGTGCGCGGGTCCACGGGCAAGTAGGAGAGCATGAGCCCGAGCGAGCAGGTGCGCGGGCAAGTGGCCAATCGCGTGGGCGAATTGGTGAACAGGTGGGCGGCCGGCCAAGCGGGTGGATGAGATCACGGGCGAGAGAGGGTGAGGCGGGCCGAGGGCGAGAGGGAGGGCGAGCGTGTGGGCGGGCAAGCGGGCGGTACATAAGCGAGAGCGCGAGGGCAAGCGGGCGAGGAGGCGAGGCCGGCTGGCCGGGCCATCAAACGAGTGGGCGAGTGAGCAGGCAGGCGAGCTAAGTAGCCAGAGGGCAAGGGCAGACGGGCGGGCGTGTGGTGGCAGCCGTCTAGGTGAGAGCGGACGGGCGGGTGCGAGCTACCAAGAGCGCGAGCGGGCAAGAACACTTTATAATATATTCGAGCAAGGTCAATGTGGTGCTCTTCGTGTATCAAGGCATTTGACAGCTACTCACATTCACTTTGTGTTCAAGTACATACTTAGCAAAGGCAAACTAGGTAGTGTTATGCCACATTGATACTACTCGGTGTAGTGCGTATATCGTGAGGTCAGGCCTGTGTAGGTCTTCCCTCGGCTTGCTACCCAGAGGATGAACCAACTGTAGTGATCACTCACCATATCAGACATTTTTCAATTGTGACGCGCATACAAAAAACGAAGCACAGTACGCAGTCTCTGCCACGATCCAACACCCAGCAACACCGGAAAAGGTAATCCGGCAAATGCCGACACACAGTGAAGCCTCCTACCACCTCCTACAATCGACTCTAGATGTCGCATCAAGTAAGGGGGTCCGAACCCCCTTGTTTGATCGTCGTGGTTAGAGCAGCGTTCACGACGTTTCAGAGCTAGACATTTGCGCGCCTGCAGCAAAATATATTTCCCGTTATCTTGATCCCAACGCCGCTGCCGGCATCACGGCCGCCTTTCCTATTGCAGTTATCGGCCTTCAGGATATTCATGCTCAACCTGTTTACGGCGGGCCTCACGGGCGCTTCTTCCAGCTCATTAGAGGTTTAGAGCCATCAAACCGCATCTAAATCCTTACGGAAACGCATCCAGTAGTCGGCGACGCGGTAAGTGCACGCCTTAGTCATGAAACCCCGTCAAACCGAATCAACATCTGACTCTCCTACCAATGACAGGCACATGCGATGACCCCTCATCAGGCTTCTGGAGCGGGTCAAGCAATCGAGGTAAGCCCGCTCTATTCTCACTATCCTCCCAATGCACGAGGCCCGCCTCTAACATCCACTCAGGACGGCTTCGTCCTCGCTAGCCTCCTCGCAGACCCGCGCGCGACCCGCGAGACGCTCCCGCACGTGCTCCAGGCGTACGACGCCATCCGCCGCCCTTTCTCTCAAGACATCGTGCAGCGCTCGCGCACGTCCGGGATGCTCTACGACTTCCTCCTCTCGCCGTCCGAGGCTGGCGGCGACGCGGTGGGCGTGGTGGGGGACTCGGCGGCGGATGACCTTGCTAGGAGGAGTGCGCTGGCGCAGCGGCTGATGTTGTGGACGAACCAGACGTCTATCATGAGTGACAGGGATCGCGCCTTGCAAGCGTTGGATGCTGCCCTCGCGGCGGAGTCTGGAAAGGTCGAGTAAGTTATTTTGCATCGCGAGCTGCGTGATTGTGATTTCACGTCTCTAAATGTATGTGTGCAATTCGAGACTCGTGACATGCCGTGGCTCGCTGACGCAAATTCTGAAGCATCAAGGTGCAGTACATGAGGCCTACCGCCTTAAGGGCTGCCGTGGTTTCAGCGAGCAACACAGCCACACTTCCGAGTCGTTGTCTGATGTCTCTCAGGTGACTAGACTGAGGCTGCTCCAGATTATTCCGCGCAAAGGATCATTTGCTACGTGATTTTGAAGAGTTCGACCATCCAGCGGACACTACGAATCTGCATATAGTCAACCAGCAGGCCGATGACTTGTAGAAGCAAGTACGAAAGGTCCGGGCCTGCGGCGGCGCGCACCAGTGCCGGATTTGGCAGTACAATACTTGCCTCAAACGCGCGGCGTCGATTCTGCGACTTGCCACTTATCCACTACACGGGCCTAACTTGTACTACACGTTCTCGTATACGCTACTTATTTCCCGTGAGCGCAACTCGCTAGGGAAAGTTGGTCGTCATGATGGCGCCGTTGCCACCTCATCCGCGATGCGAAGTTATGTCTGGTGAGTGTCATTCTCGACGGAATGAGAGGCCCGGATTGCTTACCGTGGACCTTGTGTCTCGGTACGCGTTGCATTATCAAAGAGACTCAGCACGCATTCTTGAATATGCTCTCCACTGCGCAGTCATAGTAAGTCGGCAGTGTTCTCTCGGAGTCCGAGACAGGTGTTGATGGCACTCTTGCAGATACTTCACACCTACGACAGCGCCAACCAGGCTGGTACGCGGTGAAAGTTTGAATCCCGATAGTTGAAATCATGACCTCACTTCGGGATGTGCCCCTCGCTGGGTCGTTTCAACGGTCCATCACGTTTCAGCCGCTTCGCGTATCGTGCAGAACTTGTCCACAAGTCGTCGATGAATATGTACTTCCCGTACAGCATCAGCACCCATGTATCCGAATCATCCTACTAGTATCTGTCACTAGCTCCTAGTCGCATTTTGAATCTCCTCATCTCTATAACAATGGACCCTCGACTCAAGGTGGCAATTATGTGAGTGACGGGCTTATACGCGCTAGAGAGGACGCTCACTAAACCCCTGTGGAAACAGCGGCGCGGGAATCGGAGGTCTCACTCTGGCCATAGCTTTGCACAAGCTCAGCCCGAACATTGGCACTGTCGACATTTACGAGGCCGCACCTTCGTTCCCGGATATTGGCGCTGGCATCATACTATGGCCTCGAAGCTGGGAGATCATGCAGGCTCTCGGTTTATCTGACGACCTGGCCGCTGTCGCCTCTGGTCACGTAAAAGACGGCAGTGAGCTGATTGACAATGTGTGATCCTAGGATTCACTCAGAGGATGCTCTCGTAGGCCACACCATGCACATACGAAAGTCGGACGAAAAAGAAGACATCACGTTTGTGCACATGGAGCAGTCCGGTGCGTACGGCTCTGTCCGGTACACATGTCCGTTGAACACCTCTCGTTACTAGGCGGAACGTCTTTTTACCGCTCGCATCTCCTGGGATGTCTCAGGAAGCATGTCCCCGATTCGTGCCACATTCACTTCGACAAGCGGTTGGAATCATACACAAAACTGCCCACAGGTGACATTAGGCTGATCTTCACGAACGGCACCCAGGCAACCCATGACCTCGTTGTTGGATGCGATGGCGTTAGATCGACTGTCCGTGCGCTCCTCTATCGTTCGCTTGGTGAGGAAGCAGAGAGGGCCGGTGAACAGTCGAAAGCGTCGGAGTATTCATCCAAAGCGGACCCTGTTTGGAGTGGAAATGTAGCCTATCGTGGCCTGGCACCACGAGCGGTACTCGAGGAAGCCGTCCCAAACCACCCTGCATTCGCGGGCGGTGTCTTTGTTGGTCTTTCTCTTAGATGAAAGAATCTCGGGTACTGAGACGTGATGCAACAGTTGCTAGGAAAGGACAAGGTACTCATCCATTCCCAGCCGAAAATGCTCTACTGCCCCGCAGGTCTGACGCTGAATCCAGCACATCATCCTCTATCCGATCGCCCAAGGAAAGTTTGTCAACGTCGTCGCCCTAGTGTCAAGACAGAAGCTAGAAGGAACGCAGTACGCGGCGAGCTGGATACGAGAAGCCGGCAAGGAAGACGTCCTGTCCGAGTATCACGGCTGGGAACCCATGGTCAGTGCGACACTCAAAGTAAGTCAATGCACCTACTCGGTCTATCACCTCTTACCGGTTGTAGGCGATGGAGAGGACCGACCTCTGGGCCATCAATGTCGTGCCCAATCTGCCTACATACGTCGGCGACGGCATAGCCCTGGTCGGCGATGCGGTACGCTGCAGCCACTCGTTCAACGACGCGTTGCTGATGAGGTCGTTTGAGACAGGCCCATGCCATGACCACCCATCTGGGCGCAGGAGCCGGGCAGGCTGTAGAGGTAGGCCGTTCTTATCTGACGAACATTCCGGTGCCATTCGCGTCGTTCTATACCCAGGATGCTTTCGTACTTGCCAGCTTGCTAGTGCACCCCACTGCGACAGCCAAGACCTTGGCCACGCACTGCGGGCCTATGACGAGGTTCGCAGGCCGCTCACTCAATGGGTCGTCGAGCGGTCACGAGAGTGAGGCCTGACGGAGGAGTTCAATATGCTGCCTTCGACAGGAGACGAAGGCGTGAGGGATCCTGAGCGCGATCTTCAGCAAGTGGTGGAGCGGATGAAAGAGCTGTTCTCTTGGGCGAAGGAGACTTCGGCCATAGCAGATCGCGACAAAGCGATGGCGATGTTTGAGGCAGCCCTCGTCAGCTGAACTACCACACTGTCGTACTTCATTTCGCTTCTAAAGTATTTCGTGCAACTTCCCAATACCGACGCCTTCAGCCAAATGCGGGCTTGCAGGACCCGGTGGTCCGTGAGATCGGTTGCATGATACGTGCAGTCCAGAAGAATTACAGCAGTTCTGTCGACTTCGACTCCGACACGAGCACTCTACTACAGGTATACATCGTACACATCGCCACCAGAGTATAAGACACAACATAACCGGAACTTCAATGCAAAGCGCAGAACGTCTAGTTGTCATGGAAGGGTAAAGGCCAATCCTCAATCATGCGACATAACTCATGTACAAGAAACACATTAATCCATCCACAAGACCACGCCGAGCTCGTGCGCACCCCGTCACTCGTCACTACCCGCGTCCGGGCCCTCTATATCCGGTCCTTCCTTGTCCTTCTCAGGCCCTGGTATTGATTCGACCTCCTCGCCCATGCTCCGTTCTCGCTTGATGTGCTCCGCGACGATGAGGCCCGTGCGCTCGCCCGTCAGCGGACTGCTCTTGAACCTGAGGCCCTTGGGCGCAGTCATCGACCCAGCGCCGCAGACGCTGCACGCCGCTTCCGTTCGAGCATAATCGCGTGCTCCAACGAAGGCGACGGGGACGTGCTCCGCGAGGCCGGCTTGCTCGACGCGGCGAGCAAGGGAGGCGCGAGACTGGTAGACCCCGACGGTCCAAGACGGGGAGAGCTGGTGGGGAAAGCCGAGAGCGCGCGCGAGACTCGAGGTGGACGATCTCCGGCACGGCCGCAGGAACAGCAATACTGTCCGCCTTAACAAGGCATCGGAGGCGTCGGGCGGAGGGTCGTTATTCACCTGCTCTACCAGTATGCCGGGGCCAGGTCAATACGCGTGGGTTCAGGAGACTCGACAACCTCGCCCTCCGGGACCGGAGCAGGCGTGCTGTCTCCGTCCTTGGGACGAGCAGCGGTCTTGTCTCTAGGTGTCGGTGGGGCACTCCGAGAGCGGGATATCTTCCCGAGGGCCATCAAGTTCAGCGGGTTCAGGCCGCGCAACGCCGACGGTTTCACGATGGACGGCGGCGGAAACTTGTAAGGTTGGCCGGGAACGCTGACGGTCTCCGCGGCAGACGAGGGTGGTGAGGACACAACGACAACGGGCGCAATCACCGCTTGTCAGCGTCCGCAGAAGCTACTAGCTGAGGAGCAGAGCGCCTGCGACGAATCACCGCGCCTCCCGGCATCTTGAGCTTCTGCGCCTTGGGCTTGGACTCGCCGGCGTAGGCCAACTCCGGATGTCCCTGAGGATCAAACTCGTCGTAAATCTCCTCACCAATCAGCTCTGTGAAATCAGACGACGTCAGGATATACGCAATCAGAGAGGAGGCGTGGCCTCATACCTTCAAGGACATCTTCGAGTGTGATGATGCCGAAGGGCATGACCGCCGGGTCCACGCTCTGCAAGAACTCTTCCGCATTCTCAGTCGACAGCACAGCATCAGCGGGCATATCTTGTTCCCGACCCCAGAAGCCGCGGCCCGGCGGAACAGACAAGCCCGGCAGCCTGCTCTTGCTCTTGCTGTCCTCCTTCTTCTCGTCCTTGCCATCTGAGGTACTCACGGCACCCATTCCAAGTCGACGTCCTCCGGTTTCGCGGCCTTGTGCTTTCTCCTGCCCCGACCCCGAATGCGCGCATCTTTTTCGGGCGCGGTATAGCACCCTCCTCCTCGCTGCCGTCACCGTGGCTGGACTCGCGAAGAGTCGTAGCATTTGCGCTGCCGGTGCTACTGCTCTTGCTCTCATCGCTCTTCTTGCGGCGCAAGTTCCAGCGCTTAGGCGGCGCCGCGGCCTCATCATCGCTGCTGGACTCGTCCTCGCTGTCCGTGTCGCGGATCGCGGACCGCAGGCGCTGCGTGAGGCCCTGCTTGACGGCCTTCTTGACGCTCTGCGCGCGCTCGACACTGAAGCGCGACACGATCGCGATGTGGGAGCGGCCCTCCTGGAACTTGTCGAGGAGCCCGAGCAGCGGCTCGTTGTGCGGCACGATCGGCACCTTGTTCAGCGGGATCTTGCGCACGGGCGTGGCATCCGCGGGATCTAGCAACACACACTGCTTCACCAGCAAGATCCCAATGATCTTCTTTGCCTTGATCGTCTTCGCGCTCGGCGAGGCGCCCCCCGCGCTCGTCAGAGCCTCAGCGGGGTCCTTGGCGCCCGCCTTGCCCGCCTCTCTCACAACAGGCGTCCCGGCGACCGCCGTCGGGGCGGGGATGTCTACCTCCTCATACACCGGCACACGCGAGTGGCCCGTCTGGCAGATCTTCCGCAGCGTCTCGTAGTCAAGCTTCGCGTCGATGCTTAGCATGAACACATTCTCAATCGACGTCATTGCCTGCTTTACGACCTTTTCCTGCAGATCGAGCGCGCCTCCGATAATCGTGACGGTGTCCTTCCTTAGGTCTCCGCCGAGCTCACCCACATCAGAGTGCATTGCGATGAGCTCCTTCAGCTCCGCGCGCCGGTAGATAATACCATGGTGGGGGCCGAGCGCGAACTCGAGGAGCTTCGCGACGGGCCAAGCGACGATGGCCTGCCATTGCGATCTTTTAGTGTGCGACATTGATAGCTCACCGAAGAGAGCACTCACAAAGGCATAGATCAATATCTGCACTACGCCCGCCATTTTGGCGCCAAAGAACAATCCGTAACGCGTACACAGCGACTGCGGGATAATCTCAGAGAAGCTGTAATCGATAACGATGGTCAGTATCATAATTCAGTCGAAGTCGCAAAGTAAATATGACGCCTGTTCAGGACCAAGGTGAAGATAGGCCACACTGTGCCTCCAATCAGTGAGGCTCCTTCCCGTTGCGCGTCTCGCTGTACAACCGAGTTTGGTCATAACGCTAGCCTTCACGATGCTTACAGGCACCATGAGACGCGCAGCCGATCGCGGAGACACGTATCACGTGGCTCAGCGCGTGTGCAGTGACGCGTCTGGGCGGCCCCGAACATGGACCCGTGAACGCGAATGAATGGGACAGTGACGAATAGCGGCTGGGAACGGAGGAAAAGACCAGACGAGGCGAGACGTGGCACTCACATCACGACGAGCGCGGTACTGACGACGACGGCCTGGACGCCACCGCCGAGGACGGGGTCCGCAATAACAGGCAGGGTCTCGTTCGTGATCATGTTCGCGAGGAGGAGCGTGACGAGGAGCAGGTGCCCGTTCTTGCGGATCGGCTTGATCCTGTTGGCATACTCCTTCTGCTTTCTGCGGCGGCGGTCAGCGGTGGCTACGCGGATGAGACAATGGGCTCACGCAGTGCCACTGATACTAAGCACGTTCAGCTGGGTCTCGTCGAGCGACATGTAGCCGAGGGTTAGCCCGGCAAATATGCCAGACAAGATGACGAGCACGGGGATGAGAACGCCATAGGCGGCCTTCTGGCCAGTAGAGAGGCTGTCGCGCTTGGCGAGCTGGTGAGTGCCGTGGGGGTCGCTGCGAAAGAAGGGCACATGCTGCAATGCGGCGGAGAGAGCAGGGAGGAGGAGTCGCTGCAGATGGAGGCGAGTTGTGGTCGGTAACATTCGACGGGCGTGGTGGTAGGGAGAGGGAGGCCGGCGCTCTGCCCCGCATTAAGTAACTCGCGCCAACCCTGCCGCCTAAAGTCTATCATGCGCCGAACCGCTTGGCAGATAAGCTCCGGGGTTCTTCTTTCAAGCTCCGAAATGCTGCGATGTCCCACGCTTACAGAGTCATTCATATCGGTCGTTATAACTTGTGCGGCGTTTGCCACCGGCAACCCGGCATCCGCGATCGCACTGGCGCAGCGCCGAGAACGCTCTGTCGTTGTGTACGCTCCTGTACTGACCATTTCCGCCATCTTGTCCTTCACGACAGTCCTTTTGTCTTGTGGCTTATTCCTCACCTTATTAGCTCGATGCTTTCAGAAAGATTGGCAGTTGCTCTGCCTTCCTCAAAGCAGTGTTTGTGCGAGTCTACCACGGGACCAATTTCACCATGTACTTACAGTACGTCATCCGTTCCGCCAGGATCCCCAGTTGGTAGCGCCCAGCTGTACGGCAAACCCGAGTCCTCCGGATTCCAGCGTGCAATGCCGTCTGAGCACCATTGATCATCGACATGTAAAAAGTGACTGTACATGAGTTGCAAGCACAGTGATCAAAGATAAGTGAGTCCCCCAGCGAGCGCTGATGTCATTCAAGCAAGCGTCTGTGTCGTACTTATCGCAGCCCAGCGCAAAGTGAGCGCACGCAAAACTGTTGTCTGATTGCATCTTATACAGTATCTCTGCACAGGCTCGCACCTACTCACGCATAATTGCGAGCATGCTGGTTATGTTTACTGACTGACGATGTCTACAGGTCAGTACAATGCGTCAGATTCCGCAACTGTGGCACCATTACCATATCTGGCTTACCCCGTTGTTCATGTTGAAGCGCCCATTGACTTCGTACCGACCATTGTTAGTTTGATTGACCTTTCTCTCATTGCATTGGCACTCCCTCGAACTATGGTTTCGTCGCGATTCCGTGAACAGGAACCCAAGCTCCCCCCACCCGTCATAAGCTGTGCACTTCCTCTGAAAATTTCCACCCCTCGTCCAGCGAGAGTACCACCGGCATGAAAAGCATGCCGCCAGCATTGCATCCTCGACTCCGCAGCAAGGGTCATACCTTGTCATACCTGCTCCCCAAAATCCTCGTCACCTCTCGAATCACCTTGACCGAATGTGCTCTCGCTGCCCACACAAGTCTAATCCTCTCCACTAGTGCGTCGAAGGGTGACGCCGAACGGCGAGAACTCCAGTTGGACCAGCCCCGAGTCCGAGCCAGGACTCGGGCCTCAGGACTCTGTATCCGGGCTCTTTCAGAAGGTCTCCTGCGATGACCTGGAGGCCGTCTGGAACGTGCTGGAGCAGCGCGAACGCACAGCTTCAAGCTTCGCGCGGGGCTGTGGGAAGCCTCGCACTCCGACTCGCAAGCAGTAACTTTACATACTAGTGAAGCCCTCGACATGTTTCTCCCCGTGGATTGCACCCGCACTATGACCTCGAGGCTCCGAGTCCCCGGCGGCAGTCTGCTCCTTCGTGGCGCCCCCCGGTCGATGATTGCATGGGTTATCGCTGGGAACGATCCGGTGAACCCTGCGAGTTTGGGCGATTTCGACCATGCCTGGGGATGTGCCCGGCCCTCTAACGGCAATCTGCCTGCGTATTCACGCACACATGGACCCGACCTTCGGCGCCGAGTAGCTCGGGTCCTCATAAAACTTCACAGGGTGTTTTCGGACTGCTTATTTGCAGCGTGGACTAGGCGTCATGCAGTGCTTCGCTACATCACAGACGTTTGTCTTCAGTTGCACAAGTGATTGAAAAGTGATTGAACTCTACTTCATCACGCCAGCCTTCGAGTACTCACTATGCACCCGGTAAGAATAGCAGGCCGGCGGGAAATGCTCATAGCAAAGGTGTATCTCCGGTACCAGTATCGACTGAATTGTCCGACGCATGCGCACGCAGCCTGACGAAGTGGAAGAGAATCGAAGCCTGAGCTTGATGTGTATACCTATCGCGGCTCGCTCTGTATGTCACAGCAATGTCCTACCCATCTCCTCTCGCCCCCTTCTCGCCATGGGCAACGTTCACCGCGCAGGGAACTCCGTCGCCCCAGCGGACACTAGAAGTACGCAATACTGCGTCCGCGTGGCCAATCCGCGCGTGCACACGCTAGCGCGGAGCGGTCAGTAGCACGAAAACTTCAACTTAGCTTCAGAAATGGCTGTGGTGCTTTGGGCGATCTAGAGGGGTGACGCAGCGCGATGATACCAGAACGGCGCCGCCGAGCACATCCAAGCCGCACCCAAATCTATCTGCTCTGATCCAGGAGGATGGGGCATGGACGATCGGGCTGAGCCGCTCTGTGGTATATAAGCAGAGGTTTCACCCGCATTGATGTCTCCCCGTTGCTTTGCCCCCCTCGAGCATCACCTGCACCCTAATACTCACGTATAATCCAGCGACACACCCTTTCTCTAGACTAGTACCTACCACGATGTTCTCCACACTCATCTCCCTCTTTGCCGCTACGAGCCTCGCGCTCGCCTTCCCTCTCGCACCGCGCACCGGCGCCTGGTGTGAGGGTCTCGGGATCACTTACGACACTGCCTCCAACTTCACGCTCGCCGCGCTCAACACGACGCTGGCGAATGCCAACTCGACTGGCGCGCCGCTTGTCGCTGGGCAGAACGGTGCGACGGACGGCGCCGAGTTCGAAGTGCTTTCTGTACGCCACACGTCCATTCTCGCTTCCATATCCATCTGACCATGTTATCGATAGACCTGGGCGACCTACCCGTACCTGGACTTCCCGACGATGTCGCTCGACTCGGGCGTCCTCATCCCTAACTCGGCGAACGGCGTGCCGTCCTACGACATGGCCGCCTCCGCCGGGCAGCCGCTCCAGTTCTTCACGACCTCGCAGTCGCCGTCTGGGCGGGTCGCGCAGATCTACTGTGCGATCGTGGACACCGACCCGGACTTCGAGGGCCCACCGACGCTCGCGGTGAACGGCGACGCGGACGGCTTCGCGCTCTGCATGAACGGCGACGGGCCGTACGCGCAGAACAACGTCGTGTGGCGCCCGACGGCGGACAACAACGGCGCGTACCTGTACGAGACGTGCTACAACGTCACGCTGCAGATCGTCGGCGGTAGCGCGTGAGAGAGGATTCATATGGCGGACAGTGATCAAAGAAGGGACAATCGGACTGCCTGAACTGAAAAGCGGACATGTAAGCCTGCCTAGACACACGGACACGTTTGCGAATTGGGACTTGAACGGACTTCGACCCTTAGAATAGATCTCGGACTGCATGGACTACGTACCTTCTCCTCTTGTCGAATTGTCAGAAGTAGTTCATCGTTCCTCGCTGCGTCTTAATACCGACTCTTCCACAGGACATCGATAATACCGAAGCTGTTCGCAATGCTGAGAAGCATAGCATCTCCTAGCAAGCTATGTTCCTTGGTCTTCGAGCAAAAGGCACGTACCAAGCATGGTAGCATGTGTCATCCACCCCAACGCCGACTGAGTGGCCTGCGCCCTGAGCACGCGGTTCAGGCCCTCCCTCTCCACGCAGTTCTCAAACTTGAAGCTCTGCGCGACCCTGTCCAGTTCTTCCTCTTCCATATCGCGGAAGTGCTCCGCCCATTCCTTGACCACGAACTCGCCGACGAGGATGTTCCGCGCGAGCACCTCCATGCGGCGCGGGAGTGTCCAGATCGGGTACGGGTAGAGCCGCTGGTGGTCCTCGTCCGGCACCTCCTTGCGGATTAGCTCGACCAGGGGGTCGTACACGTCGCGCACGTAGCGGTCGTCCGCGCCCCATGCGTCGACAGCGAGGCGGTACTTCTTGTGAAGGTGCTCCTGGAAAAGCTGAATGTACGGCGTCGAGCGCGAGACGTGCACCATCCCTTGGTATCCGATGTCTTTGTAGAGCCAGATAGACCAGCTCAGACGATCCTGCAAAGCGATGGGAGTGAGCAGGGTAGCGCTTGAAAGTATAGATAAACTGGACCTGGTGGTACATCTCGAGCTGATCGTTGAGCACAGCGAAGCGCCGCTCGTTGATTGCGTCCGTCTCGTCTCCCTCGTACTCCCGCCGCGCATACACAGGGCCCCACTCGCCGTTCCAAACGCACAATCCCCGCACGTCCATCCACTCGCGCTTCTTCTCGTAGCTGCGTCGCATGCGCCTGCGCTGCTCCTCCGTGCGCGTGTACGGCTCAGGCGAACTCGGGAAGCCATATAGCGAGTAGTCATGGATGGCGTAGGCCGCGTTAGGCCAGCGCGAGCCCGCGTCGTCCGGGAAGCCGCTGAAGTCAGACGCGAAGGTGTTCCCGTCGAGGAAGAGGGCGTGGTTGGGATCGACCGAGCGGATGGCAGCGTGTACACGGTCGTAGAAAGCGACAAGCCCGCTGTGTGCCGGGTCTGCGGGCTCGTTCATTGGGTTATATCCCGCGACCCACTACGAACGAGTCTAAATGAGCTATTGACTAGGTCTGTTCGCGGTAAAGCTGACCTTCTCGTCCTTGCAGTGTTTCGCTATCTCGGTCCACAGCCATACCAAACGATCCTGGAAGTCCTTGTGGATCCAGAACCCGGATATACGCGCGCCGTGGTCGGAGTGCCAGCCACCGTTTTGCCCTCCCGGGGCAGTGTGCATGTCGAGTATGGTGTAGATGCCGTGTTTGGCGCATGCGGCGATCGCGCGGTCGAGATGCCTGAAACCTTCGGGCTTCAACACGCGTGGATGCATGTCATCCTCAAAATGACGGTAGCTGATCGCGATGCGGATGCAATTTAGGCCCAGCGACTTGAAAAAGCCGGCGTCGGGCTCGGCGAAGAAGTATTCAAGGAACTGTTACAAGGAAGTGCGTGAGATACGTAGTCTTATAATCGACCGCGATCGGAGCACAAAACATGGTGTGAGAGTCGAAAACCCCGAACATCGCAGCGAGGTATCGCTGAGTATCGGTAGTTAGTGCCAGGCCCTGCCCGCTCGGCACATCTGGCATGTCCAGAATGCACGGCTTCGACTGGGTGAAGCTGGGCCTCGACGCACGGCCAATACTCCTTCTGAAGTCTAGCAAACATCGTGCACCGAACTAGCCTGCACTGCACACTCGCACACAAGCCCAGTCAGTCATTTGAAAGAGCCTCGCGTTGTAGGCGGAAAAGAGAGGGACCATATAGCAGGACCCTGAAGCACCGATTCCAATGAACACGCTCCGCTTGCCTGCACATGCGTCGGGCACCATGCGAAGACACGTCTCAGCTGACGAGGATGCTGAACTGAAGCTCACCTTGTCAAAGAAGTGCTCTGCCTTCTTCTGTCCGATGACCTCTGTCAGAGCTGCCCGAATCTGATACTCACATCCCGGGAACCCTGTCATGCGCGAATGCGCTCCGTTCAGTGTGTATGTCGCGCGCATATATGCATGTCTACGCATACCTGAGATGAAGTTCTCCATTCTACGTGGGTGTTACTCGCAGCCTAGAGCGAAAGCGAGCACGATGGGACTCACGTCATCCAGCCTCCCAAGCCTGCCCCGCGCAAGATGACTTCTTCACCCTCTCCGTCGACAATTCTAGTACCCTCGATCCGGAGGAAATTCGCCATTGCCGTTCTTCACTCGCTTGACTCGACAGCAACGGACCATGACCTCGCTCGTTCCTTATATTGGTGGCACATTCGAGTCTCGACTCACACTATAGATAACGGGCAGTATCTGAACGCCATGGAGGAACACATGATGGTTTAGACGTCCGTCGAGCGGTGTATCGACGGCGGGAGGCTGCGCGCCGGAGAAATGCTCGTGGTCAGGTTGCGGTCACTGGTCATCGTGGTCAGGGGAGCTGGACAAGAGAATTCAGGGGCAATTTCCTAGCGATAAGCTTGGCAATACAAATCCTTTCCAACACAAAACATCTTATGATGCTAAAATGCGGTCTGCTGCTTGCTCGCTGCCCACCATGCCTTTGCGCTGCTCGTCGTCGACACGCTGGCTGCTCATATCGATGCGCTGCAAACGCAGCACCTTGACGACTACTACGACCCCTTCAAAGAAGCCAGGAGTTCCTGAGTGTCGGCCGGGCTTACTTCGGCAGTAGATGCGGACCGTCTGCAGGCTTAGCGTTCAGCTGCCCAGCATGGTCCAACCCCCTCGGGCTATATAGCATGGGGTGAAGGCTGTCGAGCCCCGTATAATCCACGATGGCATACATCAAGGTTTCCGGGACTAAGCTCGTCGATCAGAACGGGAAGGAAATCATTCTGCGCGGTGCAGGCCTCGGAGGATGGATGAAGTGAGTGCACCGTCCTGTTTCGTACGTCTGGCTGCTGATCACCTTACAGCATGGAGAACTTCATCTCCGGTAACGAGTCCCAAAGCTATTGTCGCTGGATCGCCGGGTTGTTGACTGACATGCTACAGGATACCCCGGTTGCGAGTTTCAGATTCGCGCTGCCCTCGCCGAAGTAGTGGGAAAGGAGAAGTCTGAGTTCTTCTTCGACAAGGTACCTTCGCTATACCACGATCGCAGGGCTAGACTGATTAGTGGCGCAGTTCCTCGAGTACTTCTTCTCTGAAGCCGACGCAAAATTCTTTGCCAGCCTTGGGCTCAACTGCATACGTATTCCGTTTAACTACAGACATTTCGAAGGTGATTCTTTTGCGAGCACCATAACACCCGGTACTCAGTCCTTACTTGTCGTAGATGACATGAATCCCCGCGTGCTCAAGAAGGAGGGCTTCAAACATCTCGACCGCGTCATCGATATATGCGCGAAATATGGCATTTACACCATTCTCGACCTGCATACGGCGCCCGGCGGGCAGAACACCGACTGGCACGCAGACGCCGGCACGCACATCGCAAAGTTCTGGGAGCACAAGGACTTCCAGGACCGGACTGTCTGGCTCTGGGAGGAGCTCGCGAAGCACTACGTCGGCAACACCTGGATCGCGGGCTACAACCCGCTCAACGAGCCGACGGACCCCTATCACACGCGCGTCGTGGACTTCTATGACCGCGTCTACACCGCGATCCGCGCGATCGACCCGCACCACGCGCTCTTCTTCGACGGCAACACGTTCGCGTCCGACTTTTCGCACTTCGGCGACGCGCACAAGCGTTGGGACAACTCTGCGTACTCGATCCACGACTACAGCGTTTTCGGCTTCCCGAGCTCGCCGGAGAAGTACGTGAGCAGCGAGACGCAGCAGCGGCGGTTGCGGCGGAGCTATGAGAAGAAGCGCGAGTGGATGGACGCGCGGGGTCTGTGCGTGTGGAACGGCGAGTGGGGCCCCGTGTATGCGCGCCGGCAGTACGAGGGCGAGCTCACGGACAGCATCAACGAGGAGCGTTACCGCGTGCTCAAGGATCAGCTCAACATCTATAACAAGGTATGCTTGACCAACACCCATATTGCCTGCAGTATGATTGACTCCCACCTTACAGGACCGCTTGAGCTGGTCGATCTGGACGTACAAGGACATCGGCTTCCAGGGCATGGTCTACGTCAACCTCGACACGCCGTACATGACGCTCTTCAAAGACTTCCTCGCGCAGAAGCACCGGCTCGCGATCGACGCGTGGGGCGCGGACGACACGCACGTCCGGCCGGTGTACCAGCCGCTCATCGACCTCGTCCAGAAGGAGATCCCGGCGGAGCACCAGAACCTGTACCCGTTCCCGGTGTGGAAGATGTCGGACCGCGTCGGCCGCCTCGCGCGCAACGTCCTCGTTTCCGAGTTCTTCGTGCGCCCGTGGGCGGAGCACTTCCGCGGGAAGAGCCTGGAGGAGATCGATACGATTGCGAGGAGCTTCAGCTTTGAGAGCTGCTTGCATCGCGACGGGCTGAATAAGATCCTGACGGACAACGCGAAGCTTGTGGCGGAGTGATTGTAGAATCGAAACGACGTGAAACATATCATTCTTTCAAGGAGTGAGGATGTGAGCATGGCATACATACCTTGTCCCTAGCCTGAAAGCTCGGGGATGCACATAACTTTGAGCCTTTCCTCGTATTCTCAACCTTGTATCATACGACAGTCGCTGGCAGCTAAATCAGGTCTACTGTAAAAACGGGGTAGTTCAATTAGCAAGGGTAGCCGCAAACATGGCTGTCGCTTTGTCGCGATCCGCTATGGCCAAGGTCTCCTTCGCCTGGAGGACAACTCTGTGATCCGCTTCACCGCTTGTTGAAGATCGCCCTCAGGATTTCTAACGCTTTCGCCTCAAGTTGTCGAAGGCGGAACATTGAAGTCCTCCGTCAGCCTACACTCTCACGACCGCTCGACGATGAGCGGCCTGCGTACATTGTCGTCCGCATGAATGCAAAGCATCTGCAGGAGTGCCATCAACATCTGCGTCGAAGACTCGGAGAACACTTCCGACTTACCGTAGCTGTCAGTAAGATCGATGATCAAGCAAGTACGTTGAGTCTATCTTTCAAACCAATGCATTGCGTACTGCCAGTGGGACCCAGGGTCTATAAGCGATCCTGAGTCTCACTGGACACTCACCGCGCACTAATCACTAGATGACAATACATAACTTCGCATCGCAAATGCGAAGGCTGGCAACAGCGAGGCCCTGCGGCCAAATTTCTCTAGCGAATTGCGCTCACGGAATGTCGAAGTGTATACAGTGAGAACAGTAGTTAGACCCGTGGATAAACAACAAGGAAGAACCGCCCAATGAGCCCCACCGCGCGATCTTGTGCGCGTCAGTTTCAGGATCTCCGGAGCGCGCAGAGTAGAAAAACTCGTCTACTCTGCCCAGAGAGACTAGGTCAGTTCTACTTACTCCCAGATGTTGTCATCATATCTACGCCTTTCGTCAGGGTCTGACAAAGTAGTGTAGGCCTCCGTGACCAGTCTGAACTTCTCTGCGACTCCTCCCTAAGAAGTCCGGTTTCAGCTGACAGGAGTGTCGACTCCGTGCTTAATCATACTGACCTTGTCCGGATGGTGCTTCAGAGATTGTACCAGGTACGCCTTGCGGATATCCGCTGTCGTGCAGCCCCAGTCAACACCTTTACAGCGAAAGGTGGCAGTCAGTCCTGACAGTTTCATCTGTTCCCATCTCAGGCCAGACGCACCTAAGATCTCATACCAATCTTTCATCTTGTTTCCTTCCTGCGCGCCGCGCTGCTCCGCGTCATCCAACTCGCTCTGCACCGTCCATCTATCCGCCACACCTAGCTGCGTCGCATCCGCTTGTAAGGCCGCCTTGAACTCCTGTACGGCAGACTCAAACAGCTCCAGTCCGACGTATATGCGGCCACGGGTGACGGTGATCTTGACGTTGTCCGGATCCAGCTTCCCGGCTGCATTCACGTCTTTCAGCGCGTCGGTCGGATCCCCAGTCTGTGTGTCACGTTGTTGATCCGAGAGTCAGTACCATTGTTGACTTTAGAGAGTCACTAACCTTCAGCCTTGCCTTGGACCTGTTCAGGAGCAGAATCGCGCGGATACGCCCGCCGAGCCCTTCCTCTTCCTTCTCAGCTACAAGCTGCATACGACAAGGGTGAGTCATGGCGCCCACTACATACGGTGGGCCACAAACTGACATTAAGGGCGCTCGTCCACTTTTCGATCGCACCGCTCGAGTCGCCGGCCTTAAAGCGAGAGTTGCCGTCTTTCTTGAATTTCATAACGGTCTTGAACCGCGATCGCGCCGTCTTCGCCTCTCCGTTGTCGGGATCGAGCTTCAACGCGGCATTGATCTGGTTCAATGCTTCTCCCAGGTCGGCCGTAAGGAACAAGACCAGGGCGTGCATAAACAGGGCTTCGACAGACTTTGGGTTCGTCGCCAGGTTTGCGCTATGCTCCGTCAACTTGAGCACCAGCTACAGAAACCCGAGGAAGAGCCACTCACGACGACATGGCCAACGCCTCCGTCCATTTCGCCTCCGCAACGTCTGCCTCGACTTCCCAGCAACGCATCATCACGGGAAAGACTCCACCGTCCTCCCTATAAGCCTTCGCACACGCTTCGTATGCCACCCTCGCCGCCTTCCACTGCCTGCGCGCCTTCGCGTTTTGGTACGCCTCCACGCTGCTCTCGATCGCGGACAGGCGCTTCTTCAGCGCGAGGGCGACCGCGTCGCCAGGGTCGATGGACAGCGCCTCCCGTATGGCGCACATGGCAGGCCCGTGCGACCCCAAGCATAGTCGGCAGCGAGCGATCTTGACGAGCACGGGCGCGGCGGTCATAGGCAACGCGGCCTTCAATAGCTCGTGAGCGCGCTGGAAGTCGGCCAGCGCAGCGGCGTGGTCCTTCCTCAGTGCATGCGCATCTCCGCGGCTCCTGAAAAACGCAGCGGCGTTCGGGTCTTTCACTGCGCACCATCCTGATCAACATTGTGACTGAATTCGAGGGGCCCGACGTACCGATGCACTGGCTGAAGAACCGTATCGCTTGCTCTGTGCGCCCACAGGACAGGGCGGTTTTACCGCGGTTCCACAGAGCCCTTGCTGTTTCGTCTCGCGAATACTCAACCGACGTCTGCTTCTCATGGGCTCGCGTCCGCGTGCACGCCGTGCAGGCGCACGCAGGCCCATGACCAGATTTCGTCCCGGTAGATGTCCGAGGAGTGTTGCCAGCGCCTGGAGACGGTAGGTTCTCTTTCTGTGCACGCTCATTGAATCTGGCTCCCGTGTGTTTACTGCCGTCTTTCCTGACCAGCTTGCAGATGGAACACGTACAAGAGGCCTCGTGCGCTCTGACTTGGTCCGTATTGGCGTCATCTTGAGCGGGCTTCGGAGGCGTCTTCGTCGCTGACGGCTGTTCTTGTCCCTTGTGTCTCTTGACGAGATTGCATTGCATACACCTACAAGTCTTCTCATGATCAGCAGCGGGGGCGGGTTCCCCAGCTACATTGGGCGTGGGCTCTGGCTCTGGCTCTGGTTTTGGCTTCGGCGCCTTTGGTGTGTGTCCTTCAGGACGTGGTGGCGGGTCGGAGGGTTGTGCCTCGGGCATAGCAGATGACGCAGGCGGTGCGTTGCGCTGCCATCCCCTAAATGCATGGCCACGGATATACGTTGTAAGAGCTCCTTTCGTGGATGCAGCGAGAGTGAACCTTACGGAGTCTCTTGTTCGGTTGCGTATCGGGTTTCGGTAGTTGGTTGACGACCTGTGGCGTTGATTATTTATTGGTCCAGCTCTCATTCTGCTATGTGATGCAAGAGGCCTCACCTCCCTTTTTCTTTCCTGGGCAACTGGTCGCAATATGACCGATGTTCCCGCATATCTGCTCTGAAGTTAGGAAGGCAATGAAGGTTGACTAACGCGCCCACTCACAAAGCAGATGGACTTGATGCACTGTGTTATGGTGTGGCCCTTCTCGCCACACCCATAGCAAAAGCGTCCCTTCCGTCCGCGGCGTTTTGGACAGCCTGCGGCTTGGTGTCCTGTTCCACCGCATATCTTACATTTCCATCTCTGCATGTGCCCTCAGCATGAAAAGATCACCAAATTTGCGCGTCGACGCACCTCCGTGTTGGTACATTCATTACTCTGGTGACCTGTTTCCTGACATAGGTAGCATCGCACTTGAGCCTCTCGCTCTTGCCTCGTACACTCCCAGAAACTATGGCCGCGACCGGCGCATTTGTTGCAAACCAAATCCTAGGTCAATGCCGGTGAGTAAAACGGCCAGCGATGAGACGATTCGAACTTTACCCACTTCAAGCTTTTCGCACTCATGTGGGGCGTGACCCGTCTTCCCACACACTCCGCATTTTCTGTTGTTAATTCGAGGCATTAGTCAGGCGCGATTATCACAGACGACTGTGAGCGGCGGTGTCAAGCAGTTAGGTTGTCACGGCGAAGAACGAAGTGGTCTGATAGCAAGAGGTTGGGTCCGAGGACCTGTGGGCATTGTGGTATCTTCGTTGCCACGACGTAGGTGTCATCCGAGCGGAGGGCCACCGTCGCAGCGAATGAGATGCGGTATGAAAGACATGAGGGGGGCACGAGGACCCCTCTGATCATGTGCATGTATTGTTGCTCACCTAGACCAGTACTGCGCACAGATCCCCAGCGAGTAGATAACGCACTCATCGCTGGTCAGTCACGACCCTGATTCTGGAAATTGCGCATTAGGTCTATCAGTATGGACATAACAACGTGCCTCAACAATCTACAAGAATGAGGAAGGTGAGCACCATTCTCGGACAGCAGTGACAGCAGGACGACTTCGCACCTCCTCAGGCTACTGCCCGATAGCGGCGTCACGTTGAAGGTGAACTCTGTTCGGAAGATAGCCCAACCAGGCGGAGGTACCGAGGCAGGCGACCGGCACGCATGTCGACGACTACGGACCGGGATAGCCAGCTGATCGGCTTGAAAGGGTTGGTCGAATCCTACGAGATCCCAGGTGAACGCACGTGTAAGGACCCGGGGAACATGAAAGAGTCAGTAGTACGCAACGCGGAGCCTGTCCTTGACGACAATGAAACGGGGGAAGGTCCATGCCAGAAAAAGGCTCGATGGTTTATCACTCCTGGAACGACGGCGCACGACCAATAATACATGCACATTCGCTTCTGGGGATGGTCCAGCCTCGTCTTCGCTGCTGGAGACTACGACTAAGGTGCTGCAATGTGCTGTGAGGTTGGGGAGGACTGTGCGAGACCCGGGTCGTTTCTTAAACCTTCAGCGCTGAGTACTGAGTACTGAGTGCTGCACGGATCCGCCGTAATGCACCCGTACTATCGGTGAAGGCTGTTGGTCGAAAAGCTCGGTGGGAAATCGGAACGCGCTGATATCGACATCCTAAACATCTTTGCATGAGCGATCGACTATTTAGCAAAGGGCGACAATGGGTGGTGCGCGCACACATTCAATACAACCCCGGAATCGGGGTAAAAAATTAGGTCCGAAGTTCCAAACGTCCGTGCATGAGAGTCACGAGCAATATTGGCGTCGCAACGCCTCTCCTACCTGCATTCTCGTACCAACACTTTCCTTCATCCCCAAACCCGCCTCGTCCAACCTCGGCAGCATATGCTCGTATACTTGCCTATCCGTAGGGCCATGCACGCCTCTTAGCTTGACGCCTCCATCCAGAACGTGCAGAGCGGCGAATGCCACAGGCAAGCCGACGCAGCGAGCCATGGCTGAGGCTTTCGCGTCCCCGACTGCGACAAGCGACGACGTGTGTACTTCCGGCTGCAAGGAGAGAGGGGAGCTGGCTACGATCTCGTGCGAGAGGACGACCATGTCACGCTCATGGGGCTGATATTTCAACTTGTCTGCCAGAAGCAAGGCGAAGGCATCGAGCGGCGTCGAGGAAGAGGGGACTGAAGGAAGCGCGACAACGGAAGACAGCGTCCGAGACCCGTGAGGAGACAGCAGCGAGAACCAGCGCAGCGCGTCGATCAGCTCTTCTGTCGTCTGCGATGGCGAGATGTCCCGGAGAGCGCTGAGAACAGATGCTTCGTCACCTGGTAGAGTACGTCCGAGTCGCACTTCGAGGGACTTCCGTACGAGTTCTGTCCAGTCGGAGAACTGGACCTTCGTCGAGTTCTCGAGCAGCCCAATAGAACGGAGCCCGTGCATCAATGTGGAGAAGCCAGGGTATCTGTGTTGCGTGAGCACGCTTGAATGCGACATCCGTGAACGGCAGACACTTTACCGCAAGGTACCCCGGAAGATAGTTTGAAGATCTTGTGACTGAGGGTCGCCGAGACCGTACTGGCGTGCATACGGTAGACTGTCACGGTTGGGCAAGCCCTCGAATCTCATGATGTCCGAGATCGGCACGTCCGTGATACCACTCGTCAGCAAGTCCTCACCGTGCACTTGAACAACCTGCAGAAAGGAATGCTTAGCCACGACCGCTTCCAAGCAACCGGTGCAGACGGTATGCAGGTCGACTGAGACTCACCTCCCCTTCGACCTTGAAGCGTGCTGCGTTCAGCGCGGCGACCAACACACCCCTCGGACTCCAGCTGAACTTGTATCCAAGAGGAACACCCATTGCAGCTTCAGGCGCGGGTAGACCTCCACAGAATGACGTGAAATGGGTTACACGCTTTCCTTGAGCTTTGAGCCGGTCAATGAGCGACATGGCAGAAAGATGGTCGATGCCTGGGTCAAGACCGATCTCGTTCAAGAGCACAACATCAGCAGCAACCGCCCTGATGGGATGTGGACATATCAGGTCATCGGCACATGTGCGAACCGGCGATACTCACTGTTCATGCAAGGCCGCCATGTCCGGTGAGATATAGGAAGCGGTGATAAGATGTTTTTCATGCTGTATGCAGAGCTTCGCCACGGACGGGTGGAACGGGGCAGGTAGCAAGCTATCCCAGACCCTAAGCTTGGCTGAACCACGTCATGAATAAGCACTGACCTGATTACAACATCTGCTTCCTCGACCAGGCGCGATATCTTCGCGGGGTCTTGCATGTCGCCCAGAACAGCACGCCCATTCGCAAACTCCGCAGTCTGCCTCTCAGCCTCGGAGAGCACGTTGCTCGCTGCGCATACCCGCCAGTCTCACACCATCCACAAGAACGACTATCCGTGACACTCACCGACAACGAGCTCCACGTAGGGCCGTCGACAGATCGCTTCGATCGCAGGGCCGGCGACCATACCGCTGCCTAGCATTAGCACCCGCTTCTTCCGCGGAGGCACCCCGAGCTTCTGCGCCGCCTCACTAGCAGCACCTATGGGAGAAGCACCTTCGCTTGCCTTGCAGCCCGCGGCCCAAGAGCCCAAAGGCTCCTTCAGCCACTCAAAATCCTTGGAGAGCTGACCACCCTTCGCCACGGTCGCACGTTCCAGCGCAGCACGTCGGAGCCTCGCGGCGTCGTCAGCATGGTTAGGCAGTCCACGATACTCGTCAATCAGAGTACGCAAGTACGGCGCGAGGACGTTGGAGAAGTGCTCTGACGCCTCGAGCGGGAGGGCGGTCGGGAGGATGTCGACGGCCATGATGGCCACCGGGGGCAGCGTGGGCGAGGGCTGGATCGAGAAGAAGGGCGCGGAGAGCGTGCTCGCGTGGGGAAGGAACTCGAGTCCGCCCTGACGAGCGGGATGTGAGGGACATGAGAATGACGAGGGGGAAAGGCCGACCTCGATGTCGCAACTGATGTCACCGACGCATGCGAAGCGGCCTCGCCCGATTTGCTGTGCCTTCTCGAGAGCGGTGATGAGCTGCGCGTTGCTCATGATCCGCGGGAAGTTCGGTGCCCAGCCTGCTCCGTGCAGCAGGAGCGAGAGATAGGGTGCGATCTAACAGATGTCAGTGTGCTGTTGTAGGAATAAGACATTTGACACACCTTGTCATGGAAAACGGACTCGTATTGATCGGGGTTTGCGTAGTAGTCAGATCGAGAGTAAGGATTCCTGTCCTTGCGCACGAAGTAATCTTGCGGAAGTGCATGAACGAGATACACCTAGTCTCCTGAGTAAGCTGACTGGTTCGTGTGACGCGAGGTTCTGACCTAACCTTGTGCAGATCGGTGTCTACGAGCCTCTTCGTCAATGCACTCCGAGCAGAGAACGTGAATTGCGCTCACCGGGATTGCTGACCAACGCGGGTAAATCGTCGACCTTGACCAGCTCAATAGGCAGGTCTTTCAGGAGGTCCAGCACGCCCTGCGCGACCTTCCCCGATCTGTTCAAACCGCCTCAGAAATCCCACTCAGTGTCGCACAGCAACCTCGTACGCACCCTGTAACGCCGAAAACGATGGGACCAAGACTCTTGGGAGTACCTTCTGCGATGATCCGCGCACCGACTTCGTCACGCAGCAACGTACGGATAGATGCTAGAGTCGGGTGTGCGTGAGGTCGCGGTGTGTACTAATAACATCGTAGCGTCAGTCGTCGTCTCGGAACATGTTACTCGAATCCCTCACCAGGAACGGGCTTGCGACACCAAGCTCGAGGTGTGCATGCGCGAGTGCATTCAGGGATTCCAGAGCTCCTGCGACTAGATGTTTCCGGGTCAGCGACCAATGGAAGCCGAGTCGCGACGTTGTCAGTCCTTACCACCAGCGAACCACCCGAAGCCTACCGTCCGTTTGCCATCCTCGCCTGTGAGCAGCTCGTAGTCAATAAGACGCGGGAGCGACCCCGGTTGGTCTGTCGATGTGCCTCCGCTCATGTACGATGCAGAAACAAACTTCGAGAGCAGCTCCATGTTGTACATTTGGCCTTTGATTGTGTGGGAGAACATGAGGTGCGTTCGGGGCGTGAGCGGTAGCGTTGCTGTCTGTCGAGTGGGACTCGGAACGGGGTCATTGAGCACTTCGTGGAGAGGTGTCTCTTTGATGCCGAGGGTTATGTGGGCAGCTGACAGGGTCGGGGCGAGTCTCGCTCCTGCCTGAAGAACGACGACGAAATCAGGATCAGTCCACCCAAGCCACAACCGTGATACAGAAGCGTAATACGAGTGCCTACCTTGACAAAGTCTTCGGTCTTCCATACCCTCCGGTCGCACTCTTCGACCAACACGTCAACGCCATCTCTCTCGACGAGTTCGTTGACGACGTCTGGTGTCAATGGACACCTCCTTTCCCATATACGAAGAGGGTCCTCGCGTCGAATGCCGATCGTCAGTCTTGCTGGCTTTGCATGCGAACTAGCATGTCGAGCGGTAGGTCTGTGCAAGAGACATAGAGGAGAACGTCGGAGGATGGCCATGGATGATGGAGGTCATTGACAAAGGCTGGAAAGGAGCGGTCAAGGCTTGCCGCGTCTCGGAATTGGCGAGTGGTGTCTCAGCTGTCTGCACTTGCATGACGGAGGGAGAAGACTTTGAACATGATCCGAGCGCGAGCGCGACGCCACCCCTGAGGCAACTGAGCTGAAGCAGCCCAGTCCCGACCACACCGCGCAAGTAAGCAAACCCCGGCTCGCAGAACACAATGGTATGCTCGGCGTGTTCGTGGCTGTTGTCGTTCATTTTGTCGCCGTTGTAATTACGCTGCAGCGTCGGTCGACGGCTGAGAGCGCGCGAAACGTCGCGTCTCAGCGCGTGTCGCGGACGCGCTTCGCATGATGATGCTGCAGCTGTCTGGCTTGGCGCTGTTGATGCTCGGTTGATGCTACCCTCCAGGCTCCTCGGCGTTGCATAAATTGCTGATCATTTGAGTCTGTGTCTCACACGAGGGTCAGATACGTAGACTGTAGGTAGTCAGGTCAGACGAAGACACTGGTATGATTCAACAGTATTGAGTAAGTTAGTTGATCATTAGGATATTATGGGTGTCATATTGTCTGAGTTTCAACCAGCTGTAACCGAGCAACCAGCGTCCAACGCGTCCTTCCCTCCTCCTCCTCCTCCTCCTCCTCCTCCTCCTGCTGAGAGCGCATCTTGAGTACTGTACATCCCAATCCCAAGCTTCCCGCTCGTCAAAATTGCCCCTATCGCCCACCCTAATGCTTCTGCCAAGAACTCTGTTATGTCTTGCTCAAGCATGGCTCGTCCTGGCAGATACGCAGCTAGTCCTCAACCAGTTACAAACGGTCTCTGCGACGACCTCGCCGCTTACTTACTCGTTACCGACATCTCAGAGGCCCGTCTCTGTGTCTGTAGCACTATGCTCGTACCAACAATCAGCTACTCCTCGATTCTTCGTCTCAAATGGCTCCGTAATGTCGCCAGGACCAGACGATCTCGGAGAAGATGTGTTCGAACTTGAGCTCGACGGGTACTCGCTCGGGAACCTAACGGTGCAGGTTACGAGCTCGGGCGTGCTCGCCGTATACAATGCGACGGATATGTCGTTCGAAGTGGGTGTTTCCGATGATGGTGAGCGTGTTTCCTAGCTGATGCTATTCTCGTAGTGTACTTCTCATCTGCAAAGGCAGGTGTCCAGGCTTGCTGAGCCCTGTTCTGCACGTTTTGCATCCGTTCCACCTCAACTCATCTGACTTGGTTCATAGGTCCGATGCACCAGGTTCTGGACGAACTACCATTGTTCAGCGATAGCACTGCGAACCAAGTACTGATGTTCTCTCCTCCGTTCTCCCCTCCAAGCATCTCCGCGCCATCATATCCGAACTACACGCTCCCAGCAGCGAACCAGACTTTCCCTCCGGAGCCGCCATCTCCCCCCGAGTACTCCCTCTTCATCGCGGCCACGACATCTTCAGCGTTCATGACGCTCCCGCGGACTGGCTGTGCGTTTCGTGGCTCGGCGAACAACGTCGGGCGCTTACTCGCCTCGGCGCAGAGCGAAGGACTCTGGCTACGTGACACGGGCGGCTGGCGATGGCAGTGGTTTGTGAACGGTTTAGTCCCAATGACAAACTATACTGTGTATGCAGTGAAGAACGAGACGCAGGTCACCGCACCGATATACTTCTCCACGAAGTCTCGTACGTCTCATCGCCCGATATCTTGGTCTTTGCTGACTCGCCTGTACAGCTGCGTTCGCCTGTCCGATCGTGTATGGTCTCCCGTTCTGCCCCTCGATCGGCTACGCGGCACCGCTAGGCAACGACGACCCCGCTACGGGCGTAACTGCGACCGAGCTGCCCAGCGCGTTCACCGACAACCTGATCAGCGGCCTCACAAACTTCACGGTCATGCTCACGACGCTTGCGTGCGGGCGCGACCTCTACAGCCCCATCGTGACGTGCGCGGACTGCCAGGCGGCGTACCGCAACTGGCTCTGCATCGTGTCGCTCCCGCGCTGTGCCGAGTATACCTCCACGACGTCGTCATCCGCAGCCGCCACGAGCACGTCGACGTCGATGTTCGGCCAGGGGACGGCGCAGGAACCGCTGATCACGCCTACGCCCGCGCTCGCGGTGCAGAACGCGTCGAGCCCGCGGAACCCGAACCTGCCGCCGTTCGCGAAGAACTACACCGCGGTGCTGCCGTGCCTCGAGGTGTGCTACGGTGCGGACCGCGCGTGCCCGCCGTTCCTCGGCTTCCAGTGCCCCCTGCCGCAGTACACGGCGGGCCAGAGCTATGGCGTGGGCTACGTGGACACGGGCGAGGAGGGCGTGGTCGGCGGGGGCATGACGGGTGCGGGGACAGACCAGTGGGGCAACGTGTGGTGTAACGGGCCGGGGGTTGTATGAGTGTGTTGGTTCGGGGCAGCGTTTCGTGGATTCCCTTTGGTTTGAGGAGGATTGAGACTTACGGCTTTTTTCGGAATAGAATACATTTACGCCTTCGTTTACTACCAACCCACCGCATACCAATGTGACTTTCTGTGCTGCTTTAGACTTGGACCGATCCTCATCCTCGAACATCACATCACGACGAATGCTTAAGCGAGCTTTCTTCGAGTCGTTTCTTATGTAACATGATCTGTACCGAGTCTCGTTACAATCAAGCTCTGCAGTGAGAAGGATTCAGCATTCTGACAATACCAATCACGAGATAGTTGGCTGAGATCGTCGTAGTCACTGTACAAGCTTCGACCAGTGGAGACGCACGAGTCGATCTTGAGCCACTCGCCACACCGAGTGACCGACGGAGACGCTGTCACAGGTTGGTTCCCTCCTCATCCTTGCCGTCAACTACTAGGGCACCCTGAGTCTGCAGGCTTCATCAATCCCATTTCCGCATTCGAAGCTGTGTCTGCCAAGTAATGCGCATTGCTGCCCATTCAAGTTGGCATACGAAGGTGAGATTCCGTCAGACTAGTCGTTGAAATTGAATGGTGACGCTGCACAGCTTCAGTATGTATAGGCGCACTCCGCAGTGTGTCGGACTTCGTATGTACCCTGCTGGCCACTACAGACTTCCATAGAACTGCTGAATCCTGAACGAGGGGCGCCTTTCCGAGGTACATTCTTGATCATCCAATGACTTCTCGTTGTAAACTCACCTAGTTGACCTATCAGAATGTCGAACGCATCAGATACGGCCAGGTACCTTGAGGTCGACTTCAGGACACCCATATATGCGAGGTACGGTTGCATTTACCAACTGTGAGCGAGCGTATGATTGTACTCGCTGATCGAAACAGCGGCACGTTCCCGATTCTGGCCCAGGAGCTCCTCGAGCTCGTGGCCGACTTCCTCTGAGACGAATCCATACAGCTCACCAGGTGCTGCCTCGTCTGCCCCGCTTGGTACCATGCTGCAAGGCGTCACCTCAGCTCGAGTATAGTCATCCGGAGTACAACAGCCTTGGGCGACTTGGTCCATGTCCTCATGTCCAGGGGGAACGGTCGGTATGGGCGAGCTCTGCATGCCCTGGAGATCCAAGACGATCGCGTGAAGCCGTATGCGCACAGCCTGCCAGTGTCTGTGCGCGGGCCTGGATGTCTCCTCTTGCGCGCTTGTGGCGCCTCATGTTTGTGAGACTGGACTGGACGGTGGTGCGCCCTCACATGAGCTTCTTCACCTACCTCACCTACTACGCATCCGTCACTCACTTGGAACTCTCGTCGCGCGGACGAAATCCGGACGATGATCAATGCTCTGTCCAGTCTCAAAATGCTCCATCTCGATCCAGTCACTGTCCAGCTGGCGCCTCTGGCCAGCGCGGTGCAGCAACCTCTACATGCTGTCGGTTGGAACCTCAACTCGATATTCCTCTTCGGCGATGGGGAGCGTGACTACCCCGTTGGAACCTCTGACGCGCTGCGTCTTCACCGAAGTGTTGTCGACCTGCTGTGCTCGTATTCGACGACGGTCAATCTCACACTCCAGATGTCCCAAATATTTTCGTTCTCAGAATTCGAAGCGTTGTTGCACGCGTTCCCTGCTTTTCGCGAGGTTCATCTCACAGGTGATCCCAACTTGAAGTGGGAACTTCCGAGTCCCTCGTTCGGCGATGTCCCTGCTCTGCTTGCTTCTGGGTCCACGGAGACGATGTTCGACACAGGGGACAGGGTCTATCTGTTGCAGGTGACTTCGACATTTGCTGCAAGGTTCTTCGGGCTGTATGCGCACCGATGTCGCCAGCTTCAGCAGCTACACATATCGTTCCTGAACACGTCGCCACCTGCGCTGCAACAATCCGTGCAAAGGTTACTACGGGAGTCTGGTGCAGTGTTGAAGGGCTTCAGTTGGGAACGCCACCGGGATCCTGAAGTTTCGAGCCTTCCACAGGTAAGTCAATATTTTGCATGGCCGGTTGACCACTGATTGCATGCCATATCTAACGTCATGTTCGTTTAGCATTCCCCAGACCCCATGCCGCCCATGGTTCCACACAACGGCGGCCGAAAATCTATTCGTGGCCCTTTCCAGCCCTTCATCGCACACCATGTCTTGCCCTCCTAACCATTTTCTCTCAAATCGGAGGCCCATGTCTGCGAAGCATAATGGTCGAATTCCAGCTACACGGTTTCTCCCTTCCCGATGTGAAGGCCAACACACGTAGAGACATGGCGGAATCCATCACCATCTTCCACGCAGGCACTGTCCCGAGATGTGTTCATTGGGCTCGCTGACGTGCACATCAGATATATCTGTATTAAAGACTGGCAAGGTCCTTTCCCAGAAGCAGTCCTCCTGGCATCGGCGGCCATCAGAGCCTTCATGGTGCCTCTCTTCACCCCGTGGCTAACCCGGGGCATTATGGTGCTTAGCCTGCCAGATGGGTCGTGCACCAATGGCCACGCTAGGCCACGGCACGGTGTAGATGGCGATCCTTCTCTCATGTATCGCTAGACCCAGGTCCGCAATCATGCAGCGTTCCTGGTGAGGCTTCGGATTTCTTACAGGGCCGCTCATTGACTTCCGGGCCCATTTTGATTGGCTGACAGCTTTTAATGTATCTGCGGCGAGCGAGGCGAATGAACCGTGGGTGCTCTCGCCCGTGGTTACGCTACGCTCAGGGGAAGCGAATGTACCGGCCGGGAGCTGTCGCTCTATGAGTGATAGTACCGTCGAACCCTTTTCTGGTATGAATTACTGTCACCTTCTTCATTGTCGTTGAGGACTTCGCGTTGCGAGCTTCATATACTCTCCATCATCACCGAAACATACCATTCTTGTGTGTTCCCCGAGTCCTCACACATGCGTCCACCTGGTATCCCGTAGTATTTATCCTTTTCAAGCCAATCAGATGGCTGTCGGTAGCCATTGACATTCATGTCAGTCGGCGCGTCGCCTGCCTCAGCCCACCTGGTTGGGCAGTCTTCTGAATGAAGTTTGCCTTCGATATTAGTGGCACGGCGGTCGGGGTGAGCCTAAGTAAGTAGGTGCGAAGTCATCCTGCTGTCACTACTTCCTGAGAATGGTACTCACTTTCCTCATTCTTGTAAACAGCTGATGCACTTCATTCACGTCCATACCGATAGACCTAATGCGGAATTTCCGGAAACCAGGGTCGCGTCTGGCCAGCGAGGAGTGCGCTGTACGCGGTCCTTGTCCGTCTGCAGGTCTTCGTGCCCAATCTTTTACTATCCAACCACTTCGTTCTTGCCCATGAAAACCTGACTGCTCGAGACCATCGTTCATCGTTGTCTGTGATAATCACATCTAACTGATACCAAATGCCGCGTCGGGTGCGATGCTGCACCAATTGCCAGGATCCTGGCCATCGAGCGCCACAGTGCCCATTGCCTCGAGGGGACAACAGGAAATGCGGAGGTTGTGGGGAGACGGGGCACGTCCCGCATGAATGCGAGAAACGCGAAGTGGGTAAACACCAGATCGCTTCATCATCGGCAGTTACTCACTGGCATTTACTTAGGATTGGGTTTGCAAGAGATGCGCCGGGCGCGGCCATGGAGTTTGGGAGTGTACGAGACAACAGCGAGAGGCCCAAGTGCGATGCTACCTATGTCGAGAGTCAGGTCACCAGAGCAACGAATGTGCCAACTCGGAGGTGCGTGGACCCGCGAACTTGATTATTTGTGCATGCTGACATATGATCGCGCAGAAATGGGAGTGCAAAATCTGTGGCGGAACAGGACACCAATCCGCAGGTTGTCCACAACGGCGCGGACAGAGGGGTCGCGTTTGCGTTGGATGTGGCGATAAAGGCCATATTTTAACAGAGTGTACCAAGTCCACTTGCTTTGTGAGCGAGCACGGCATTCAATCGTCATTCCCTTTCTAATGTCGAACAGAAATGCGGAACCGTCGGTCATATCGCCACCAGCTGCCCAAGAAAGAACAAGCGAGGTGAGGCCTCTTGTAGAGTATAGCCGCAGATTGAGAACTGGACCAACATTCACGCCACAGGTCGTCGACCGACAACTGAAACCCACTATGCAACCGAACAAGAGACCCCGTAAGGCTCACTCCCGCTGCGTACGGGAGGAACTCTCACAACGTATCTCCGTGGTCATGCATTCAGGGAATTGCGGCGCAACACACCGTCCGCGTCATCTGCTACGCCCGGGGCACAATCCTCCGATCCGCCTCCACGTCCTGAACGACACACACCAAATGCGCCGGAACCAGAGCCAGAGCCAGAGCCCACGCCCAATGTAGTTGAGGAACCCGCCCCAGCTGCTGATCATGAGGAGACTTGTAGGTGTATGCTATGCAATCTCGTCAAGAGACGCAAGGGCCGAGAGAAGCCGTCAGCGACAAAGACGGCGCCGCCGCCTCCGAAGCCCGCTCCGAATGACACCAACACCGACCAAGTCAAAGCGCACGAGGCCTCCTGTACGTGCTCCATCTGCAAGCTGGTCAGGAAAGACAGCACGAAGGCCACCGGAGGCAGCTTCAATGAGCGTCCACAGAAAGAGAACGTGCCGCCTCCTGGCGCTCAGGCTGGCAACTCTACTCGGACATCTACCGGGACGAATCCTGGTCATGGGCCTGCGTGCACCTGCACGGCCTGCACGCGGACGCGAGCCCATGAGAAGCAGACGTCGGTCGAGTACTCCCGAGACCAAATAGCGATGGGCCTGTGGATCCGCGGTACGACCGCCTTGGCCTCGAGGCAGACGGAGCAGGCGATACGCTTATTCAGCCAGTGCATCGGTACGTCGGGCCTCTCGAATTCAGTCATGATGTTCACGATGGTGCGCAGCGAAGGACCCAAATGCCGCTGCGTTCTGTAGGAGCCGCGGAGATGCGCATGCACTGAGGAAGGACCACGTCGCTGCGCTGGCTGACTTCCAGCGCGCTTACGAGCTGTTGAAGGCCGCGTTGCCTATGCCCGCCGCGCCCGTGCTCGTCAAGATCGCTCGCTGCCGACTGTGCTTGGGGTCGCACGGACCTGCCATGTCGCCATACGGGAGGCGCTGTCCATCGACCCTGGCGACGCGGTCGCCCTCGCGCTGAAGAAGCGCCTGTCGCGATCGAGGGCGGCGTGGAGGCGTACCAAAAGCGAAGGCGCGCAGGCAGTGGAAGGCGGCGAGGCGGCGTAGAGGCGTGCGCGACGGCTTATACGGAGGACGGTGGAGTATTGCCTGTGGCGATGCGTTGCTGGGAGGTCGAGGTGCATGTTGCGGAGGCGAGGTGGACGGAGGCGCTGGCCGCGTCGTCGTGAGTGGTTCTTCCTCGGGTGTCTGCAGCTGGTGCTCAAGATGGCCGACATAGCACGATCCTGGTGGCGCACCCAAAGTCTATCGAAGCCCTGTCCATGCACGCCCTGGTCTTGTTCCTTACGGCCGACCTAGGAGAAGCATTGAACCAGATTAATGCCGCGTTGAAGCTCGATCCTGACAACGGAGAGGAGAAAGCGGCGCGAGTGCGATTCAAGGGTGTTATGGACCTCAAAGAAGATGGGAACTCTCGCTTCAAGACCGGCGACTCAAGCATTGCGATCGAAAGTGGACGAGCGCCCTGAACGTCAGTTTGCGGCCCTCTCACATCTAATCGGCGTCGTGACTCACCATTGTCGTGTGCATGCAGCTTGTGGCGAGAAGGAAGAGGAAGGGTTCGGCGGGCGGATCCGTGCGATCTTGCTTCTGAACAGGTCCAGGGCGAGGCTCAAGTCAGAACAGTGATTCTCTCGAGTTGACAGCTGTACTTACCTTCAATCCTTTGACGCACAGATCGGCAAACATCCGACGCGCTGAAGGACGCGAATGCAGCCGGGAAGCTGGACCCTGACAACGTCAAGATCATCGTCACCCGCGGCCGCATATACGTCGGACTGGAGCTGTTTGAATCCGCCATCCAGGAGTTCAAAGCGGCGTTACAAGCGGATGCGACGAAGCTAAGTGTGGCGGATAGGCGGACGGTGCAGAGCGAGTTGGACGATGCGGAGCAGCGCGCGCGCGGGAGAAGAGCAAGGTGAAGGATTGGTACGAGATCCTGGGTGCGTCTGGCCTGAGATAGGAAAGGTCGACTCTGTTAGGGCTGACTGCTATCCTTTGCTGCATGAAGGCGTTGACCGGCGCTGCACAACAGCGGAGATCCGCAAGGCGTACCGGATACAGTCTCTGAAGCACCACCCGGACAAGGTCAGTGTGATTGAGCACGAAGTCGACGCTCATTCAGCTGAAACCGAACTTTTTGGAAGGGAGGAGTCGCGGAGAAGTTTCTAATGGTCACGGAGGCCTACAATACCTTGTCGGACCCTCTTGAAAGGCTTAGATATGACGCCAAGCTTCCGCCCAAGTTCGGAGCTTCTAGTCATTCCAATGCGTCTCCCGGTCCGAAGCCGCAGAGCACTGGCAATACGGGTCCAGGGAGTACCCGTCCCGATGCGTCGTCGAAGCCTCACTCGAGCAGCACCTCTGGCGACTATTTCCGTCATAGCGGGACCTACGGAAGCAGCACCAACAGCGGGTTCCACGATCGTGCCAAGAGCGAAGGGCGAAGGATAGCCACACTCACGACAATTCTTCTCGTCCCAACTCTCGCAGCAGCAGTGGTCCAAGCTCGACGAAACCAGGCACTCAACAAGGTTATGGATCGTCGTATTACGGGCAGAGTTACTCCGGGCGGCCCTCGTCCGACCAAGACTCGCACAAGTTTGCTCGCAGTCAGGGTGCCGGTTCACAAGACACTTGGGGGTCATCTGCGAAGAACAGTGGCCCTTCCTCAAAGGCTTCACCCAGCGGCGGCAAGAAGGATCCGGGCAAGCACCCGGCGGGCTCGTCTACGACCGGGAACGGAACAGCTGCCAGCGACAGCGCGAATGACACGAACAACGCCGAAAGCAACCCGTCGAAGACCGCGAAGGATGCTGCGAGCCAGTCTGAGACAAATCAGCAGAGTCAGTCAGGAGCAAGCGCAAATTCAGGCGATACGCAAGGGAAATCTAGATGGTGGCCCTTCTGGTAGTATGAACGATAGTGGTGCTGTCCTCAAATGTCCTCGGAAAGAATATCATTGACATACCCAGTAACACAAATCCGCGAGCGGGAAGATTGCCTGGCAGTCGGGCCTTCAAGTCGAGTTCATGCTTCAAACCGTGAGACGTCTGTGGCATGAGCGTCAGTGCCACGACGCGTCCCTTGTCACCCACGTTCACCTCGGCTAGGACTCATGAATGCCAGTCTGCATACCGACCTTTACAAGAACGGCTTCCCTATCGCCTGTGCTGTTTGTTTTCGTCAGTACGGTTCCTACGACGTCCTAGTGCAACACATCAGCCTCCACCATCCACTCCACTCGGTCTCGTATCCACTGACTTCGCATCGCGACCTGGTTCAGAGACCGAGCCAGTCACGCACCTAAAATACCGGATCAGGAACGAGAGACTCCCTACTTTCTACGACATCTTTAGCACGGATCAATATGCAAAGGATCGTATCAGAAATCCGTGCTACCCATTCACCGATTACGCAGAGCTACAGTGGGCACGATGGATGAATGAGCAGATGAACTCACCCACGATAGATAAGTTTCTCAAAGTGGACTGGGTAAGTGAGTTGTCCATGAGCATAATGACAACTCACGCAAATTTCTACCACATCCTTAGGTTCGCCGCCATATGCCCTCCTTCCATTCGTGCCGCACACTGCAATCATGGATCAAAACCCAGCCGCCTGGTCCAGTCTGGCAAACAGCAACGATCAAGCTCGAAGGTTATACACCTATTGCTCATTTCGGTGAACCGAAGGTGATCTTCCGCGACCCACTGGAGTGTGTGAAGTTCTTGTACAGGCATCCACTGTTCGGAGCGTTTGCCAGCATGGGACCCGAGGTTGTGCATACGCGAATGGGGCAGCGCGTTATCACTGACTTCAGTACAGCCACACTGGCTTGGAATATGCAGGTAAAGTCGTAATCCTCGTTGACGTCCATCACATGCTGACGATATCCATAAATATACTCACCAGAGCAAGCTCCCGACCGGCGCGGAGGTAGTTAGCCTGCATCTAGGCTCGGACAAACTGGCAGTCACCAGTCACTTCGGTGACTACGAGATGCACCCTCTCCTACTGACGTTAGCTGGTCTACCCGCCACGATTCGCTCAAGATTTTCCAACGATGCATGGATGTGTGTCGCATACCTCCCGGTACCGAAGTTCGCTGTGCACACGACCTACCAGGGTATACTGGCCAATCGTATTCTTCACAAAGCCATGGACCTAGTGACAGCAAATCTCAAGATTGTTGCTCGTTTTGGGCATTCGATGGCTGACCCGTACGGGAATGTACGCCTCGTTTTCACCCCTGTTGTTGCTCTTTCGGGCGACCTTGTCGAACACCTTTCCATGGCGGCGGTTAGCTCGTCCGTCTCCCCTATTACTCTCGCCACATCTAGCCAGTTTGGTGACGGCAGAGTGTATGCGCGGTGCACGAAAGCCCATACCCTGAACCTCATTTACGCTGCCTCGAAGGTCGTCGATGTCTGGCAGTTGCACGACTTCCAGCGAGAATGCAAGAAGGTCGGATTGAACGGCGTACACCTGCCGTGGTGGCGTGACTACCTCCTCGCCGACCCATCCCTCTTCAGTGTTTCCGACATCTTGCACTTCAACTACAAATTCTTCTTCGACTACCTCTCCCGGCTTGCCAGATCGCTGTTGGTACCCATGAACTGGATCGTCGCTTCGCCTCACGACACAAGCACCTTGGCTATGCTGCCTTGCGACGAGTGTCTGAGGTGAAGCAGATGACTGGTCGAATGCAGCGGGAGATCATGCGCACAATCATCGTCGCCATCGAAGGTGCCGTTTCACCCGGGTTCATGTGCGCTATGCGTGCGATCCTCGACTTTCTTCTTGCTGCGCAGAGTCCTCGTCATACCCATCGTCACTCGCAAAGATGACAACAGATCTACGTACCTTCCACGACCATAAGAAGGCGATTATGACAGCCGGTGGGTTCGGTCACTGGCCGCGGCACACTGCCAGCGAAGTCCCAAACTCGAAATCCTATCTAACTTTGTTCCGATTATTCTTTCCCATGGAGCCCTTCCACAGTGGAGTTGCGACTCCGTCGAACACCTGCTCCATACTGAAATCAAGAAGCCGTACAGGCTGTATACCAATAATCGGCGTGCCAACTTCGGTGAGCAGTGCACGCGTCATCGGGATCGCGTCGAGAAGATGCGGAACCTCGAGCTCTACGCGCTCTTCACGATATACGGCGCGGAGATGAGCGATTTTGAGCTGCAGGATGCAGCCTCGAGTGGTCTCGCTCACACTCTCTTGGAGCAAAAATCGCCAGGTACTGGCACCCAGCGCTGCATCCGTGCATCGAGGACAACGCGCAACCTGTTTGCCACGGGGTCCTTCGGTGTTCGGATCGGATCCAACGTCGCCTTCTATCTCAACAGACGGCCGAGTGCGACATATGCCATCGACGAAGTGGCAGACGCATACAACATCGCTGACTTCCGCGCTGCTCTCGCTGACTACATGGGCCACCTTAATCTCGACGCCCGGAAAGGTAAACCTCATCGCCCTCGCCTAGAGTCGGCGTACTATCAGGATGTCGGGCTTTACCATGTGTGCGTCTGGGAGACGTACCGGATCCAAGTGCCCTCCGCGTACAATGGCGCCGCCCGTCCTCAGACGCTACGGGCGATTCCACCGAGTGCCAAATATTCTTTTGGGATGTGCGATCGGTCATCGTCGACAGTCTCAGAGCAGACGGAAAATTGCGGCGGGCTGGTAAGTGAATTCTCGTCGTGTGGTGTACGCATCATGCTCAGTGATTCACACTCTAGGCCCCCTGATTGCCCAAGTGCGAGTTGTCTTCGAGGTAGTCCCTCGCGAAGGCCATGTCCTCCCCGCACGCCTGCGCGTACCACTTTGCTATATCCAAGACTTCGAGTTCGCTGACGTCAATGCGCTTGGAGACCCCAAGAAGGCCGCGAACATCCTCATGTACAGGCTCAAGCGGAGGTGCTACCTCGATGCCGGGGGTGCAGTTCAGCGTGGAGGTGAGGTTGTTCCACTGACCGCATAGTACGACCTGTCGACCTGTCTCCTGTGCACGCCGGGCCTGTGATGGATCGCTCACTTGACGAATCGTCTGCGCTCGAGCTACCCCGTTATTTCTGGTTGAATGATATGTGGGATGTGGGAGTTTACGACACACTCGCTGCGGCCTAGTAGCATCACCATTGAATGTAGTATTTCTCGAATCATTCTCGCTATTCAAAAACTGCAGCATTGTGCTTCCTAGCCACCACGGTCGAGTAGGTGCACTGACGAGCACTCAGTTCGTGGTGCCTACTGTAGTCCGTGCGTCCCGGTCTCCCACTTCTGCGGTCCGTGCGTCCCGCTTGAATGCCCGAGTATCTGTCCATGATCCTGACTCGCCCACTCTCGCGGTGCGTCGCCCATTCACTCACCGTCTTGCACCTGCTCACCCGCTCTCACCGAGGGCACACGGATCCAGCGGCTGCGCAGCCGCGCTACCTCCGCATCCGTGCGAAGACTGGCGCTGTCCTCACAGTCCCAGACTACTTCGCCGGAGAAGCGGGACATCGGCGAGATATCCAAACCTAGCGGAAGGAAGGGCAGCTCTGTTCCCCAACTAGCAACCGCTTTCTGCAAGAGGTACACGTATCAATATTGGTCCGCCTTCGTAGTCGCTAGGCTCTTACTCAAATGCTTAACCTGGTGGCGGCAGGCAAGGAGGATCCGGGCAAGCACGGGAACGGGACAACCAGTAGCGACAGCGCAAATGACACGAAGAATGCCGAAAGCGTCCCATTGAAGACCGCGAAGAATCCTGCGAGCCAATCCAACTAGTCATAGATAATTAGCAGAGTCAATCGGGGAAAAGCGGGGTTCCAACTTCAGGCGATGCGCAAGGGAAGTCTCGATTGTGGCCTTCTAGTAGTACCTTTGAATACGCAGCGACAGTGGTGCTGTGACCTGTCCTTAGATGTCCTCGGAAAGAGTATCATTGACATATCCAGTAAAACAATCCGCGAGCCGAAAGATTACCTGCAGTCGCTCAAGACGACTTGGAGTTCACGTTGAAGCTGAGGAGGAGGAGGAGGAGGAGGAGGAGGAGGAGGAGGAGGAGGGTCGTGACACGTCTGTGGCACGAGCGTCAGTGCCACGACGCCTGGGCCGGTGGCGGCGCTGTGGCTTGTCTTGTCACCGTCACTGGCATTTATCCTCACTAGCCAAGCGAGCAGGTAAGCATCGAGACCAGGAAATTTGCTCCAGCTGTCTTATACTCTGCCCTGATATTTGACTTGAACAATACTACAGGACTAGGGGTTGAAGGAACCCCGGCGCGAGTCTAGTACAATGGCGGCGCGGGCCAGCGGTGCCAATACACCCGTTGCACTTCATTGTTCGAGATGCGGGGATGGTATGAACACAGTTTCCGAATGCGATGAAATTATCTCATAAACTGCGGCATGCTGCAGATGGCCATTCCGTGCAAGACTGCTGGTCTCCCCAACGTGTATGTTGGAATTGCCATGAACATGGTCATCGTTCGTCAAAGTGTCCCCGTCCTCGAGGTATCCTGAACAGGATCTGCGGTGGATGTAAGGAGAAGGGTCACATAGCTAGTGAATGTCCCGTGCGCTCGGTATGTTATATGTGGTCTGTGAATCTCAGTGTTGTGCTCATTAACACGGGAACTAGCAATGGGTGTGTAACAATTGTGCTGATCAGGGCCATGGTCATTGGGAGTGTCGCAAACCCCGTGGATATTTGAGGATGAAATGCTCCTTCTGCGGTGGTGTTGGACACTTGTCTGATGACTGCACCAATGTCACTGTGAGTACCATTTGCACCCATGTTTGGTCCTTGCATGAGACATAATCCATGCGTGTCACCCTAGGATTGGATATGCAAGAACTGCAATGAGCAGGGGCATCTGTATGAAACATGCCGCAAGCCTCGTGGATATTTGAAACGAGTCTGCCGAGAATGCGGCCAAGCAGGTCATGTAGTGGCAGAGTGTCCTCGACGTCTATGCTTCGTGAGTACGTTGCTAGTATCTATCGCTCTGACGGGAACTCATACCAGACGCAAAGAGATGCGGGACGATAGGCCACTTGAGTGCATTTTGCACACATCCAATCAGTATAGGTAGTATGGTAGGCCGGTTCTTCTGAACATGCTAACTTATACCATCTCGTAGCTGTCTGTCATCGTTGCGGCAGCCAGAAGCACCTTACGAAGTAATGTCGTTACTCATATTCCATGCGGCTGTCGCTCATCTCTATGCGAATTAGGGACTGCCCTGTCTTCAAGCCCGCCGCTCCTACGCCCCAGCCTCGTCGCGAACACTCGCGTAGCTGCACCTGTACGACCTGCAATCGCGCAAGGCCCTCCCCGACAAATGAGAAGGATAGTACTCCTGCAGGTGCGATGAGGATCTGGCGGCACGCAATGGCGGCTTTCGCAGCCGAGGAATATGCCGACGCAGTTCGTCTGCTCACAGACGCTATCAGTGAGTCCAAGCGTGCCGATGCCAGAGTTTCATCCTGTGACAAAGCCTCGCGGACTGAATCCCATGCTTACTGGCAGGCATCGATCCTACCCGTTGGATCTTCTACTCGACCCGCGGCACCTCGCACTACCGCTCCGGAACACACGCCGCGGCCCTCAGAGATTTCCAACACGCGCTGAACTGCCTGGGTACACGCCCACCGCCGAAGTTCTGGTGCAGACCGCGCGATGCCGCCTGCGCCTGGGCTCCCGCGGCGCGGCGCTGCTCGCCGTGCGCGAGGCGCTCAACGTCGACCCTGCTGATGAGGCTGCACGTACACTGAAGCGGCGTCTAACACGTATGGAGGAGGCCGAAGAGGCCTACCGGCAGGCGCGAGCAGGCGGAAGGTGGCGGGCAGCGAGGACGGCACGGGAGACGTGTGTGGGGCTGTATGAGGAAGAGGAGTGTGTGGTCCCGGTTGAGGTCAGGTGTTGGAGTGTCCACTTGGCGGTGGCCGAGCGGGCTTGGGAGGAGGCTAAAAGTGCAGTTGAGTGCGTTGGTTATCTTCCTGCTTGTTTCGATCACGCTGAAACTAATGATATCTACGCCTCTCTTCAGTAAGCTCTTGGCGGAAGAACCGCAAGCCATAGATGTATTGCTAGCGAAGATCACCGTGTTATTCTTCGCAGGCGATATACCCGAGGCTCTCGAGCAAGCGAAGGCTGCATTGAAGTTTGATCCCGATAACGTTGCATTGAAGACTGCGTGGACCAGGATCAAGAATGTATCTCGTCATGAGGTTCGAGGTCGTGCATACAGCCTCTTCCGCGAATACGAGGCCGAGCTCAAATGTTGGGGACGTGCACTGGAGGTGAGTTCTCATGTTCGCAGCACGTTGAATGGGCATCAATGCGTGGGAATGAACTAGTTTGTCCCTGACCGCCTGGAAGACGGAGGAGGAGGCCTGTTGCGGGCAAGCTTACTATTCAACAAGGCGCGCGCTGAGTTGAAGGTGCAGTGCAGTCTTGTACTCGTGTTTCATTGATATGAGCTCACATTACTACAGCTGAAGCAATATGCTGAAGGACTCAAGAGCATTGATGCTTCGCTCAAGCTAGATGATCTTCGTTGGAAGCCATATCTCATTAGAGGCCGCATCCAAGTCGGTTTGGAGCTATTTGATCTAGCTGTGGAAGACTTCAAGATATGCTTGCAACGCGCACTGTTGAAGGCGAGCGATGCAAGCACGGACGACATTGAATTACTTGAAAGCGAATTGAAGAGAACTGAAAGGCTGGCCGCGAAGGCGAAGACTAAGCTAAAAGACTACTATCAGATCCTTGGTAAGTTGTGCTTTGGTTCTTTGATTGTACTCAATGTTGCGGGGCATCGCCGCTGACCATCACTTGGACCAGGCTTGAAACCGACCTGTACATCGGCCGAAATCCGCAGGGCTTACCGGACTGAATCGCTGAAACATCATCCGGACAAGGTGACGTCACCCGCAGTGCCCTCGGATATCGAGACTGATCCATCCCACTCTCGTAGGGAGGGATTGAGGAGAAATTCAAGCTGGTCAATGAGGCCTATTCAACGTTGTCCGACCTAGATGCTAGACTCATGTATGACGCCAAACGCGCTCGAGAATCTCGACGATCAACGTACAGCGCCGAATCGGACGAAGAGTACTACTAGGATGACAACAAGGTGATAGATACAGAAGTATATGGTATATTTCCGCCAGTGCATTAATGTTCTTGTCCATAATAGCTACGCTAGTACTCTAGTTAGGTTCTCTGAAGCAGCTCGAACACTCATACTTACTACGCTCCGGTTAATGCATCAACGTTGTACTGTTCTTGATGCCCTGCAGCTCAGAGTCAGACAGGGACCAATGACGCACGGTGGCACGGTGTGCAGAGGGCACAACATGCGTATCAGATAACGACATATGTCTGGTATTAAAGAAAATTAGAGGCTAATGGACACGGATAGACAATGCGGGCAGACAGTATGAGGCTCCGCGTAGTCAGACAGTAAATAAAATGCTGCACATAGGACGACTCATGTTGTTGGCAAACACACATCAGGTGACGGCATTGGTTAGCGCGATAGATTCGCAGGCCGTTCCAAATGCTTACGCTCGTACGCGATGAACTGGCAAACCATGAGCTGAGGTGCTACATAGATCGGAAGAAAACGAGCTTACTTCCATGCGCGGCGTGTGACACACCTCGGCTACGCCATGATGATGACATCTGAGTCAGTCCTTGACGACTTGAGCCCTCCTCCACTGTACTGGGAATGGGCTGGTGAGACGTATAATGTGTCGAATTTCGTATGCCTTGACTAGTCCGCCTTAGGGCTCCCTCTGTTGTCAATACGAGTCGAAAGCAGATGTAGAAGTCGGAAGAACTTGAGGAGCGCGCAGCGAAGATGAGTTTCGTTTTCTTCCCGTTTTCTTGTGTCCTATGTATGTCCCGTCCACGCCACCGTGACGCCGATTCACTGCCCCTATGAGAGGATGATCGGCTATCCTCTGCTCAAAATCGAAAGGGGGCCGAGTAGGCGGCTTGCTGGGCGTTTGCATAGGCCGGAGAGGAGTCTTAAGCAGCTGTCGGCCTGCAAGCTTGGGGCTTGTGTTGACATTCTTGGTAGCGTCTGGGGTACCTGGGCCGGAGGCGTTCTCATCCGTCCTTGCAACACGACGGGTGGGTGTCGGCGTCTTTACTGAGATCACTCGTGAGGGGACTTGCAAACTGCGCCTAATAGGCGGGGTGGTAGGGGCTACCGTATCGCGAGTTGAGGTCAACTGGAACGCGGATTCCGTACGCTTCGCGGATATCACCCGCGGAACCGAAGGCTTGCAATTCGGCGTTGCGACCTTGTAAACAGTAGAATGAGAAGGATTAGTTGGCGATCGTCCACAGGGCGCGAGGGTCTGCGCCTTCTTCGAAACAGCGATGGACTTCGTGTTGGGTGTCTTCGCCGTGATGGGAGAAGACATGGGAGAACTAGCCACGGAGGAGAATCGTGATGCTCCAGTAGTAGGGTGGGTCTTGCGCGACTGGCTCTGTGGAATGGCGGTCGTCTTGCGGCCTGGAGTACGCGGTGGAGAGGGAGGCGAGGCAATTGCGGACACCGTAGCTCGGATCTTGTCAAGCGTAAGCCTGACAGGAGATACAGATCCGGGACCACCGTTTTGGGCCGTATTCGCAGTTGTTACGCGTACAGGCAGACGAGAAGGCGTCACCGAGGGAGACGATGTTGTCGAAGCGCGAATGTCGTCCATGTCCTTCAACGGCGTAGTCATTGCTGAGTTGGCGTATAGGTTTGCAGGTGCAACGAGTAGGTTCGGTCGGATCAGTGCTGGGACCACCGGACGTCCAGGTAGCTTATCCTCAAGCTTAATGAGCGGGACTGGCTGATCCTTCAATTGCTCGATGCGCTTCTCGTATGCCTTGCGCGCCACATATTCCTGGTACCGCAACTTCTTTGCGTTGGTCGTCTCCTCGTCTTCGGTCTTCTTTGGCACCATCTCCTTGCTCAACAGACCGGTCACCCTGAGCTTGACAGTCTCGCGTTGCGCACTCTCCACTTTCAGAGGCTCGTGCTTTGCAACCGCCCGAAGGCCGCGCTGGCCTTCAGAAAGTAAGGCTTTCTTGGTGGCGGCATCCGTAAGTTCGCGACTCGTCTTCTTGAATGGGCCTTCTTTATCATTGCAGCTGTTCAGTGTGTCTAGGGAAGCCTCGTGAGAAGGTTGACGAGTTGTTACGAAGCGGGGGGTCGATGCGGCACGGGGAGTTGATGCGACACGAGGGACGCAGGCGAGTTGCACCAAAGCGGAGACGACGCCACCCATGTCACGCTCCCATTCTTCTTCTGCGGCTAGGCTACGCTGAACGAATCCTTCACATCCAATAATGCCCGGTTGTTCGTTAGCGTAAACACGGGGTGGACTGAATGTACCATCACTGGGCTCATGCTTAGCCAAAAGTCTCGCCATGGTATCCAAGATAGCGCGACGTGTGTCTGCTGCCTGACGCTCGACCTGTATGAGCTTGCGAAGATCGTCGCAAGCTGTGCGAGTCATCATCGGGGAACCATGATCGTTGAGAGGTAGAGTGGGCACAACAGAGGGAACAGCCGTAGGCACACTGGCTGAGTTGAATGCTGCAGGAATATCGGGAGAGGCGAGGCAGTCGATGGGTTCCTTCTGCTCGCTCACGGCAACGAAAGAGAGGATGTGTCCAACAATCCTGGCGAATTCCTGAGCAGGAGCCTGGGCAGGGCCACCGAGGGATATAGGAGCAGTTATAGTGAGGGGCTTGTCATTTGCCGGGAGAGATGAACGAGAAAGAGCTAGCGCAGAGTCCTTCGAGCCGGAACCCTCGCTTGACGTTGTGGAAGTAGCAAGGGAGCCAGACGATAAGCCGGGACCTGGTTTGCACATGGATGCTTTCGGACCGTGCATGACGGTGATCGATGATACTACCGTTGTGTCCCCACTCATGTTGGACTGCTCAGGGACGCTTCCGGTTTGCTTCTCCTGCAGCGTGTGGGCTCTGGAGTGGGTCGGGAAAATCAGCGTGGCAGACGCATTCGTTGATACCAAGCTGTAGTCTAACACGTCCCTGGGCATCGCACTTCGGCGGAGACGGTTCAGCGTAAGGAAGGTGCAGAAGTGATGAGTACTTACGGAAAGAAGACGTCCAGTATATCTAATGGGACCTGCTGTTCCTTGACCATTGTCACGTCGAGTGAGCCAATTGGGTGCGATTCGACGACGGTGGCAACCTCGATCTCCTTTGGTTTCGTGGATAAGTCATCGGTAGGTGTCGGTATAGAACTTGAACAGGGTACAGGTTCGTCTCCCTGACCAACACTGGAATTATTGTCAAACGTTGGCACTTCAGCTGCTTGAGGGGCCTTCGGCAGAGTTCGTGTGACGCCCTTGTCTCTACGACCTCTTGGACAAGGAGGGGCTCGCTGTCTGCGTTGACAGCATTTGAAGGCAGGATCTTGGTGAGCGAGCACGCCGCAACGATGTCGACGCAGCTCCGATAATCTTCACAGGGCTCAACATTCTCCCGTTCTTGGTCGGCACCGGTCTCGGGAGGTGTTACGTGGGTTTGTGCAAGGACAACCTCCGGCTCTGTGATAGCGCGAATGACGGCTATCTTGTCGCCTTCAATGGCCTGGAGAGACGGGCATGTGTCAACAAGGGCTCCCGTAGGTCCCTTCGAGTTAGGGATCGCGCTCGATGACAAGGCGGACACGTCAAGGAAGTCAAGACATGAAGTCTGTGTCAGTGCCTTCGGACTGGGCGAGACGGAGACCGTCGACGTCGTCGATTTGTTTCCACTCGTCTCCTGCACAAAGGTGTGCGAAACGTTGGACTGCTCGGTGACGTTGCCATCTTCCTTGTCCTTCTGCGGTCCGTAGAACTGGGAATGGGTCCGGTAAGGTGGCGTGCCGGACGTATCTGTTGGTGCGAAGCTGTAGTCCAGCACGGCCTTAGGCGTCGCACTTGAAGAAGGTTCAGTTTCAATTTACGAGGGGAAGAAGGGGCAAATGCTCACAGTATGAAGGACCCGGGAACAGCCCACGGAACCTTGACTTCCTCATTCGTTGGCCCATTGAGTCGTCGAGACGCAATTCCGCGACGGTTGTAACCTTCTTATTCTCTTGTGGGACCGCGATTAAGTCGGCAGCAATGCCGGGAGAGACTGCGTACAAGGCGAGGATCCGTTTCCCACATTGGCGCTCGTCTTGATGTCGTATGTCGTCGTTCCGACTGCGTCAGAGACTCCTGTGCCCGTCGACGGCAACACCTGAGTGAGCACGTCTGTCTCTACAGTTCCTTCGAGAACGATTGGCCATCTGTCGGCGCTGATAACGTTCGAGAGCGACGTCGTGGTGAGCGGGGATGCTGCAACGATGCCGACGGAGCTCCGATTGTCCTCAGTGGTAGTGCCCCGCTCTTGGTCGGCATGGGTCTCGAAAGGCGTAACGTGGATTTGTGCGACGACGGCCTCTGGTTCCTGGACAACACGAACATTGAAGACCTCATCGCCGCATCCAAGGGGCTGCGAGAGAGCTCGAGTGGCAGGGGCTGTAGCAGCGGAATTGTGATACTGAACGTCGCCTCGTTCGTCTCGACAGGGAGTTGCAAAGGCTCGGAAACGTGCGCTGGCTGGCCTGAGTTAGCTGCTGACGGCACGACAACAAGGACTTCGTGGACCAGAGTAGCGACTTGCTTCGGAGCCTGAGGCTCGACCTTCCTGTGGGTAGGAGCACCGACCGTAGTGTCCTTCTCACCGCCATCCGCCCTGCAGTTGGTAATATCCTTGAAGGGAGCTCGACCTACGTTCTTCACCTTCGACTCATCTCCGCCGTCACCCCGAGATGCCTTCTTGGAGACACGACCTTGTACTCGGCGAGCGAGAGCGACCTCATCGCGTGCATCTCCGCCAAGAGCCCTGCGGCTAGGAGCAGGAGTAGAATTCGTTGCGGATGTTGGAAGAGCACGCATGTTGACACGGTCCAGAACCGAGAGGGCAGCGGCAGGGTCAATGACGCAGGTAGGATCGACCCCGGCAGTAAGCTGAGGTTGCCCATGGGTCCAGGCTCGACTGATTGATTGACTTCGACATTGATCGAGGGTGATCCTAGCCGGACAGCAGGCTCGCATGCAACCGCTGACCCGAGACCAAGGTCAGGAAGCTTGGGGACACTTGAATCTCCCATCCACGCTGCCCTGTCAGCCACAAGGTCGATGTGTTCGACAGAAGGATCGTCCGCGCCTGGATCGACGTGAACGAAATCCTCGTCCTTGGTTTCGACGACGATGAGGCAGCGGCAGTCGGGTTTGGCCTTGTGGCGGCACAAAATTGCGTTCACAAATGTCTTGAGAGACTTCCGGAAGCGCTTCTTCGCCTTTCTGGACTGTATACCCATGGGCGGTGGCGGTAGGCGAGGGAGGGTATTGATGGAGGCGATACTGGCAGAGCATACGGCGTAGCACATCGTGCAACCTTGGTGTGCGAAGAATGATATGAAGCTCGTGTAGAGTGCTTGGAATGCAGAACTAGAACGGAGAGAGACAGAGCAGCGGGGATAGCGAGCGAGGTGCTTGAAGTCGCGACAGTGTCAGCCGCCAGGCTGAGGCTGACGGGTTGCATGGGTTCGTCTCGCGGTCTGGCCCAAGCCACATGAATCCATTATCTGCATTTCGTATTGTCAAAAACATGGGACAGCGCACTGCGTGTTGTTATGAGCAGACTTCGTTAAGCAGGGGCTCGCCGCTTGCTCGCTGCCGGTGATGACTTCGACAACACGACGTACAGCGGGAAGCTTGCGTCAGGTCTGCAGTTCTGTCAGAGAAAGTAACACAGTTCGTCTATCAGTGCGTATTCTGTCGAACAGTGGTTGAGAGGCTTGCCATGGTCATGCGCCGGGGACATCCGACGACTCGTCGGTGAACTTGCTCTTCGAGTTCGAGTCAAATTTGTCCGTCCAGAATGAGGCGTCACGACGTGCGACTCGCATCGCAGTTCTATGTGCTAAACAATGCTGTCCTCGTCTAGAAAGATGAGGCCAAGGAAGTCAGTAGTCCAGCTCAACACATTGATCTCGATGCATATGTATGAGCGCACGGTGTCAGCGCGTGATTGGAACGCGCCGTTCCGTGACTGGGCGTAGTGTGACCTGGATCATGTGAAGCGTGACGTTTGCCACCAGCGCGTCGCCACTGGCACAAACGCGGTCGGACGCAGACGCGACTTTGACCGCTACATTGTTCTCCTCCACCTCAGTCCGCTATAGCACTCCGCTAGAATAACCATCAACATGCCCAGGGACTCTTTGGACTCACAGCTGGGAACCGAATATGACCCAGATCAGGACCCAGAGGAAAAACGCAACCTACGACGGCAATACCGCAACCTCTACAAATCCACCACCGAAGGTTTGTCCTCGTTTGATGTTAACCCAGGAGGCATACGAAAACTCACAATTTTGTCCAGATGCACAGGGTCATGCCAAAGACCTTACGGCAGATCAATTGGTGGAGAAGGTCAAGCAGTCTGACTCGCTATTCCATCGCGGTCTGTTGCTCGTAGTCTACCGCGAGAGTTATCTTGACCTCTGGTGTGCAGTGAAGGGAACGGCGGAAGCGACATTGGACTCGACTTTTTTGCTTGCTGCGACCCAGATGGGCGCGGCGAAAGCTCGAGCGATGAAGGCGGGTGCCGGCGCATTCGACGTTGATGACTTTGTCTCCCGCCTCATCACCTACATGGGCCGCAATCAAGGCGTCGCTGTCCCAGAGGACCTTGACTCAGATGAAGAACAAGACTATAACGGAGAATTACTGGATTACGCTCGCATCGGCCGCCGGGCATTGGCGAAGAGTCGCCGGATCCCTGTAATGGACTTCATGTACGTCGTGCTCACGAATACAACCACAGACCTGCAGAGTTGATGACCTTTGTACAGGCTTGGCCCACTGTCGATAGAGCAAAAGAAGCGAGCTGTCACCAAGCGTGCAACATTGCAGAAAGATGAGCGTGAAAAGAGGAAGCCGCAGGAGATTACGGAGGGCGACATCACTCGGTCGGAGAACGAGACGACCAAGAATGTTGCCACAGTACGTCCCACATCTCCTGTTCTTCCCAGGCATCTCGAACTCAGGCCCGGGCGATATAGTTGGAGCGGGTCTTGCAGCAGCAGGAGAGCAGAGTGAACCTATTCCGCGTCATCGTCAATCCCAATGACTTGGACAGTCCGTCGAGAACCTCTTCTACCTCTCGTTCCTCATACGCGACGGAAAGTGCGCACTTGAATTCGATGATGGAGAACCATTCATCTGTGCGTTTTGACATGACCATTGCGCGCGAATACGTTTGCTCATGCACCCGGCGCTCCTGTCTGCCCTTCACAGACGTCACAGAGCAGCCCTCGGAAGAAGACTACGCCCAGGGCCTCCGGAAGCAGCAGCTCGTTATGGAATTCGACATGGCCACCTGGAGGGTGCGTGTTAAGCCTCATGGATCACATCCGCACTCAGCTTCCATGCATCCTGACGCCAATTTTATGACAGCGGGCTATTGAAGTCTTCGATATCAAGGACGCACTGATCCCTCAGCGGCCCAAGTCGACCTTGAGGATCGGCGGAAAGTGGTACGGGTAACTGGGGTCCCGGGGACCCTTGTACCTTAGGCCTCTCAGGCCACAGTGACCGGCCGTCACGTCCGGGCTCTGGCAGCCTGTTGTCGCTTACCGTGTTATTCGTTGCTTTATACCAGCTCTACTTTATGTGCTTACTGTATGTCGTGTTGTACATCATAGTTGGTATTGTAGAGCTCGACCGTGTACTGAACTTTCTCGCCGTAGTTTGACCTGACGCGGTTGGCTATTGCCATAACCAAGGTGCACTTCGTCATCCCCGGGCTGGGTGCAGAATGAGGGTGACATCGAAAGCATCTAAGGTTACACTGTCTACTATGCACTACACCCACGGCTGCCAAGGTGCGGCCTATTACTTCAGCTTCTCAAACATCGCTATCGACGACTCCAAATTGGCGACCTCCGTCTCGAGCAATTTCCGCTGTACGTCCGCAGGCATCAGCGGCACCGAAGGGCGCTGGAACGCGAATGACACCGTACCTTCTCTTCGTTGGCCGCGCGCACATCCGCGGGGACGGTCTGCTCGTAGTCGGGGTGAGACTCGGCCTTGCGCGTCTTGTCAAGATTTATCCGCGCCAAGTCTAGCTTCTTCTCCGACTTGTTGATTTCATTGTCGAGGTCTACCTGCCCCTATAGAGGGATTCAAATAAGCGTATTCAGCGAAGTCCCTTGTAATATATCATGGAAGGGATGAAGTGCGGAAGGGAAGCAAGATAGGGAGAGAGACCGAGACCGGACCAGACACCTACCCGCACAAGGATGTATGCAACAGTGGTGGGGGAGATAACATCGGAGCCACACCCGGCAGGGATCTCCTCAATCGTCCGCACAATCTTCGCAGTCTTGAAGTTCTTCATGAGCGCCAAGAGGGTCGGGACCTGGCCCTCGATGAGGGCGGCCTCCTTGTCTGATTCCACGCGAACGAACACTGCACGCGGTGCGGTCAGTACTAAGCCTTCTTGAGCGACAGGCCGAAGAGATAGCAAACGCACACTGGGCGTCCTTCTGCAGGTTGTATGATGCTGCGAGGGAACGGCCGGACCTGACAACGTCGTAGACAAGTTCGAACTCCTTCTCGGCACCGGGGAAGGCAAACGCCTTGTCCTAATGCAGAGAAGCAATGGTGATTAGTGTGCTCATGTTTGTCGAGATGGAACGTCGCACAGATATGGGGAAAGAGGAAACCATGATTGACGGTGTAGGATCATTGAGTCGGCGCGGGAGGCGTTGCCACAATTCCTCCGTGACGAAGGGCATGAAAGGATGGAGCATGCGCAAGCCGTAGTCTAAACATGTGTACAACGTCTGTTGTGACGACTTCTTCGTCACAGACGGAGCCGACTCGTCGGTCATGGCCTTCATCGCTTCCTGATAGAGGCCTCTGTTAGCGCTGCGCCTCCTACGACCCGATCTACCACATACAATGTAAACGTCGCACAATTCGTACAGCCAGAAGTTGTGTACGGCGATGGTCGCCTCGAAGAAGTCACGGCGTTCAAGATCGCGGTTGAGCTTGTCCGCAGCGAAGTTCAGCTTGTCGAGAATCCATCGCTCTACGAGACTCTCGTTTCCCGTCGGACGTGCTACCGGCTCCGGGACGAACTCCTCGTCTAACTTCAGCATGGCGAACTTCGTCGCGTTGAAGACCTTGTTGCAGAACTTGCGGTAGCCCTCCACGCGCATGATGCTCAAGTTGATGTCCCGACCTACGCAGCTCAGCTTAATACATATCGACAAGCACAACGAAGGCACTGACCTCCTGACGAGTAAGCGCAAAGCGCAAAGCGGAGGGCGTCTGTGCCACATTGCGGGATACCCTTAGGGAAGTCCTTCTTTTGGCCCGTCTTCGCTTCGCAATCTCCTTCTCGTCGAGGTTGCCTTCGTACAACTTGAGGTGCAGGTCGTCCAGCGCAATGCCCTCGATGACATCAATCGGGTCGATCACGTTGCCGAGTGACTTGCTCATCTTCCGGCCGTGCGCGTCGCGGATCATAGCGTGACAGAAGACCTCCTTGAAGGGCACTCACCGGTGTGGTGATGCCGAGCATGACCATGCGCGCCACCCAGAAGAAGAGGATATCCCAGCCCGTCTCGAGCACCTGTTCGGGTAGAACATGTTGAACTCTGGTGTCTGCTCTGGCGTCAATAATATGAACCGACGTTCGCACATCAGGACAAGTACCTTGTCTGGCCAGCCCATGATGGAGAACGGCCACAGGCCAGAAGAGAACCACGTGTCTAGGACATCCTCGTCTTGCTCCAGAGTGAACTTGGCGCTGCCGGCACCTTCTTCGCGCGCTCGGTAGCTTCGTCTACCGTCCGACCTACCACCCAGTATTGCCATCGCTTGGCTGCAAACAATTAGAGCGGAAAACTTGCGACTAGACGGCAGACTAACATCCTGTTCCTGGCCTTCTATCCGCACGAAGTACGCTGGACACCGGTGACCCCACCACAGTTGACGAGAAATGCACCAATCTTGAATGCCCTCCAGCCATCGATACCACTCGGCTCTGACGACTTCGGCTGGATCACCATCTCGCCAGCGCGCGTGCGCTGCGTGGGAAGTGAGCAGCTCCCCGAGCGACAAGGACAACTTAGAATACGCACCCGGATCGCTTCTTCAGCGAGGGGTTTGCAGTTTACCCACCACTGAGGCTTGAGTATAGGCTCGATGACATCTCCCGACTTGCTGCAGATGGAATCTGCATCGGGTTGTCCTTGGCTTCAATGTAGAGACCCGCATCTTGCAACGCCTTAACAACGGCTACACGAGCGTGGAACCGTTTCATGCCCTAAACTGCAATGAGTGTAATGCCAACTCCATTAGAAAATGACACGAACCGTAAACCTCTCGCCCGCATTAGCATTGAACGTGCCATCATCATTGAGGATGTTGATGAACTCCAGATTATGCCGGACGCCGACCTCGTAATCATTGAAGTCGTGCGCGGGCGTGATCTTCACGGCACCGGTACCGAATTCCATGTCAACGGCGATGTCGTCCGTGACGATGGGTATCCGCCTGTTGTTGAAGGGGTGGACAGCGAATTTGCCGTGGAGGTGCTGGCAGAACATTGAGCATGGTTATCGGGACGCTCGCGACGGGTACGAACCTTGTACCGGGAATCGTCCGGGTGGACAGCGATGGCAGTGTCGCCGAGCATCGTTTCGGGCCGCGTCGTCGCCACGATGATCCTCTCGTCTGGTAAGTATTAGATAAATTACATGTACGCGTGCGGGAACCCTCTACACACCTGAACCTTCGATGGGGTACGCGAAAGAGGTAATGACCCCGAACTCAAACTTCTCTTTTGCGTCATACCCGGGACATTCAGCAAGTCTTCCCAGTAAGTTCTTTTTGGTCAACCTGTCCGAATACAGGTCAATATTCTACTCTGAACAACCCTGTAGACTGACGAACGCACTTCAAGGTTGGAAAGGGTTGTGTTGAGCCGCACACACCAATTGACGAGCCGGTTCGCACGATAGAGAAGACCTGCATCATGAAGGCTGCAGAAGTTTTCCATGACGGCTTTGTAGCGTGGCTAAAACAGGCTTCAGTTGCTGCGTTCCGCCAATGATAGAGTCTATTCACCCACCTCGTCCATGGTGAACGCAACACGATCCCAGTCGAGACTGCCTCCTAACCGTCTCAACTGGTTGGTGATACGAGCCTGATACCTAGAATGACATGCATGAGTTAAAGGGAGTTATGCATGGCGTCTTGTGACACTCACTCTTCCTTCCACTCCATGACAGTCCCAAGAACTTTTCACGACCGAGGTCATGTCTTGTCTTGCCCGATGTTTTGTATAGCCGCTTCTCGACAACCGACTGCGTTGAGATACCAGCGTGGTCATATCCAGGACATATACGACGGTCTTTCCAAGCATACGTTGCCTATATAACATTGAGCAACAAGTTCTACATGCTTCTTGGACCAATAAATTCATGTGCCAAAGACAGTTACGAGTGCGCAGACACCTTATGAGGACCCCTGATCATTGGGAAGAAAGCCTTGAACAAATTCGGACGAGATTGGGGTTTCGGAGGGAGGTACGGCTGATCTTTGTCCTGATACATGCACCAGTCCCAACAAGACTGAGGAATCACACAGGCATACGCTTCGTGGTCACTTGAGGGGTGAGGAGCTGGACAGGGATAGCCCATATGCTCTCGCGTACAGCGTCGACGTGACAACCACCCCTCGGGAAAGCAGAGTCTTGTGTAAATGACAGGTCCGTTGGTAGAGCCCTGAAGAAAAGTCCGGACAAACCATGGAGCTCCTCGGGCAAGCCATATTTCATCCGGACTTTTGGGGTAGAAAATCGCCACTTTGTCCGGACAAAATGTCAAATCCACCATCAGGAGGAGGAGGAGGAGGAGTGCCCAGCTCGGGTGAGCTGATAATACAGCGGGTATGTAGGCCCCATATTCCCTATCATCAAATGACTCACCATCGAATCAGAGTGTCCTGAATCGCTACGGTCAACGCATGTCCGATGTGCAAACTGCCGGTGACGTTGGGCGGGGGAAGGGGAATGACGAATGAGCCTTCAGGTTTAACCTTGCCGTCTGGTGTAAGCTGAGGCTTGAAGAAATCTTGCGCCTCCCACCAGTCGTACCAGGCCGCCTCGACAGCGATGGGGTTGTAACCGCTGCCCATGGGTTGCGAGACATCTGTAGGCTGGTGAGGGTGTGTTCGGCAAGATATGAGTACAACACACACCCTTCTTCTCCCCCTTCGGTGTCGTATTGACAAAGGGTACCTCCTCATCCTTCTTCTTCTCCTTCGCTGGCTTCGCCTTCTTGTCACCCGAGGCGGGACCCGCCGTGGCAACTTTCGCAGCTAGTCGGGCCTCCTTCTCCGCCCTCTTGGCCTTCTTTTTCTCTGTGTTGCACTACTTGATTTATGCATCGGGAATAATGGCTGCAACATGACACACCAGCGTTCTTGGAGATCGACGCCAGGTCTGGTGCATCCGCAGCTATGGCTGCCGCTTTTGCTGGAGCCGAATCCGACATTGTTCTCAGACAGAGACCGTAGGCACCGTGTCGGAATGGTCTGGGTGAACTTGGCCTCGGCAGGAGCGGTGAGCGTGCAAGGAATCGATGCAAGACTTGCATCGACTCAAATCCGATGAGCTCCTGCACGCGCCGAGTCACGAAAAGAAGCAAGTCTCCCACGACAGCCAGAACACGCTCCACGTGGCTAATTAAAGTCACGGGGTCGCGTCGCTCCTCGAACGACGGACAACCGAATTCAACCCGTGTTCACTGTGTTCACGGCTGTCTGGCAAGTTCAGCGACCAGGCGGGCAGCCCCGGCTACCTCATATATCATTTGAGCATTTGAGCTCAAACATGTTCAGAAAGTAAATACTGACGCCGGCCGGGATCTCGGCCACCTAAGGAGTCGATGCGGGCCTTCGGGTCCATGCTTACTTCGACCGCTTGGGTGAGTATCTGGGACCATGTTAGAACATCCTATGTACACAGGAAAATTGTTAGAAGAAATTATTGACCACTGGGTCGAAGGTAGTAAGCACTTTCGTGACGAGGATCCTGGGAACCAGATTGACTACGAAGTCGGCCATGCAGCCAGAGCTGGCCCGCTACAACGCTGATATTATCCTAATCAGCATATATGTACTCCAGAATGTCAATAGATATATCCTCAATACTTCAGCAGCTGTTCAGCCCAAGATACAAGCACAATGGCTGGATACTGTCGATGGGTTGAGAATATGCACTCAGCACTTACCATATACTATATCGGGTCACGATCTCGGACAGCCTAAGTAGTCGGTCACTCGAGCCTCATTCAACAATCACCCCTTCTATAGCTATGAAATAAATCGTAGCATGTCTCAATGCATCCTTGTAATGCCTGTACAAAATTTTGAAGCCAATACACTGAGATCTGTGTGCAGGAAAAATCACCCTTTGCGATGATACCTATTTCTGGTAAGCAGTGTGGCTCACCCTACTCTCGACCAGAATGTTAGCTACTGAGCTCGACTCAATGATCGTATATTTTTTCTTATATTTTTCTCGTATTTCTGAGGTCTCTTAACATACCTCCTCACAAGAATTCAGGTCATTATGGCCCATACAGAGTGAGGAGGGCTTGTCGAATGCTTAGGTGGCCGAGATCGTGACCCGATATAGTATGGACAGCATCGCACAGACTGATTTTTTCTACCTTCAGTTCGTACTGTATTGGCTTGAGGTGGTGTGTATACATTGTACAGATGGATAGCTCGACCCTAATATTTTTGTCGTGGCTAGAGGACGGGTTGCAGTAGACTAGGAGCGTGATGACCGGCGACTGCCTAGGGTGGCCGAGATCCCGGCAGGTACGTCAAGGTCACGGGGATTACCGGCCAAAATAATTATTCACAGAGAAACTCGATGACCTGCTATAGTAATTAAAGGACAGAAGGCCATCGTATTTCGTGAGTTGGTGGTCAACGACGCCATTTTGTGCTAAATGCGCTATTCAGTTCGTACGGCAGTAAGTACTTAGATAGAAGAGTGTCCCAACTCGCTCTCGTCCACCTCTGTCCATCACCATTTGTGACTGTATGTCGTCGCGCATCTCATCCCGCCATCTCCACACAGTGAATGCCTTCCATGCAGACCTGGTGGTAGAGTCATTAACATCTCCCCGATCAGCACGTTCGACACGTCCATCGATGTCCAGGACCCCAGATTCCAACACGACGGGGTCAGCAATGTCTTCCATGAGTTGTAACCGGTCCTGCGGCTGAGGCTCTCCGCGGCCATTGACCAACAGCGTAACGTGTGGGCTGCGTGTCGACCTCGGTGGGACCAATACATTGATAGTGGAGCTGGGCGCGTTGATGCTATCGATCTGCGGGCAAACGGGGGTCAGGGGAGTTAGTACGTGAGTGCGCTTGATATGCATACCAAGATGTCCTTCTCTACGGTCACTCCAAGCCGAGGGAAGTGTTTCCGAAATGAAAGAACATCTCCTTCCTGTAGAAGGCCGCGCTTAGCGAGCGCCGTGAGGTCGACTTGCTGCGAGCTACGCAGCCGCAGTTCAGCCTTCCGGTTACGCAGCACAGAACATTGACTCGACTAACTGATCCTGTTGCGGGCGATGGTCCCTCTCCCAGACCTCATCCTTCCATTCTGCGTGCAGGGCTCCTTCACGCACGCCGGACTGAAATTGCGTTACTTCCTCGCGGGCCTTCTTTCCGAACCACCCAGAAAACAGATGGTCTTGGTATGTGTGCGCAGCGGATAAGAAAAACGGCGACGTGAATACCGCAGGGTCCAATGTTGCGGGCATTCGCTTCTGCGCACTCTGGAAAGGCCCAGAGCTGGAAGATGGCTGTGTGTCGATGTCCATACCATCTTCGCCCGCGGGCGCTACTGTTGTGTCATTGGATATCGCTGAAGGGTAGTCGACATGCGTGGGGGGTACAGATGTTGAATAGGCGATGAAGGCAGTCGGCGGAAGGTGGGACACAAGGAGGCGTTGAGACTCGGGTGATAGGTCAAGGAAGATTGCGTAGTTCAGTATGTCCTACAACATCGGAGCGCGTTAATTGGCAATGAAGACAACCGGGGCCATTGCGGCAGATGTACACACGGAGATATCTAATTTGGTGAGTTTGCTCCTGGGGTTGGTCAGGAGGTATTCAAGCTTTTCGGCCGAGGTCTTCTCGGAAGCCTGTGCCTTGCCTTTACCCGGTGAATTGGAGTGCTCTCCTTCCGTCACAGTAAACGGCGCTTTGATGGGAGCGCGGGTTGAGCGGCGTGGACGACCGCTCGCGACGCTTGACTCTGCCATGCTCTAGGTGAATGACGCAAGGTAATGCCTCCGTTTACGAACCTCAAAACACAAGGATAAACAAGCCCGGGCGTACCTTGTTCTCCGTCCGATGCTCTCCAGTGTGGTTTGCGATCGTTGTCACAGCCTTGGTCATGCAATCCCAGTACTCCAGTATGCGGTATAAGCTGTCCATAGCAGGGTTCTATTGTCAGCACCACTGCGGCGCTATGTGAATTACGCACCGTGACTGGCAGGGACAAGCACAGCGACTGCCAAAATGTGAGTGGTGCGTGTCTGTTGCAAGAGATCCGACGAAGTATGTATGTTCAGTCAGAGGGACATAAGTTTGCGCGTTACGCCGGGCACCTTGACTGTTAGATGCGTCATATGAGCGTTTCTGAGTCTTTGACACTCACCTGTAGAGTGTGACAGGTCGACCTCGGAGACCTCACAGTCTATGTCTGTAGCTCGCTGAAGCCAGTGCGCTACACACCATTGTGCTCCGAGTCCGTGGGACTCCGGCAGACGCGCGCATTGGCGTCTTGCTGCACGTGCCTGTGCGTGCCTGCGACGCGCCTGTGGCGGATATTTCCGCGACGCGTCGAGTTCGCACCGGTGAGGGAGGAAAGTGAAGGGATGAGATGACGACAGAGGCGGTGAAGGCCCGCCTTAAGTACTCAAGGGCGGAATAACAGGTAATGAGCTAACACAGAAGCCGCGGCGGAGTTTATAACGGAGACGAGGCAAGATCAGAGTTGATCGAGAGTACAGTGAGGTCGTTCCGGATTCGGAAGGTGCCCTTCCCTAAGAGGAAGGTGTTGTACGTCAAAGTCACATGAACACCTGTCCAGAACAGTGTCTTGAACTGAGGCATACGATCGCGAATCCATGGACCGGTCCCGGTCAAGGCGGGGAGCTATGTATGGCGTGTACGACCTGCAGCCCTTCAGGCCTTCAGCCAACGACGTCCGCGCTCGGCGTACAGGTAGGTCGCACCATTCGCTCTAGGTCGTCGCGGTGGCACCGGTAGTCGATCGGTAGAGTCGAGATGTCTAGTACAGCGGAGGATTCATCGTTCGTGTCGTACAAGATCTATCATGCATGCATTGAGTAGAGCGAATGAGATCAAAAGGAAATAGATCTATCCGACGACGGGTAGGGGTTTTCTCTGGAAGCTGACAGACGCAGCAGCAAGACGATATCGATGATGATGTGGCCAACTGGATGGTCGATGTTCCTCATGCGATACTATTCCAAAAGGATATTTTGTGAAGATTGTATGCGTATGAGATGCGTGCACACAGATTCACACCCCTTCAAAACCCGTCCCAAAGGTTAAGTACTGTTGTGATGTCCACTATTCGACCATCGCATTTCATTTACAGTAATGCCGCTTCTTACGCGACCAGCATCTATTTCTACACTGTGACCATTCAGAATGACGGAGCTGACAGCATAGGAGAAGACACAATCATCGACGGAGCATCTGTGTTGTGCTGCCGGAATGATCCTGCGAGATTCAAAGGGTGTGAGCTTAAAGCTAAGTACGGATACAATGTTACATACTTACTCACATGCACAAACAGGCGATCTGCGGTGCGCAGCAGCACACGCTAGACCCTCAAAGCTGCAGGGTCTGGAAGCTTCAGCGGTGACAAGATGGCCGGTGCAACTTCAAGGTTGACGCAAGGCGGCGGCGCCGCCCTACGTAACAAATTTGACAGGCTCGAGAGATGGCAATACATGAGTGAATACGGATAGACCGCCGCGGCCGACCTACATATTTGTCTGCGACATCATCTCGTGGACAACGACCGCGCAGTTAGAACGCTTCAGAGATAAGCCACATGTACAGCGCGCAGTGAGACAGGCCACGGTATACAACTGCCAGAGATCCACACAAAGATGTCACAGTGCGAGCAGGAACACACATTAGATTCAGAATCGCAGGCATGGTCTACTAAGACCGACGTGCGTACGGTATCAGTCCATATCATGACCTAAGAGGTCGGTGTCCGAGGGTATAGAACTCTCTTCCGCATCTCAATTGAGGCCAACGAGGCGCAGCTGGACAGGGGCGCAAGAGCCGAATCATAGTCCGCGCTGTCCTCCGAAGCCTCGTAGACAACGATATCCTGGCCACTCGAGTCCCCGCTGTGGACTGGCAGAGCGAGAACGAATCCGTGTCCGCGTTAACGGCGAGGATGGGGTACGGGTTCCCATGTTCGGGTCCGTGTTGGCCTACGAAATTGCGCTCAAATTGGTTGGCACGAGTCAATCAAGAATGTCATACCACAGCGCAGTACGCCTGGACCGCAGACGGCAGGTCTCCGTCGCTGCTGACCGCGAAAGTGGGGGCGTCACCGGAGCTGACGCTCAGGTCGGTGGCGTTCGTATCGGTGGAGGCCGGAATGGGCAGCAAAGAGCCTGTGCTGAGGGAGAAAGACCCCCAGGTGTTGTCGGGTTGCGATGCATTGGTCTATAGTCGAGTTCGCGTCAAATCGTGTTACATCAAGAAAGGCCAGAGATGGCACGCACCGCAAACACCATGTGGGTAGCACTACCTTCAGTGCCCGTCTCCGTGAGCACGACAGGCACACCGGTTGTGTTGTCGTCAGAGCCCGAGGATCGAAAGCCGCAACAGTGAAGTTGGGGCGGTATCGAAGGCGCCACCACCGAGGCCTTGGCACCAGTCAGCGGAACTGCTCACGAGGCCGTGAGGGAGCGAGGCGGCGAAAGAGACAGCGCTCATCGCCAGAGGGAGGATTGCGTAAGAGAGCATTTCGGTTGGAGAAAGAGTGACTTTGGAAAAGACAGACGGGGTAGTGTGAGTGAAGGCGAACAGAGAGCCAGGGAAAGCCTCGTGAGATCAGTCCTGGTATTTGAACCCTCCGCTTACCGGCACCGCCCACACGTTTCACACCCGCGATGCGTCATTTTGCAGGTGCCAGCCGAGCGAATCAACCGGGTTCATGCGGCCAAGCGCGGCGGGAGCACCAACATAGATCGGGGCAAGCTACACAGCGAGTTCTCGCGCACATATCGCACGATGTCTCCGTCTTTCTCTCGCTGAAATTCGACGACGACGCCCAAACCATCGGGCGCATTCTGTGAATTGCATGTGGCGGCAGGAGGCGGCGAGCGTCGGTCGTCACGGCGGGCCCAACTTCTAAATGATCGCCATCAGCATGTGAAGCCGGCTGCACTGCTTACCCACATCTGGGGATCTGGTCAACGATTTGGATATTAATCCTCTCCGGTGAGCTTCGGTGAGACCGTTCGACCGATAGAGGCCATCACAAACGTAAGTATGTAGGAGTAGGCGCATGTGTATGACATCCAGGATGTAGCGAAATCCGGAGTCGTCCAGAAGCGGAAGTGGCTCGGGAACCCGACGCCCACGTGAGGCGGCCGTCGGCGTCGGCGCCTATCAACGCTCCAGTTTCTCTCGACCATGGCGGCTGGATGTCTGAACACAGAACAGCGACTATTCTTTCTTGAAGCTACAGCATTTTACTTGACAGTACGAAGGGCAACATCAGTGCGTATTTTTGTTTTACGAAGTAGAAACGAGGAAGTATACATTTCTTTCGTGCATGGACTATCCCCATTAAGTTGCTTCCGAGTGCAAGTTTGGGTGGCTATATGCGCCTGTAAAGGACGATAGTTCATAATTCCAGGTCATTTCAGTACCATTGCATAGATTGATTCATAAACCGCAGATTCCGTTGGCACTACCACACATTGCATCTGAGCGGCTGGTATGTGACCCCTATACTCGTGCCAGTGCATGTCTACTTATCCAAATCATACCCGTGAACCCACAGTACGATCAGGTAGCCTGCTCCAATACTTATTGCATGGTGGCGTGATATTGCGGAGACAATTCACCACACTGTTAGCGCATATATGCGTGTCATCTAAAAGTAACCTTCCCAGCACAGATTGTTCGCCTCTAGGTTCGTTCGCACACTCCTGCACATGGCGTATGCAGGACACGCACGGTGTTGTAGGCGGTCAAGCGGACATGCCACCCACTTTGACCGCTGGTTCAAGCATTGTATCCTGGATAGCGCGGATCCGCCTCGAGTGGCATTTACCAATTCAATCTGAATGATGACCCTGGACGTCCTCGCATCACATGGTACGGAACCTTGCGCAGCAAGTCTCTTCTTCCGAACCGATCGTAGATGACACGCTTCTACGGGCACCGATCTTGAAGGTTGACGGTGAGCACCGTCACGTTTGGAAGTATCATGAACTAGCATGCACGCCACGCTTCATTTCTATCAATGACCGGAGTCACTCAGCTGACCTTTGCTTTCTGGGCGCCTTCCACTTGTGGTACGTTGTTGCATATCGCGGCGTGACGTCCTACTATTTGCTGCCTGGACGCCGGTTCACAACGAAGACATTTACTACGTAGGCCTACGCCGGACTTCCAATCACTTGTCATTCTTTGCGGTATTACTGTGACTGTCTTATCCGTGGACATGATTCTACCTGGGATATCCTCACAAGCAGGTCGAAAACGGGTTAAGTTCCCAGGCCGAAGAGTTGCGGCGCACTTCAATCTGCCGATGGACGATAGACCAGCATGCTTGCACGCAAAGTCTTCCGAACGTGCTCATCAGGTACAGTGCACATCATCACATTGTTGTGCCTTGCGAGGGAGCGCTAATACTTTCAACGTAACAGGAACTAGTAGACCTTCGGGCAGTGGAGGCAGCCTGAGTACAGTCCCGCGCAAGTTCCGCGGCGTCAACTCCAAAGACCCCATCCCGCGAGAGCTCCCGTGTTCATTGGGTTTGATCTGCGACGGAGAGACAGGCACGAATCGCCTCGCCTTGCCTCGCCTCGACCACCGCATGTACGCCACCTCCTTGGGCTGGCTCTGTGATCTGTGGACGGGCATGTCGGCCGACACCGAACCACATCCTACTGCATACGGTGTGTCATTGGCATACCAGCGCCCATGTCCTATGTCTTAATCATGTCGTACGCGCTAAGAGGGTTATTGACTAAGCTACATTGATCGTTGGTCCCTGCACAGTGCTCCAATTGCGGCGGAAGGCTGCGATCATCATGAACTGTGCCTTAGTACGCCGGCCATCGCACGCTGTCGGCCTCGAACGGGACAGGACTCCAGGGTTTCGAAGCCGGTATGATCTCCCATCTATTGACCGATCTGACAAACTAAAGTTCACTCTATCGCCCTCTAAATGTAATCTGGGGAGAGCCGATCTCGCCCCCCTCACAGGTGCGGTCACACGTGTTTGTACCGAGACCACTCGCAATCCTTGGGCGTCCGGAGGATTAGGAGCGGAGACCGCTACGCCTGGACCTCCGGGCCACAGCTAGGCCATTTCATCCTTGGGAGTTCTTCCGGTCTATGTGTGTGATGGGATCGATCGCAGTAAGTTCATTCACAGAACATGTCGGACCCATATGCTACCTGGACTTCACGATTGTTAGTGAAATTGGCCGATAATGTGCAAGCAGTAGCTTGGTAGATGAGGTTCCTTCGGCGCTTTGGATCACAATCACCGCTGTAGCTCAACAGCTCGCAAGGCATCCACAATCATATGGGCCTCAGCGGGCGGAACGGACAAAGAGATCTATCTCCCGGTCTCTCCCGTGACCATGCTGTGACACGACTCGATTTACCCGCATGCGTGGGTCCGAAGAATCAGCCCCGTGCTGGTGGAGCGAGCACCACTTCGGTGGGTATGCAATCGACAAATTCGGGTCTATGACGGACGTCCGGTATGGAATCCCGCACCTCCACCGTTCATTAGCCCGTCCGCTGATCTGCAGGGTTCGCTTCATGAAAAGCACTTCTTGAACCCTTGCTATGCCGAAGGGCGACGCTCTCCCTCGGAGCCGGGCTACGAAGCGATCGAGAACGGCGTTGATTGCCTGAGAGAAGACGACGCCGCAGTTCGCGACCGCAACGCGACGACTCAACTCTGCGGATTGAGGCGTAGCCTCCGAGACACCACCAGTGCCGCTTGGCGCTACGTCAAGGGGGGTGTTCAACTCATGATAGACCAGGTACGCAAGCTTAAGCTGACAGTTCATTACGGGGGATGCACATTGGTCCACTTCGCGGGTACCTCCGTCATGGTGCATTGCAACCGGTACATGATACGAATGTGCGGTCCCCGGTAGATCATCCCTATCTCTATTCTCTGAGAGCTCACCCCTTCTCACAGGCTATTGCCGCAGTACCACCTGCGAGAGATAGGGGCGCAGCCTTGTCTAGCGTCGTGTCTCGGGACCCGCCTTGACGCTGACCTCTAAAGGAGACAAGACAAGCGGAATATACAAGAATGGAACGGATACCTGGATGTGTGAACCTTTCATGCTTGCATTGATACTGTAGCCAAGGATATGAGACCGTTGGCCGAACAACGGTCGGTCACGTCTACGTCGCAAGCGAGACGGCATGTTGCATAATTGACAGGCCTTAGTCCACGAGACGGGCCTCGTCGTGTCAATAGCACATTCTTCACTTGGTTCACCGCCAGACAGATGGTGGCAAACCATGCAACCCAGCTTCTTCTCACAATCGATTGATGAACACTGCGAGCGGCGATTGCTGCTGCTATGCACCCTGTCCATGCAATTTTCTCCTATTGGTTACGCAGTGGGGATCTACGGCTCACCTAAGCCGAGTACCGCAGGAATCCTTGGTCCGTGCGAAGGTCTGGTGGATCCGATCCGACTCGAATTGACAGTCCATGCATGCAGGAACATACCTGAAAATGGAACCAACTCCAGGACATCCATCGAGATCCTGACATGGAAGTGTTCAGCTTGCTAGTACAGTCATGGTCACGGCATGTGGAGACGGAGGCTCAAGTCCAGGGAGCGGAGCGCAATAATCGAGTCTTCTAAAGGTGAGTTCCAAGCGTGTCATCCAGGCACATTACTGAGCGTGCGCAAAGGGCTTGTGAGAAACATCTCGGCGTGGCGCCTCTCACGGAGGTATATCAAAGGTGCGTCCATCTTCCGATGAGTGACAGCTGCATGCTGGCAGATTGAATGAAGGACAATGCAGGATTCGATGCTGCCTCCTGTTCGTTGCCGGTTGGCGTAGATGCCATACGAGGCCCCGAAGAGCCGGCTTGCGTCCGACTGTCCGGGAGTTTTTGCGGTCCAGCGCTCGGACGTTGGATCTGCCTCTGGCTCGAGCCCACCTTCACAAGAGCGTCTCAGAAAAGACGTTGCGCGGGCAAGAGGGCACGGGGACTATCGAGGTATACAGTACGGTGTATGATCCCGAAGATCAGTAAGTCTAAATGCTTGAGGTTAAGTGGCAAACTATGTCAGGGCTTATCGATTATCCTAGGAGCTCGGGCCCTCCCCGGCGGCATCCCCGATACCTATACGTACGTCAATCAAATTCGCAGATCACTGAAAGTGGTACTTGCATGGAGACCCCGACCACCCTTGTCACAGCGGTCCGGAGAATGGCGCTTATCCGGAAATGGGTCGGCCCATCTCGCCGCTCTCCCACTCTCCAGCGCGTCGCGGTGTCCCAGGCCTCGCTGCCCATGTGTGGCACTGGCAGTTAAACTTGGGTGGCTACTCGTCCTACTTGGCTTCAGTGCACCGACAGTCGCGCAAGCTCACGGCACAAGCTTCAATTCAGCCGCGATAATCCGGCTAATCAGCTCTAGTCCGTCTGGTTTACGAAAGCCACGGCGAACGGGGCGCCTGCGTCGCGACGCGGTGCACGCACTTCGCAACGTGGAGCAAATGTCCCCCGTTATGCCTGCGCGGTCAGCGGGGGACGACGGGGTCTTCCTTTGACATCCCGCCCTCCTGCTAAACCGAATAGTATGTTGTGATGCGGCACCTCAACGTTTCAACAGGCATCGTCCAGATCGCACATCCAAGCCTGTGGACGCCGCCTCGAATACGTCATCAGCTCGCGCCAGCTCGCTTTCCCTATGACGGCGCGTGCGAGCGGGGTGGCTCCGCACTGGCAAGGGCTCGTCGCGCACGGATAATCTTGCCAGACACGTCTGTGGCGCGTACTACCGGCGCAGGAACGCATCCCCACCCACGCATGGTGAGGCATCTTCCATTTGCATACCATTAAAGGGCCGTGACGGGCCGCACAGCGCACAGACATCCAGGCTTCGTTATAGCGTAACGTCTCCGACTCAAACGAGGCCTCGAGCGCCGGAATACCTCTTCTATGCATGCTGAGGCAAATACATGCACGGCCGGGTCGGACTGACGTATCCCAGGCTCCTTCGAAACCCTATCCCGACCTTCCGACCCTGCGCTGCCGTGCCAGCATTCCCTGGGTTGCTGTGCCCCGAGCGTCTCCAGAAACCGCCTTCTACGGCGTTTGTTCCGCGGTTCTGGGCTTTCTGGCCCAAGGTGTCAGTGAATCGGAAACGTGTTATCTGCGGTGGTAAGGCGTCCTTGTCTGTAATATCGGTTATCTGCGTGCCAGCGGTGATTGATGGCTCCAAGACTCGGTCGCCCGCGAAGTACAAGGTCCGTCGAGGCACAGAGAGAATCATGCAGTCAGCGTGTATGTCACAGTTTGACTGTGTACTGAAGGTGGGGCCCGACTTCTGCTATAAAGGGCTCGGCCCCGCTGCAGACCCTCCAACCTGCCCGCCCCGCGACGATGTCGATCACTCTGAACAGGTTCCCTGTCCTGCCGACCCACCTCTACCCAGAGGACATGCTTGCGCGGCCCTCCGCTAGCGTGGCTGGGTTCATCTCCGGCTTCCGACATTCGGTCTTGGAGTCTCCGACAGTTATCGCCTGCATCGCGGTGAACCTCATGATGTTGTACTATATATTTGCTTTCTTCATGAAGAAGGTCCGTCCAATCTCGCCCGCCGTACTTGGTCCCACTCACCTGCCGCTAGAACTCTATTCCCGCGGTCGGGTACCCGTCGTGGCTGGGGCCATGGGCAGGTGCTATACGTTTCTTCTACGACTCGAAGCGTATCATCAACGAGGGCTATCGGAAGGTACGTGCGCCCTTCCAGTTCTGCTGTGCTCTGACTCATGCTGCGTAGTACAAGGGCCGTACTTTCCGGGTCCCGCTTTGGAACGAGTGGACTTACATCGTCACGGACCAGAAATGCAGTGCGTGTCTCAACGATCTATCTTCTGACACTATTTACTGAACAAACATAGTCGACGAGATGTATCATCTGCCGGATGATGTTCTATCGCTTCGCCATGCTGCTGGGGAGGTGAGTCAACGGCGCTGATGCCCAAGTGGCGCTGCTGAGATAGTTCCGACAGGAATTACAACTCCCGTATACCATGGGCCAGCAGATCGAAGACAACCCGTACCATCTCCCCGTCCTGAGAGGCAGAGTACGCACGTCTCTTTTCTGGCATCCCGGCAAATATATTAAGGCACACCTTAGCTCACACGCCATATCGAGTACTTGGTGAAGGAGTGTCTCGACGAACTCCCTCTGGCCATCGAAGATGACATCGGCAAGCTGTGCGGCGGTGAGCATCCCATCTACCGCTTTGGTCGCAGCTTCTCATATATCGCAGATCAATGGACGGAGATGAACGCCTTCGACGTCCTGACAGGCGTTATCGCCAGGACCTTCAACCGTATCTTAGTCGGCGCGCCAACATGTCAGTAAGCCTTCCTCTTTGGGCGGTGTTGGGTTCTCAATCGCGATGATCGCAGGCCGAAGCGCACACTACACTGAAACATGCAAATCGTTCGCTATGAAGACATCCATCGTCGGCTTTATCATTAACCTATTCCCTTTTTTCCTTCAACCGTGAGTGTTCTGCCAGTGCGTCTCAGATAAGGATACCGTACTAACACCTCGATACGCAGTATCGTCGGCAGAATGATTACTCAATTGCCATCCCAAATCAAGCGGTCGTTACACATCCTCGCGCCGATCATTGCTGAAAGACAGGCTGCCATGGCCGAATACGGGAAACATTGGTTGGAAAAGCCGGTGGGTACTGCGCCGCTATGCGACGTGTGCTTGCGATATTCATTAAGAGCTCTTTGCAGACGGACCTCCTCATGTGGCTCATGGAATCGGCAGACACTGTCGAGTCGCAGCCTGAACGCCTCGCCATCCGTATCCTCGTCATCAACATTGCTACGATTCACACCACAGCGGCGGTACGCTACTCGCGATACATCCCTTCTCGACCGCGCTAACGATCTGACAGTCGTTCGTCCATGCCATCAACAACCTGTTGGAATACCCGGAGTTTATCGTGCCTCTGAGAGAGGAAGCTGAGGCTGCGATCGGCAAGCACGGCTTCACCAAGAACGCGATGAATGCCATGCCATTCTCCGACAGCTTCTTCAAGGAATCATCTCGCATGAACGCGCTTGGGACTAGTGGGTAGCGAATAGTCCGTTTTTGGCTTCTACTGACGGGTTCTGCAGCGAGTTCCCTCGAAAGGCTATGAAGGACATCACATTCTCTGATGGAACCACCGTCCCCGCCGGATCCTACATCTCGTCGCCGTTCTGCGTGCACTACGACGAGGAGTTCTATCCTGACCCGTTGAAGTTCGAACCGGCGCGACACATGCAGGAGACTCTGTCGAGTGGCGTGGCGAACAACAGCAGCGGGATGTTCCGCACGAATCCCCACTACCTCATCTTCGGCCACGGGAAGTATCCTTGGTAAGTGATCTGCCTCACACGACCCATCGCTGGTCGCTGATTATATTTTTACAGCGTGCGTACCGTCACTGACGTCTCCGCGAAATACTGCATGTAACTGACGTTCTGTCACACCAGCCTGGAAGATTCCTCGCCACCTACATCCTGAAGGCGACGATGGCTTATCTCCTGCTTAACTACGACATCAAGCCGAGTTCTCAGGGAAGGGCCTCCGATATTCTCTTCCAGTACAACAACGGCCCGAACATTCGCTCATCGTACGTCTCACTTCCTACCATGGAAGAACCACATTGACCGTGCTGGTCCCCAGCTTCATGATCCGTCGGCGGAAGATGGCATAGATGTATAGTATACAGTACTTAGCTCTCGTTCTCTGCTTTCCTGTTATCACTCCTCGCATTGCGTACGTAATATCTAGAGCCCCCTCGTTGTACCATCGCTCAACTCGCTTCCACTATCGCGGACTCGCGGCCACTAGTACTGTCTTTACTCGACGCTTCCGCTGCCACGCACAACGAGCGTGTAGCGGTTGCTCTCGTCTTTCTGTCACTGGGTAGCATACTTTACGGACAATTCAACGGGATTTTGTTGCGATGCTGCGCATGCGCCGTGGCTTGGCAGCAAACAATAGAGAGCCTCATGTAGGTTCGGCTCCCACGAGCGGTTGGTCGTGAGAGATATACCAGCCCGCAGGGGTTGCAGGTTGGCTGTACTATCACTGTACCAGAAGTGCAATTTTCGCGCTTTTTTCTCTCTGCAGGACGAACCGCTCACCGGAAGCTCTCGGAGTTTGCACTGACGGATTCCTGAGGTCTGAATATATGGTGTATGATTTTACAGGCCTTGTCCAGGGAGTATGAGAGGGATGCCGAGAGGGAGCAAGGATTGGAACAGTAATGCAACTCTTCTCCGAGGCTCGTCACAGTTCCTGTCACACTGCCGAGTGTTGCCGAGGGTTGCCGACTGTGGCTATTGTGGCTGCACGGCGATACAGCAATGCAACCAACATGTTCATGCCACCTTGTGCTATCCCAAACACCTTTTTCAGTTGCTGGAGAGGCTGTGGATGTATCTATATTATTGTAATGATACTCATAGGACTGGCATCCCTTAGTACAGTATAGTAAGTCATAATGTTGAAAGCCATAACGAGTCGACTACTTCGACTCAGGAGATACTATACACTGGTCCTCCCTCATTTCACGAGTTTTATCTTTCTCCAGTAGTTAGTAGCTCCCCCGCGTGTCAAATGGAGGGTGGCATGGCCAGTAATGCGTGCAATGCCTTGTCCGGCGGGCGAGCAACAGTAGTGCAACTGCTGCGATCGTAACCGCATATGGTAACTGATAAGGAGCGGAGTTGAGATTGCTGATCTTGGGTGGCTTTCCGTCACGCTCTGACCACCGCTCAGACGTCTTTCCTGCTCAGAAGTCGCAACAAGAGATGAAAGGCTTCGGAAAAATATGAGGAACATATTATATGGTAGTTCAATGCACTTTTGAGACCCACAGACGAAGCGCCCAAGGGATGCGGTCAGCCGAGACTGTACCAGTGCCATTATTGAGGCGCGGAAGGCATTCATCGATTTCTTCTCCTCAAATGCGCTACACATTCAATTTATCAAAGTGCACATGAACATTGAGTACGAAGTAAAGAACATTGTACGAAGATCCCAGAATATTTAACGGGACGGATGAGATGGGAGTTGAGTAATTGCATTACTGTCGCGATTGCATTGCAGGGCCACTGATAGTACTGGCACGGGCACGTCGGACTGACGAATCTGCGCTGGCATCTTTGCAATCACTCCATGCATACTATGCCCGGACAGCTGCTACCACCGCACAATGTCCTTTTGACAGTGAAGTTGACATCCTCGTTGGGAATGGGACGGAGCGGCTTAAGCATATGCTTGGTACTCCAGGCCAGTGCGTGGCGACGGACATGATGGTGGGAGATAATTAAACAAGGTACGCTGCCGGGGGCCAATGTGTTATTATCCGTTGAAGCTTTTGTAGTATGCCAGCCGAATAGAGGCTATCTTGCTGCATCGCAAGCAGTCACTCTGCACTGAATGAAGTAAGACAGGTGTGTTTCATCCACTCTCCGACTTCGTCGTTATCCAATGAGCAGTGACACTCGTCGACGTCGACTCTTCTTGCCCGAGGCTCAGCATCTCTCATTGAGTCTCAATGATTGCTGACAAGTGCCTGCTGTGACGAAGATGCAACCCAGCCCACTGATCATGATAGTTCGTGAAACACATTGAAGACTCACCGATATATCACCCCTACCCAGGTTTAGGGATGCCAGTGGAAAATCGAGTCCCCGATCGCATCAACGCTTCATCTTTGTAGACAGCATACTCGGGCCTCAGGCTACATACTACTCACTTTGGTTCGGAAGGTCACCAATCGGAGTGATCATCAAGTGGCAACGGAATGCAGGCAGCCCTGTCCGCGATTAATCCACGTCACAACTAATAGTACTCATGAACGAATTGGGGCCCCCGCGGCTAGAGTACGCGCCCCTGCTCGCGTTCAAAACTTACGAATGGCATCACATCCTGGACCGGAGCTAAACCTCGGGGAGTGTGTGAAGGCCGGGCGGCCTACGTGATGTCCACGATCTGGATGACGCTGACAGGATTGGCAGCCGGATCGTTGCAGGAGTTGCGTCCTCGGATCCAGGCGTTAACGATGGACAGAGTTCAGCAGCGCCGACGATGTGACGACGCTAACCAATACTGACAGGTTCCACCAGTGATACGTGCGCCCCGAGTCGGGGGAACTCCCTGTCTCCTCCAGAAGGGTGGCGAAAGCTTCGTACCTCGGGCAGTGATCTTGTACATTGACCACCTATGACGGACAATCAGTCGCTGTTTGAACAAGGCTGCCGGACTTAGAGCTGTATTACTTGAGCTGCTTCCGAGCATCTGGCGGGGAGGCGTCCCTTAAGGGACTCCGATATGGGGCCTCAACGTAAGCATACCTCCTCCAAACCGCATGGCAGTGAGCTGACTGCGGGTATGCGAGTCATAATCGCGCAGCGTTTATGAGTCAGAGAGATAATTATACTGTGGACTCACAGAGGATCTCCGCCGGCGACTTGGGTACATACTGCTAGTATTTGTCGACAGTTCGCAGTGATGATTTGAACTTCTTGCAGAGAACTGGAAGCATCAGGTACGCGCTGCGCAGGGAAGGATGAGCCGCGAGCGGCATGGTTCTGTTGTTCCCTCAGCGTCAGTAGCTCCAGAGTGCTCCGGAACCAAGCAAGGCTGGATTGAAGCACGGACATCGTGTGGCGCTGTATAGAGTCCTTTCAACATGAATCGGAGTACAAATCCCTGTCATGTGAAATTTCCACGACCTGCAGTGGCGGTGTGAGAGTACAGAAGACTGGTGTTCAATGCGCTGCACAGAAGCACAGAAACAAGGACGATGCTCGTGGACTGCACGTGGTAGCTGGACTAGACGGTCGATCGTCTCGCCTAATTCTGGGATCGCACTTCCGGCCGAGGATTGGAACCCGACTGGCCTGCGAACATTCCTGCTGTTGCTCGGAAAATTGACCCGACGTGCATGAGAAGCGTACCTTCTGCCAGTCACTCCGCGGGGTTCATGGCCTCCGATGTCAACTATTCAACAAAGCACAATGCAAGCTTCGCTCCGCAGGATGGCAGGTAGGGAAGGTTTTCTGTGAGTAGATGCCGGACAGCACGGAAGCGATTTACCGTGCGGTGTGGTCATCAGATAGGTCGCTGCTGTTTGTGCGGAAGCAATCACAGCCTGGCGGCCAAGAGGCCCCATTCCTGACCCTGTGTACTGTTGTTGCACAAAGGATAACGTTCAGTTTATGCTTAGAGTCATCGCTCGATGAAGGATTACTCGCCTATCATTGTGTAGATAATCGACTGCATTGTTTTGATGCGTGACATCGAGCACTTCACTTTTGATAGATTGACCGGTTTTCTGATCAGGTAGGCAAGACGAAGGCGGAACCAAGCAACAGGTTTAAGTTCGACAGTGAGCTAGAATGAACGCTTTCATTGAAAGGCACAGTGTATGAAATGACAGACATAGTGAATCCGCGATAATCAAGGCGTCCGTATTTCGCATGCCTATTTGAAGGATGAGTGAGAGCGTGAATGTTAGACACCATACTGAGACCTTCGGTCCTCCAGGAATGACCTTCTCCTCAACCAGACCACAGGAGGAAAGGCAGCTGTCACTATTGACTGACGGCCTAAACGCGGGCATGACAATAGAACCTGAACGAGAAAACGATGTGAGGTCATAAACCGCATGTAAGATATGGAAGTAGGTATCTGGCTCACATACCGAGCAATGTCCAACTGCATCCCTTCACGAAATTCAGTACAGGGAGCCGGAGTCCGACAAGAAGGCCGGAGATGCTTTCCAAAGACTTCAGATTCGATTGAGGGCCTGATCAGCAGGATGTGCCTGACGTAATTGTATTAGCACAAGAACGTTCCATTGAGGACGGAGGTCCAGCGTCGACGACAGCTGAACCGAGAGAGCCTGTTTCGGGGTCATCGCACAGAAGAGAGCTTCAAGTTGACTATGATCGAGGATGCTCGTACAGAGCTTCCGTCGCTCACCGACGTCGATGGAGATCCATTTTTTGAAAGGAATTCTGTTCTCTGAGGTTTTTCTCTGAGGTTGAGGTACACCAAAGAGGTGCTGCAGCTAAAATGCGTTAGCACCGATCCAGAGCATTTCGGCGCCCTTCTTCCCACAGGTAAAGTCTATGTGACTGACCTTCTAGTGATGGCCGGGGAGACCGGATGTCTGGTAGCCGCGCGGTGGACAGACTCCGAGGGGCTACTGCAGCCAAGCTCACGCGTCTGGATAATTGCCTGTGCGGTAAGGTATCATCACGGCATAGCTTAATTGCTCTTTGGGCGCGAAGCGAAGCATCGTAGCAAATCAGGGCGCGAAGCCACAGTCTATGCCTCCTCGTGATGTCAGCATAGACTCTGTTCCGGAACGAAGTTGACACTTAGGCGCATATTCGCACGGAGTGCGTGTTGTCGAAGGCGTGACGAGAACAGCCTTCAAACCGCTGCTCTCGTTGCAGTAGGGGGTATCGCAACGGATGTAGATACTGAGTCGCGCTATATGGTGGATTGTAAGCACTTCGCCGCCTTCCAGAGTCGATCCGAACGCACATTGAAGATACAAACCACTCCGGCAAGTCGGCTTGTCCCCGAGCTTAAGCTGGAAGAACACATATCATACATTGGCTCCGACGGTATATGGGCCGCCGGCGATATGCATCACCTTTCATTTTATTACCAGTGTCTTGGATCACCCCGATGCTGACCAAGGCCAAGGCAGCTGATAATGGGTCCGTCGAGATCTGAGCATCTCTCGGCGATTGCTTGCGTCGCGATCTGCGCGTTATGCGAAGGTACCACAACACGGAAACGACATCGTGGCTGCAAGGCACCAGTGAGCTCTCTGATTCGAGAAGAACGTTCTAATTACGTACTTCGAGCACGAAGGGACGCAGTGCTGACGACCCAACGTAGCGCGCCGATGATCCACGTCGCCCTAGTCTGCTCTACTGAGCCTGAAATGTCTTGCAATGCTGCTTCTGACTAGAGATTGTTGAGCCAGCTGAGGTTAACGTGGGTATTGGAATGGTACGGATTCGCATCGATGTTCAGCGATGCCCTGTCGATGCGTAGAAACCGGAGAAGAGGCGTTCCTCTATCTGGCGGTCTTGGTGGCGAGGATAAAGAGAGAGCGGAGGAGCGAAGGTGTCAGAGAAGGAGAGGCAATATGATGGATAACGCGAGTAGAACCCCCGCGAGCCTTTCCACGCTATCCAGTGCCACAAACACGCAGACGTGACAGAATATGATACCGCATTGCTAGCGAGAGCTTTGTGAACAGTATCCAGCCCATCACGACAAGTAAACATAAGCTCACCGTTGCTCTGTCATTTTCGAGCTAATTTGTGTCTGCAGGCGCCGCTATCGGTGTGCAACGCGAGCCGGGGAAACCTGATTGGATGTCGGGGTCACGGTACTTTGGCTCATACAACATGGCAAGTAAACAAAGCTCGTATTCCCGATTGTAAGCCTAGATATGGGCGTTGTGAGAGACTTGCTAGCGACGACGGTGCCCGGCGTAGATGCCCCAGTAGGAAGCTACTAGGTATGGCAGTTCGCCGTAGCTGGGATGAGAATGTCAGCGGAGTCCGAAGCAGAGAAACTCACGGCGAGTAGGTACCCCGGACTCACCTGTGTCAGGCCGTAGATGAAGGTGCCTTGAGGAGGTCCTCTCCGGGTGAATCTGTCACGATAACTGTGCCTGAGGTGTAACGTCTCGACACCTCCTCCTGGGGGCCTCTCCGAGGACGAGTACCGATACTCTGGAACTTACTCCTGTCCTCGATCCCGAAGGCTTCGGAGCCGATGCATTCCTAGCATCGGGCTCGAAGGCGTCCGTGAACGTCGCGATCACGACCGGGCTTATTGACGCTGCACCGTTGGCGGCCATGCTTCTCTGAATTGTTAATTGCCGTAGGCAGGTAGCGAATATCTTGATTGCGGTCTGCAGCTTTAGTGTGACCTCGCGTCAACACAAATCGCAGTCTGCATCTAGAGACGACACACGTACATATATCCAGGCTAAACCGGTAGGAGTAAATGAGCCAAGTACCGCGGTTTATTGAGTTGACACGATTGATCGACAATGATGGGCTCGAGTCAGCGGGTGCCCCAACGTACTCATCGCAGGCGACAAAACAAATTGTCCGGGCCGATTGAGGACAATGGTCCAGTAGCAAGGCTGACTTGCGGCACGGCAACAGATGCGTAACTGTAAGATGAGAACAATTAATCTAAGTTACTTCATTCTGCACGTACTTGGATCAACTCGAGAATGGGCGAGAGCACTCTCGCCAGCTAGTGACAGCGTGAGCGCCGATAGGCGTGACCTCACTTGCAATTGGGTGGACAAGCGGCCATATACGCCTCAATGACCGGCAAAGATATAAGTAATTCAGCCGCAAATCACTGGTAGAGCCTTCAACTTGAAGTCATCCCTGGCAATTGACATGGGACTCACTCGTGCAAGCTGAGGCAATGCGCCGACCTTTCATTCCGACATGATACCGCACAATAATATAATGAAGGCCATGGCTACGATTCAGAGAGCAGCAATATACCTTTGAGACGGTGAGTAGTACTTGCAGCGAACGAGACGAACGAGAACTGCCAGCGGAAGCAGCGGTGGCGTTGGTAGCCACGTGGCTCCCAGATCGACGATCGAGGACTTGGACTCGGCGTGCTCTCGGCCAAATTTGCGGCAAGCCGAAGCACTTTCGCTGCAGCCACCGCGCCCTCTGTTCCAAACGTACCAGACACCCGACGCGGTCGCCGCTCTCTCACTTCACGGAGACAACGAAAGGGTTGTATAGAGTAAATTCTGGTCATAAGTGTGTCCGAAAACTTTGGCTGGAAAACCTCAAGATCCGCGGCGATATATTTAACTCGAACTGCAGGACTTCGAAGGCGACAGCACTAGGACAAGAGGCGTTTTCAGGGACAGTCATTATCAGAGATGGCCCGGATGCGTAAAGACAAGCATGCGACCATGAAGTCTGGGTCTCTCTCGTATGACGACACGCAGGTCGCCGCGGCAAAGGAGAGACGACCGAAGGATGGGAAGGGTAAGGAAAAGCGAAGGAGGACACCGGAGTTGAGCTCGTGACGGATTATCAGGCAGAAGATGTATGTTGTCATTCGGCATTGAGTTCACGGATGAACTAACGACAGCGCATCCGCTACTTCTGTAGCCTGCGCTCGTTAAGGACGTCTCGTCCTTCCTCTCGGAACTGAAGTCACCCAGCGGCGCTGGCGTTGCAGAACCATCGGCCAAGAAGAAGTCTAAGACGAAGGACACGCCTACGAAGGATTCGCGACAAAAGAATGTGTCCGAGACGGCTCGACCGCGGACAGACGCGAAGGTCCCGCACCACAAGAAGCAGAAGGGCCCCACTAACGTCGCGTCCACTTCGCAAACGGAGGAGACCAAACCTGCGCCGACCATCCCTGTACCAGTGCGACAGCCTCGTCCAAGCGCGGCAAGTTCACCGTCGATCCCAACCCGCAATGGTACACGTCTGTGCCAGCTCTTCCTCCCAGCACTTCACTAGCGCAGCCCACGGCCCAGCAGCTCGCCTCGCTCAGCGCGCGTGCACAGAAGGCGCTGCAGGCCGACGCAGAGCTCTACGCGTCGTCTTCGCTCTCGAGCGGCGATGCGAGCTTCATGCAGACGATTTTGAAGAGCGGGACGCTGAGTGATAGGTTGAGCGCTCTGACGCTGATGGTGCAGGGAAGCCCGGTGCACAACGTGAAGGCGCTGGAGGGTCTGAAGAGCATGATGGAGCGCGGGAAGGGCAAGGGGCGCGAGGAGGGTCTGAAGGCGGTGCGGTGCGTGGTGGATTGGTGGGTCGGCGGCGGCGGACCCGGGCGGAAGCTCAAGTGCGTATCCTTCCTCTGTACACTCCACAACGGTACTGATCCATATCCACGCCAGGTACTTCCGCGACCAGCCGCTCCTGCACCCCTCCGCGACCGACGCGCACCTCGTGCTCTGGCACTTCGAAGACTGGCTCAAGAAGTACTTCTTCTCCGTGCTGCAGGTGCTCGAGACGTACTCGCTCGACCCGCTCGCGTACGTGCGCACGCAGTCGCTCGCGTTCCTCACCGCGCTCCTCAAGGAGCAGCCCGAGCAGGAGCAGAACCTCCTCCGGCTGCTCGCCAACAAGCTCGGCGACACGGAGAAGGCGATCTGCTCGCGCGCGAGCTACCACCTGCTGCAGGTCCTCCAGGCGCACCCCGCCATGAAGGCGGTCGTCGTGCGCGAGGTGAAGGCGCTCGTCTTCCGGCCGCTCGCGTCGTCGGCAGCCGCGGCGAACGCGTCGGCGGCGGCGCACGAGGAGAAGCGCACGCATATACGCTTCGGCGACGAGGAGGAGACGACGGCCAAGACGGGCAAGTCCGCGCCTGGGAAGAAGGAGCAGGGGAAGGGAAGGGAGAGCGCGAAGGAGCGGCTGGAGCGCTGGAACTCGCACGCGTGGTACTACGCCGCTGTGACCCTCAACCAGGCCGTGCTCACGCCGACGGAGGCGGACAGGGCGGTGGCGCGGACGTTGCTGGGCGTGTACTTTGAGATGTTCGAGGAGATTTTGGGGGCGGGCCGGGAGAAGGGCAAGGAGAGGGAGGGTGACGACGAGGGAGGCGATGTCGGAGGAGGGAAGGGTGAGAAAGGCGGCAAGGAGGCTGGGAAGAGGCCGGACAAGGGGAAGGGAAAGGAGAAGGAGGTGCGCGGCGCGGCGGGGTTCGCAGAGGTGGAAGACGCGACGTCGAGGCTGCTCAGTGCCGTGTTGACCGGTGTCAACCGCGCGCTGCCGTTCGCGAAAGTAGACGTCGCGGGGGACGACGTGTGAGTACCCTCAATTACCTGTCTTAGCATGTACCAAGCGAACATTTTACTGACCATCCGCTGGACCCTAGGTTCCAGAAGCACATCGACACGCTGTTCCTCATCACGCATACATCGACATTCAACATCTCGCTGCAAGCGCTGCTGCTCATCTTCCAGATCACCGCGTCGCTCGCCTCCCACCCATCCTCATCGACTGCCTCTGCCTTCGCCACCGCGCTTCAGGACCGCTTCTACCGCACCCTTTACGCTTCGCTCGTGGACTCGCGTCTCGGAGAGTCCAACAAGCAGGCGATGTATCTCAACCTCCTGTTCAAGGCGCTCAAGGCGGACAAGAACATCGAGCGGGCGAAGGCGTTCGTGCGCCGGTTCGTGCAGGTGCTGGTCGCTGGGATCGGTGGCGGTGGTGGAGCGGAGTTCGTCGCTGGGGGGCTGTACCTATTGGGCGAACTCTTCCAGACGACACCTGCGCTCAAAGAGCTGTTGGATGACACGAAGGGGAAGGGGAAGGCCCCTGCTCAGGCTGGGGAGGAGAGCGAGTACGACCCGAGAAAACGGGACCCGCAGTTTGCGCATGCTAGTGCATCGCCGATGTATGAACTGGTAAGTGTTCTGTCTGTCGTCGGCGATGTGTATGCTGACTCGGACGACTCGTAGCTTCCTCTACTGCATCACTACCATCCGACCATCTCTCTCCACGCCCGACAACTTTTCACCTCCGCGCCATTGACCGCTGCCCCCGACCTCGCCCTAAATACACTGAGCCACTTCTTGGACCGATTCGTATACAAGAACCCCAAACAGCCACGGACAAAAGGCCCGAGCGCTATGCAACCCGCGGCCAGCGCCGCGGATGGGACAGGAGTGAAGATGACTAAAGGTGAGGTTGTGGACGAGGGCGGGATGGTGGTGAACGAAGAGGGTTGGTGGCGGAAGAAAGTTGAAGACGTCCCAGCGGACCAGGTATGCACGGTTCTCTGCACTGTCAAGCGTCGGACTGACATGCATTCGAATAGATTTTCTTTCACAAATATTTTACACAAAAGAAACAAAGAGAAGAAGAGAAGGCGACGAAGGTGTCAAGGAGAAGAGCGCGCGGCGACGCGTTCGATACAGACGAGGACGAGGAGAACGAGGAGGAGGATATTGTGTCCGAGCCCGAGGAGTCGCCCGAGGGCGAGGACGAACATGAGGCGGAGAGCGATAAGGGCGAAGCGGAGATCTGGAAGGTGGGTGGTGTGCTCTGATGCGTCACCTTGTTCTGGACACGCTGACGCTGCATTCCGGGGCACAGGCGATGAAGGCTTCCCTGCCGGCAGAGCTGCAGGACGATGACCTCATCGATGACAGCGACGACGACGAAGACGAGATCCCATCGGGCCTGGACGACGATGACGACAGCGCCGCCGATGGCGAAGGTCTCGATGGCAACACCGCCGATGCCGCGCTAGGCGACTCGGGCGCCTCTTCAGACGAGGGCGAGCAGGACCTCGAGGACCGTGACGACGACTCTGCCGCCGACGAGGACGCGTTTTCGCTCGTGGAGGCGTCCGATGCGGAGGATCTAATCCCGCTTGACGCCGACATGGGTCTCGTTGAGTACGATGGCTCGGACGCGTCTGACCAGGAGGAGGAAGAATGGGGCGGTATAGACGCGGACCAGTCGGCCAAGAAACGAAAGAGGACAGAGGAAGACAGTAAGAAGGGCAGGAAAAAGAAGCTGCGCCTACCAACATTCGCGAGCTACGAAGACTACGCGCGGATGATCGAGGATGGGCCGGAGGACAACTTGTAGCCTACTGCGTCGTTCTCGTATGCTTCTACGAGGGGATTTCGTTTGCTCTATCAAAAACTTCCCGACCCCCTCAATTGACATTACCTCCAGCCTCGACAAAGGTCATCGTAGTTGAACTGAAGAGGCTCACAGCAACGATACTACTGAAGTCATCGCCTACCGCCAAGATTTGATCCGTGGTGCTGACTTGGTGCTGACTTGGTCTTTGGGCCTTTTGGCAAGGTACTCCTTAAGTTACATGCCCTTACTTACACTGCAGCCGCGCAGTATATGGCAATGTTGAAGCTGCGACTCGCGTCGGAATCATGAATGAAAACTGAATGCGGTCGCGCTTGTTTTCAGCGAACTTATAACCCGGTAGATTGAGGTATGCCACATCCGAGCATACATGCCTGACAGACCCATTTAACATATATGCGCATGACAGATACAGTCCTTCATCTACCTCATCTACTTGACTTTTGAGGCGTTAGTCCATGTACGGGTGAGCGTATTGCTGATATGTCGTCCGGTGCCACTCGAGATATACTTAATTCGGTCGTCTAGGTTTCGTTCAGGTCGTCTTCGCTGGATGTAGATGCTACGCTACGCGGCTATCCTCCGCGTTCATGGCACTACATCTCGTCCACCCTTGGAACGTATGTCCAGCCAACACTGACCTTCACTTTGCATTTCGCGTTGGGATCCCTAATGAACGTCCGCATCACGCTCGATCTGGGAGCGAGAGCGAGGGCGCGGCGAATAGCGTGCGGGTGCAGGCGGTGTACTCGGGCTTAGAGTTGGGTAACGCGCTTCATTCTGTCTCATTCGAACGTAGAGGGTCACGACTGGAGGGGAGTAGACGCATCTATGAACACGACGGCGACTAGTTGACTGCGATGACAGACAGGCCGAAGCACGCTCTTGAGCTTGCTTATTTGCACAGCATCGCGCGCGCGGAGACGGGTTCAGACAGCAGGCATCGACGTCCGAGCCCACCTCTCTCATTGACACCGGCTGGCCCTGCGCGGAGCGTGTACAGCGGTTACGCCGAAGACATGATAACGTCAGTGTCAAGTTGGGTGGTCGCGTACTCTACGCTATGTCGGCGCTCTAGGAAACATAACAGGGTATGGCGAGGATGGGCATCGGCCAGGTATGTATATGAAGAACCGCACGTTCCTCGTCATGCAGGGAGTGTCGCGTCGGACTCGCGACCGCACAGTGCTCATCTCTTGATGTGTAGGTGGCCGAATGAACAGGTGCGACGCATGCTGTGTAGAGATGCGATGAATTATATTCCTTGCTGGTACGGACTCGGATGCGACCCTGGTCCGCCTGTTCCCTTCCTCGGTGTAGTCTGCGCAGCCTCAATCGCACGTCTGTGTGGTCCACTTTAAGTATCGATAAGTATTGATTGAACTCAGGCGCACTACATCCAGGGAGAGCAGTCCTCTCGACTTATGCGATTTCCGTGCATCGCCGCGGACTGCATGTGAGTAATGCGAGTACCGTTTTGCACATTATTCCGGTCATAGCGGAGCATTCTGGCATTGCTTGCAAAAACCGTTGACCTTACGGTGTCCACTAAAAGCAAAGAACTTTCCGACATCGTGTGTGTTCGACGCTCCTATACGCGCCGGTGAGCTAGCGCTATGTTGCATCGATGCATATATACATCACCTATCACTGCCTTCGCTGTCCCTGCGTTCCCCCCCTTCGTCCAGCTGCGCGCGCCAAGAGTCATTGAAAGGCCTCGTGAGGTACGACTCCACTTTCCCCAACGAATATCCTTACTAACGTCGTGCTTTACTCGCAGCCTAGACGGTCGTAAGCGACTCGCCAACCGACGACCAGGATGACCCTTTTTGGCTTGTCTGGTAGCCAGCTTACAACCTTGGAGATCAGGTAGTGTGTTATTACATTATGCTTGCTTCTGGAGAGCCGTGATCTGAGACAATGTCAGTAGTAACGTGTCTTCAACGTTGAAGATTGACTTGGCCGTCGCACCACACGTGCACGACTCCTTGCCACTTCCATCAGTGCGGCAGCTCTCTCGAATCGCCGTAGCGTATCCTGCGTCCTGCGGAACGGACGGAGACGAGCCGATGTAAGTATCACTGGCCGGACGCGGGTGACATAGCTTACGCACAAGTGACACAGTGCAGCCGCAACGTCCGAGTGCTCATCTCACGGACATCCGACCCCACGGTTTCCTGTGGAGGTCTGTGAACGGATCATTGACCACATAGCCACGGGATGGGATATCAATTACAGTGTACTCACCGACGAGCCACATCTGTCCACTCTCACATCCTGCGCGCTCGTATGCCAAGACTGGTACTTCCTGACGTGGTACCATCTGCATCAACGCATTCGTCTCCGAGACCGGAAGGGTGTCCTCTCGCTCTCCAGGACACTCCGCGCAAAACCACGCCTCCGTGAGGTCGTTCAACAGGTCGTCATATCAGGTGCCTCTCCTGGGGAACGTGAAGCAATTCCACACCTGGGAACGTTTGCCGCCATGCTCGCGGGCAAGACTCCGAAGTTGTCGAGTATCGTCATTGCAGATGCTGAGTGGACCATCGGCTCGGTCCGAACAGAGGACATCGACTACCTGGCTGCGTTCAGCTCCATTGAGACTCTGTTCATTCGCAATGTCACCTTGTCGAGCGTTACCCAGCTGTCCCGCCTCGTGTCAGCACTCCCGGGGCTTACCGCCTTATGGTGCTGCAATGTTGATTGCTTGCAGGAACAGCAAGTCTCCCCGGCTTCTCTCACACTCAACTGTGCAAATCTGAAGAATCTCGATGTGCGATGGGTTGCACCAGCAGTCGAGGACCTCTTCGTGCAAATCAGCCGGGCTTCTCGAGCGCGCGTTATCGATATTGGGGTGGTTGGGGAGTTGGATCCATCCTTGGCAGTCAGCAGAAGCCAGGATTTGCTGGATGCGATTTCCACATCTGCAGAAAGGGTTGTGCTCTCTTTTGATCCCCATTCTCGTGTTCGTGATGGTACAATCGAAGCCGTGGTCGGAAAGTCTTCTCAGTTGTCTCTTCGGTCAATTGGCTGATTGTTTAGTACCTACAGAACGACATTACAACCTTTCGCACCACGACCACTTGTGGAGGTTGGAGATATGGCTGTACCACCCCTTCGCTGTATGGCCCTGGATCCCACATATCCTGTCCCGCGTCACCTCAAAACACTTCCAGGCTATGTGTGTTATGTTGCTGCTTCGGGATGACCACATGGTCGACGACTTGGACGGAATGCTGACAAGAATGGAGCAGGATGATGTCCTGGAACGATTGGACAGTATACTGCAGGAGAAGCGCTTCTCCAGTACTGCTGTGTCGCGCGGTATCTGTCTGGGCATTGACCATGATAACAACAGTTGGAAATCTGGTGATGAGCTTTTTGGGATAGGTTCAGGACTCCGAGAGCGGTTCTATCGGTGGGACGAGGTCGTTAGGCGAAGGATGCCACACTCGCACGGACGAGGCATATTGAGGTACGCAGCACCATGGTCTTGGTCAAATTGCGAAGGACTGCTGAGCGTCCCTTATAGCACTGTGCATGACACCCAAGAGCGCGACATCTGGATGCAGGACATGGACAGGAGCATGCAAGCTAAACAGAAAAATGCAGCCGAACAGGATGTGCACCCTCGGGCCGAGGCTCAAGACGAGGACCCTCGGGACGGCGCGGATTGACATGCTCGTGCGTACTGTCGTCGTGTGTCCGTGAGTATATATAACCGTCGTCATTAAGCCACTCTGCTCATTTGTTGTGTGGTCTCAAGGTAATAAATGACCCCGTGGCCGCATTGGGGGTCTAAATGTTCCTGCTGTCGGGGAACACATGTACATCCACTCATGATCCTATGCATTATTTTCTTTTATTTCTTGGAGAAGTAAAGGGTCAGAACGCTCAGTCGCGGCCAATCGATAAGGATATCCGGAGCCAGGGGAGGTTGAAGGAATTATCTACTCTGCCCACGGGAAACTAGGTCAAGTTCGACTGAATTGATCTACCTGCGACACGGTAAGAACGCTGTCACAGGTGATAAGCATCTACCGTATCCGTGAGGACTTTCAGCTCAGTCGTAGATCTCGATTGAGGAATGAGGGGAGAAGGCGGGGAGCCAGAATCATTTGAACGACTGGTTTCAAAAGTTCAGACGGTCAGTAAGTGTTTATATATCAAAGTGAGCTGGGTGTCCAATGACTCTACTAGTACAATCATGCGAACCACCTGCATACTACAGATACGTACGGCCCCCGACGTCCATCCTCAGGAGCACGAGATCGAAACGACCAAACCAGACCCGCGCGCTGCCCGTCCCGAACTCGAAGTTCTCAAGCGAACCCAAAGACCTCGAGCGGCCTGTACGGCTCCTCGAGGGACTTGATCTCCTCCGGGGTCAGCTCGACGTTGACCGCGCCTGTAGCAACACAAACCCATCAGCACAACTGTCAGCATACAGATAGACAACCCTCTGGCGGCCCATGGCGCTTCGGAAGCGAAAGAAGACACCTACCAATGATGTCCTCCAGGTTCTTGAGGCTCGTCGTGCCTACAATCGGCGCGGTGACAGCTACATAATAGAATCCCCTGCTGAATACGGGAACTCTCGTAAACGTGGCTGACACTCACCCTCCTTGGACATGCTCCACGCGAGCGCGACCTGCGCCATGCTCACGCCCCTCTTCTTCGAGATCTCCCCGACCCTGTCCGAGGAGAATGGTCAGTATGAAAGGCACTCCAACCCCAGCGGATGTAACGTACCGGGTGACGACGTCAGACGTGCTCTCAAAATTCTTCATAGCACCCGCCCAGCTAGTCAGACCCGAGCCCGAGTCAGCGACAGCCTAGATTAAAGTGGAGGACACCCACCCATCGGTCTCCCCGCGATTCGTCTGCGCAGATACCGGGCGGGTGAGGACGCCATGGCCGAGAGGCGTCCATGGGATCGCGCCTACGCCGAACAACTACACGCGGCTATCAGGACGAAGGAACATAAAGAGAGGGAGCGGAATCGCACCTTGAGGGTGGGGAACATGTCGCGCTCCTCCTCGCGGTAGACCAGGCTGTGATGGTTCTGCATCGAGATGAACGGCGTGAGCTTGTTCTGGATGGCGTGGTCGGTGATCGACGCAAGTCAGCACGTTTGCGCGTCTTGTTTTGAAGTCAGGTTGATACATACTCTGCATCGCGTGCACTGCAAGCGCGTTCATTTCGTCAGTGTTGCTTGAGCGGTTAGAGAGAGTTGGTCTGCGCACATTGATAGGCGTAGCAGGAGCCCATGCCGATGTAGCGCACGTATCCCGCTTGCACGACGTCGTGCAGGGCTTGCATCTGCACCATTCGTTGTGTGAGTTCATCTCCGCGGTACGTCACAGAAGAATCACGAACTGTCTCCTCAATCGGGGTACCATAGTCGAACCGATGGCCTAATCAACTCCAGATGACGAACGCGTCATTTGCTATGGCACTCACACTGGAGGACATCGATGTACTCGACTTGCAGGCGCTCAAAACTCTTCTTCACGGAGTCGAAGATGTGGTACAAGCTGCTTCGCGTCAGCATATGCGCCTCGGAACTCCGAGAAGAGATGCACACATACCTAGCGGCTCAGACCAAGCTGATTGATGATGCCGAACTCCTCGGGGTTTGGCCCGTAGATCTGCGGCATGTCGTACTTGGGGCCCACCGGGAAATAGACCTGTGTACAGTTAGCACGTCGCCAATGACCAGCTGAGTCTCGATGACCCGATCTTTGTCAGGATAACGAGCTCCTCGCGGGGCAGTTGCAGCGTCTTGATCGCCTTGCCGAGCATGATCTCAGAAAGGCATTCGAGTACACATTGAAAGGAGACGACCCTCATTGCCTGTACAGTGAAGAGCAACCTCGTCAGGACGTCCATTGGCCGTATCGAATGTCTGGATTCCGTGATCATATCTGCCGTGAAAGATGTCAGCAAAAGCCTTCATGGGATTGTGTTACCACTGACGCAAGTTTGATGTGTTGTTGACCTCTTCCTGGTCGTCAATAACCCACGGGATGCTGCCCTTGTGCCGTACGACATGCATCCGAGGATGATTTTGGATACCTTCAGGCCAGACTTGCCCAGGCGAACTGCGTAGATTATGACGGCGTTAGTGGGTACATCCGGCAGCATGAGGATACAAACATACCGTACGGGACGACCTTCTTTGCGACGGACATATTGACTTGTTCACGGGGGGTGAGAGAAGGGATCAGGTCAATGCTGAATACCTCACCTCGAGGGGCTTAAGTACTGCCCGCACTCTGGCAGGCCTAGTGCGTCATGCTTCCGGTAGTATGACTAACTAGTAGGCAAATGGCGGCGAGGGCGGTAGATGCCCGCCCGAGCGGTGACAGCAAATGTATGCTTTGAAGTGCATGCCGGGGAGTCCGGCGATAATAACCGAACGGCGCTCGAACGACGCGGGAGTGTAGCCTAGTAAGTTATCGACGCTGCACTGCACTGCTGATGAATCGGGAATCTGGACTTACGAAACAGAGACGCAGACTGGAGAGCTCGCGCTGACTCGCTCGACGCTGCCACTGCCAGTGCCATCTCGGTACATCGCGCCCACGTGACATGCGCGTCGCGCGACCGTCGGCTGTGGTGGGCGTTCTTTGGAATCAAGCAGTGAGTGCATGTAACAACACGCGGAAGCATATTGAATAACACTCGTGTCGAATGAGGGAACTGTCGACCTTTCTCATTCGGACTGTGTTCAGTGCATTGACCATGTGACCCAACTTGAGTATCAACCTTGCTGTCTTTAGGCCCAATGAATCTTTTTCGTGAGTCGTATCGTTGAACAGGGCATGTCAGAGCTCAGTCACAATCTAATGAAATGGCTGGCTGTACGACGAAATGTCCTTGAACAGGCTGACACCTCAAGGAATCAAGTGTCAGCCTCGATAGGGCGGTCAGATACAATCGGAACCTCACTTCTCCTCTGCCTTTTCCTTCCGACATACGCACGAAGACACATATCATCGCACCACACCTCACGCCATTATGAAAGATCTTCGTAGACTCTTCCAATCTCCGAAGACCGCGGACCGCTCTCATCCATCCCATCACAACGTCGCCAAGGACAAATCGTCTGAGCGGAAGACCAAGAGAGCGTTCAGAAGATCGCACTCCAACGACAGGGCTCTTTCAATACTTCCGGTATCGTTCAGGAATCGCGTCGATACCGCTGCTGCATCGTGGCCCGGGAGTTGAAACCCTGAGCGCAGTCGACACGGGTCCCAAACTCTGGAGAACCCGCAACAAGTGGACACAAGCTCCGCATCGCCGGCTGCTTGTCGGAAATGTCAGCCAAACTTGTCTCTGAACTACCGGCTTTTAGCTCATAGCACACCCTTCAAGCGATGAAGTCCATCACCTCACGCGCATACCGCCTTCGCCCGGCTCCGTCTACTCCTCAGAGGAACGTGCATATTGTCGAGGGCCCGAAGACTGTTGGCTTGGGCGGGACGTGTGCCATGCAGTCGTCAAGGGCGAGTACGTCCCGCCGCCCATGGAATCGCTTGTTGCCCAGATGTGCGTACTGCCTCCAGGTTCACGAGATGGTTTCTGACGATATGACAGGATGTCAACGATGCCGAGACTATCGCACAGAACAGACGAAGGAACGAGAGTATGTCGCCAGCACGGTAGACACAAGGAAGATGATTGGGCTTCCGCTGGGCAAGCCTGCTTTGCAGATCATCGTCGATGCACCGACGATTGGTGAACTGGAGGTGCCACAGAGCCTTATGAAGGCAGATAACGCGGATATGTGAGTGCTTCGCTTTGCCGTCCGGCGCTCACACTGAAGCTGGGCGATCTTCAGCACCTTCGAGAAGACCTTGGTAATCCCTGCAGATTCCAGTCAGTCGAGGTACGCACGCTTGTTCTCTCTTGCGACTATCCTCACCTGATTTTGCCCCGAAGTGGGTCCCCCGCAAAGTCCTCGTTCGAGAAGACCGTCGTTCACTCCGAGATGACCCCGTTCCCGTCCCACGACTTCGTTGACGACCTCTGGAACTTTGTCGATGTCGAGATGGCCGCCGTCCGCGACAGAATACAAGTCCTCGAGTGCTTGGTGCGACAACTCAACAAGCACGGAATCCGGACACCCAACGTCGCCGCCAATGATGGCCTTGGCGAAGGGAATGCGCAAGTAAAGCTCGAAATGATGCTGGTTCGCTCGGCAACCTCCTTGCACGCATGCACGACCGCCGTTTCATTACAGGTTGAACACGAGTGGAAGCAGCACATCGTGGCTACAATCATGGACAGAATACCTCGAGAAGTCGAGGATATCGGTTGCCCTTCCCTTTGCTCCATGTGACGGAGAGACCGATCGATTCTTGGATGTCTGCTCGGCTCAGCAAAGGGCATTCCTCGTCTGGTCGTGTCCTCGACCACGGTCCTGATGGTGACACGGGTATGTCCGAATCGGAGGACGGCGCGTCCGTCTCGACCATTCCACTCGAAGACCAGAGCACCACAAGCGATAGCAACGATTATCGGCAGACGACCATGGTGATAAGGGCGCGCAAAGCCCCCTTATGCCGGGTCCGCGAGGCATGGTGGTGCAGCAACGACGGACACAACGCAAGTGACGACTCCCCCTCTCCTACGTCAAACTCCAGCGTTTCAACATCCAGCTCGTTCTCCTCGGAGTGCAGTTCTTGCTTGTCCTCCGAGGAACCGTTCGATGGCAAGTCGCGGAATGTCCGGTGTGTGCGCGAGGAGCCGCGTCGTCATTGGCTGTCTCCGCTCTACAAGCGTCGCAAGGGGAGTGAAGCCGCCTATGGCGTATCAAGCCCGTACATGGATCGTAGCTTCCGAGAGCTCGAGGTGGAGGGCGCACAGTTCTGAGGCGGGAGAGAGGGAGAATGGATTGTGGTTGAGGAGGCGCGAGGGAGCGGTGCGGTCGAGGTGCCGATGGATTTGTCTTTTTCTTTCTCGGGTCGGTTCTATCTCTTTTCACGGGTGGGCGCAGGGATCCTCGTTCTACGAGAGCCCAGAAGACATCGGGACCAATGAGTATGCAGCTGGAGGGTGACAAAGTACGCAAGTTGTCAAGGTACGTGCGAGTCGTCCAAACCAGGAAGCAAACTCACCACAGGGCAGAACGATCGATGGAGGCAAGAACGGCCGGCTTGGCAAATCATCCCGCGCACAGTTGGGCTAGACAGATGCTTCTTTGTGCTATTGCCTGCTGGGGCCGCTCGTCGACGGAGATACGGAGCACGATCCACGGGTGTGTTCGATGTTCGCAGCAATGTTTCACGCTTACGCCCATCAACAGATGTTGAAGCTGTCACGTCCGGTATGCAGAGGTGTTCGATCCATGCCTCTGCTGCCTGAAGAGATACAGTGGTGGGAGCCGCTCCCTTCAACAGGCGCACAGAATCTCTTTCCGATTGTGAAAATTCTCCTGTGGTAGTGCGGTTAGCTTCGTCGCTTGGTGAGTGAGCTCTCCGGACTTCTGGAGAACGCGAACATCGTATTGACTTGCATTTGAAGCCTTTCGCGTAGTTCGCATACAAAGCCAATCATTTGCTCACCTCACCGGACCTTCACGGATGCGACGTCTCACGAGTGTACTTCTTTAGTTCATATATGTTGCATTTTCTTCTTGCTTTAATCATTGAGTCCCTATTAATTGAGTGTTACGACCTTGACGGTGCCAGCGGCCAGCTGCACGGGTAGTGGCGCTGCATTGACTTCGGAGCCTGCATGCGAAGCGATGTCAGTGCGAATTCTTGACAACACGATGTCAGGGATGCCGAACAAATCTAACACTGTTAGCAGGTATTGTAGCTTCACATTGGAATGCAAGTGAAGGTTTAGGTCAAGTTGTGTCACGCGAACGAAACCGTGTAAGAAACCACCGTATACTCGATCACGTGGTCACGCTGTCTACGCGTGGTCGCGACGCGCCCTCCGTTTCCACACACATCATCCTTTCCTCTCCTCTGTCATATATCAGCCATGGCCAAATCGACTACTCTCAAGCGTACCTTGGATAGCGATGCGGAGGGCAGCGCCCTCCAGCTGCTCCTCCAGCCAAGAAGCCGCGCGCCTCGACCAAGAAGACCGCTTCGGTGCCAGGCAAGTGCGGGATGACGAAGAAGGAGCTTGGGGATGCTATCCAGAGCGGCCTAAAGTCCGTGCCTTTTCTCGACCATGATGTGCGGCGCGCTAAGAGATGCGTAGGATTGAGAAGTACGAAGCGCAGCGGACGATGGTGCAGACCACCATGGACGCCGAGTTCTTCCGCGCGTTCTTTGGCGTCCCAGGCGTGAAGCTGTCGCCTTCGAGTAAGCGCGTTGTTGTTTCTTCTTGCAGACATCGATTCACGCTATATGACGCAGCCTTCGACGAGACTACGCCTGTTGTTGTGGCGGAGTTCGGTGGCAAGGCGGGCGGCGAGATCTTTGGCGTGTCTAAATCAAGTACGTGGACTGAATGGATTGACTACGCAGTATTGTAACGGTGTTGTGTTTCAGAGGCGGCAACCGCTACGTAACGAACCACGTCCGCCGCATTGCGGCGATCCTGTATCCTGCTGAGGAGAGATTCGTGATGTTCTTCTCCATTTAGACAAACATGGTGATCGTTCCTTGCTTGCTACATGCTTATAATCCGCTATGTTATATTCACTGTGTATGGTCTATGTTTTAATGAACACACGTTCCTCGCACATATGAGCATTGTCTCCTTGCTGCCTTCCGAAGATCCTCCACAGAGTTGACGCACCGACGGCGTTCCGCCAGCCTTTAATATTGAATGTCGGGGCTGTATCGAGGCCCCCTGATCTGCCGTAATAATTTGGCCGCTTCTCCTCAACTGTCCTCAATGCTGCAACAATATGGCCAAGTCTGCACGTTTGGTGGCGCGTCCTCGAATCGGGGTCGTTCCGCCGAGGCTGCACCAACCAGACATAAACCAGACGAACCATTGCGCGCAAAGATTAATTTGCCTTGTACGTACTTACCGACCGTAGACATGGTTGCAGTCTGTTGTAGGGAAGCCCGGGGGAGGACAAGGATGAGCCAGAAGGCGGGAGCGGTATCAGGAGGCCGCTCTGGGCCGTGTGAGCACATGACGTAAGTATGTGGCTGGGATCGCCGAACAAGGCCACGGCCGTGGGCGGCAGCGGGCTTATCTAAGACACGCGAGGAGGGACCCCCCACGGTTGAACACGAACCACATCATTCCCCCTACGCGGCCGCACGTCCTCCACGCCTCTCTCGCGCAGCATCCGCGCGCACTCGCCGCTTTACGCCATCAGCCACGCTAGAACACGCCTCCTCACGTTTCTCTCCTATTCACGGACTTCCAATGTCGCGCATAAACACGGATTTCGCCTTCGGTGGCAAGTACAGGTCGAAGAGGCGATTGCCAACGGTGGCTGCGGTACGCGTCGCCCTTGGGTTCGCGGTCTGGATTGTGAGCTTACGGATTGTGCCCGTGTCTAGGTGCCGTCTTCCAGGGCGTGCACACTGTGGCCGGGAAAGAAGTCGCCATCAAGCTCGAGCCAGCCATTGCAAAGTCAAGCCCACTGAAACAAGAAACCAAGATCTACAAAACATTGTCCGGCGCGCCGGGTGTACCATGGATTATGTGGTCGGGAAAGGCCGGCGACTTCAACGTCATGGTCATCGACCTGCTCGGGCCTCCCTCGAGGAGCTCTTCCGCATGTGTAACCGACACTTCTCGCTCAAAACTGTATTGCTTCTTGCAGACCAACTTGTGAGTGCTTTCTCCTTCCCTGCGCGTGCATTCTTTGTATGCCGATACGAGCGACTCTTGTGACGTCGCTTGCTCGAGGCGCGACACAGTGGCGTCAAGCGCGCGGTGGCGGCGTGTGGCGGCGCACATAAGAACGAGCGCCGCTTCTGTTTGCGCTTGTGCTCGTTCGGCCTTGGAACATGACCCGCAATTGCAGACGTAGATGCTTGATCTCTTCTCTGTCATTGCTTGTGCCCCAGACTTGGCGCTGCCCGATCTGGGCGTCCAGCGGGGCTACCGAAGTTTGGGCCCCAGGACTTGTGATTATATGTGGGGAGGGCCGCTACTTTAGCTTTTGGCCTCGTGCCAGGACAATGTTCGCCCGAAAGGTCAGAACGAAATCTAGCCTCTCCCCAAAATTCTGTGTCATTGTCTGCACTGCTCTGCAGACGCGTCATGCTTGGGCGACGATGACGCGCTCTGGTCAGACAATTTAACAGCCCTATTCGGCGGCGATGGCTTGCGTCTGGACAAAACCCCCTCTGGATTTGATCACGATTCCCTCCCCCATTGTCAGGTGTCCTCGCGCATTGAAACAACGCTGACGTCGTGCTCCTTCCATCCAGATATCGCGCGTCGAGTACATCCACTCGCGTGATCTCGTTCACCGTGATGTGAAGCCCGGTAACTTCGTCATGGCCAGATCCGAGAAAGACTCACCATACCTCGTAAACATCATCGACTTTGGCCTCGCCAAGAAGTACCGCGATTCCCGCACCGGCGCGCATATCCCCTACATGCAGGAGGATCAGCACGGCGTTGGCACCTGTCTGTTCGCGTCAATCAACACTCACCTCGGTGTCGGTGAGTCAGTCCGCCTCGCATGGTGGCGTCAGTGGCTTATTGGTCTGCTTGTAGAATGCTCGCGCCGAGACGACCTCGAGGCCCTCGCATACATGCTGATCTACTTCATGCGCGGCACTCTGCCGTGGCGGAAGATCAAGGACCCCGACGCGACGACGACGTGGAACCTGATTAGAGACAAGAAGGTCGAGACGGAGGAGTTCCTCACCGTCGGCCTGCCGGCCGAGTTCGACATCTTCCACAAGTACGTGCGCGGGCTCGAGTTCGACGACCTGCCCGATTACGATGGCCTGCGCGCGCTGTTCCGCGGGCTCGCGGAGAAGCACCGGATCGAGTACGACTGGGTATTCGACTGGTCGGTCCCGAAGCCGAGCGAGCGCAAGCGCAAGCGGAAGTGCCGCTCATGCCATGCGTGCAGCGCAGCGGCTGAAGCGGCGAAGGCGGCCGCGGCATTACGGCGAGCCTCATAGTGAGGACGCGTCGTGGGTCGGGACACCCATGTGCCGGTGTGCAGGTGTGAGTAGTGCTCGTCTGTGAATGGTCGTTTGGCAGCGTCGCTAATGGGTTGTGCTCGCAGCAGGCCAGTACGCCATGCAAAATCTTGATCGTCAGGTGCTCGCGCGATATGCTATGTAGTCTGGGAGTCGACACATGCGTACGCGGTGCACGGCTGACAGTGTAAATGAACATGCCCGGTGCCGTCCGACGCGTCCCGTCGCGTCTGCGGGACACATTGTAGGGGTCGCACGGAGTGCGCGCCGGGTATTCTTGGAGGCTTTCTTTCGTGGCTGGCAGGCGCCGCAGCTGGCTATGTATTTCTATGTGGTGAGTGCGCTGCTATTCTGGTGTGTCAGGCAGGGTTCTGACAGCTGTGCGCTCGCAGCCTGCCGCCGCTGACGCGATGGATCGGGCGTTACGGGCGCGTCTCGTATGTATCAGGACTCCGTCCCGACCCCGACGCGCCGTGGAACGTGCTGCGTCCGATCCGGGCGTCGTCTCCATCTCGACCACAGGACGCTCCCCCATTTCTGCGTCCCACTCACGTTATCTATGTACGGTATGCTGGTAGGCCCTTCTTCCTTCCGTCGAATGTTGTATTGCTCTCGCGGTTACTCGCCATCTATCATCTCCACAATCCAGAATGCACTCTAGGCTCGGCATGGCACATGAATTATGGGCTTATCACTATGGTCTGTAGGTTATATGCTATTTATGCGGACTATTTGGAGGCATCAGTGTACTGGTTGCTAGCCAATAAAACGTATGTGACATACCATGATTCGGATTGCTATGTGCATTTGTGAGACTCGGGTGCTTCGGTCTCTGAGCGGTTGTGGCGGTGGTGCTGCCGCTGGTTGACTTTCGACCAGCACGCATTTCGCCCGCGTCGAAGTCCTGATGTAGCTTTCTGACACAGACGCGAGTGACGTACCGACAGCGAACAGGCAGTGCGAATCATCGAGAAACGGTGCCGTGGCAGCATACGATTGGCACGTCGCACGAATTTGCGCGGACCCGCGAAATATTGATTGTTACCTCTGGCCGCCCGTCCACTACGGAAAGCGGGCGCACCCCTCGGGTCCTGCAGGCGAGTACTCCGCGCCAATGTCTATTTGTGTGGTTCCCACTCATCCCGGGTGCCCGTTGTGCAGTGGCCTTTCGCCGCCGTACATTAGTGGATTCCTGCGCATCCCGCGTTAGGCCGCGCCATGCTGCTACTTGATGCTTCGGAAGGGTCTTTTGTGTGCAAGTGCGTTGATCATGCGACCGTCATGTATGCTCGCCGAGAATAAGCTCCCGGAAGGACACGACATCGACTGCGTTACGAAGTGATCGTACGCGTACTCGTCACCCGTCTAAAGGGCACAACTAACCCATACAGGGCGGGGAACGCGCACGCCGATTGGCCCTCTCGCCATACGAGGACGACTGATCCTATCTGCTCGCGCATTCTGCACTCGCGTCCCCTGCGCGCCCGCGCTTCTGGGCGAGGATGACAGGGCACGATAGGCTACAGCGTCATTCTGCGCTCCTGTCCGACGCAGGCCAGGCCGCCTCAGTCCGCGAATACGATGCGGTTCCCTCAGAGAAACACGGAGCGCCTGCTGTGCGCTGGGATATAACCCCCCGCCGCCTATCCCATGGCTCCCCCGTGCTCTGGACACGTACCGTACCCGTCACTCGACATCCTTCACCGCTATGGCTACTCACGGGCACTACGATGAGGAGGCCGCTATTGGCACTCCCGACAGCGCCACCCAGGCAGAGAAGCCTAGTACGTTCACGTAGACTCTGCCTGGATGAGATCATGCTGACCTGGGGCGCGTGTAGTGTACGAAGGAGGTGACGAGTACGACAACATCCTGCGCTTCGCGCGCACCGAGGCGGCCAAGCTGGACCACGGCGACGACAGCGACGGGCAGGAAGATGGCGGATATTACCGCCCTTGGTTCGCCCCGTGGAAGAAGCTCAAGGCGAAGAGCACCAAGGAGCTCAAGGTGCCCGCCGACTGGCTGCGAACTGACATCCAGGCCGGCTTGTCGTCCGGCGGCGAGATCGACAGGCGTAGGGGCATCGCTGGCTACAACGAGCTGGAGAGGTGATTGATGCTATTGCTCACACGTATATGTCTCAGTGCTGACGATCGTTGTGCGTAGTCCTGATGAGAACCAGATCTTGAAGTTCATCTCGTACTTCCGCGGCCCTATTCTCTACGTCATGGAACTTGCTGTCTGTCTTTCGGCTGGTTTGCGTGACTGGATCGACTTTGGTGTTATTGTACGGCCAATATTTCTCGAAGCATCCATCCATCGACTGATCTCGTCTGTAGATCGGTATCCTGTTCTTGAACGCCTTGGTTGGTTGGTATCAGGAGAAGTGCGTCTGCTGCTGAGTTATCATATGCTTGGATCTAATACTGCACTACAGGCAAGCTGGTGACATCGTTGCTCAACTCAAGGCTGGTATCGCCATGAAGGCCACTGTCGTCCGTGACGGTCGCGAGCAGGAGGTCGAGGCTCGGGATCTAGTACCTGGTGACATTGTATGTATCATTTTTCTCTCATCGTTCTGGCTGACTCTGAACTTGTCCACAGCTCGTGTTGGAAGAAGGAAACACCATCCCTGCAGACGCCAAGGTACGTAGGCGACATTCGCGCAGCAGCGAATCCAGTGTTCATATTCACTTCGCAGATCATCGCCGATTACGCAGACAAGAATGGTTCCAGAGCACAGCAAGTTCTAGAAAAGCGTGGCCGCGGGATGTCGAACTCGAGCACCGCGTCCGGCATCGACAAGGGCCCTCCGTGTGCTCAGTCGATCAGTCCGCAATCACTGGAGAGTCCCTCGCGTCGGATAAGTTCATCGGCGACATCGCCTTCTACACTTGCGGTGTCAAACGCGGGAAGGTGTATGCCATGGTCACTGCCAGTGCTCCGTACAGTTTTGTCGGCAAGACTGCTCGTCTCGTTTTGTGTACGTACTTTCACAGTGGTTTGAGATCGCGGGCCGCTGACATCTGCCATAATTACAGCTTCCAACGATGTCGGCCACTTCCAGATCGTGTTGAGCGGTATCGGCACGGCGCTCCTCGGCCTCGTTATTGCGTTCATCTTCATCGTCTGGATCGGCGGGTTCTTCAGGCACGTCGGCATCGCCGAACCGAAGGATAATAACTTGCTCGTGTATGCCCTGATCTTCCTGGTCAGTTCTACTTCACACACGGGTGCGCGATCGCTTGTCTGACAAGACTGTAGATCATTGGTGTCCCTGTTGGTCTGCCCTGTGTCACCACGACGACGATGGCTGTCGGTGCTGCTTACCTCGCGAAGCGCAAGGCGATCGTGCAGAAGCTCACCGCTATCGAGTCCCTCGCTGGTATGTACTTACCGCGAACCGATCGCGGGCATTGTCTGATCTTGCCCCACAGGTGTCGACATGCTGTGCTCGGACAAGACCGGCACGCTCACGGCAAACAAGCTCTCCTTGAACGAGCCGTTCATCGCCCCCGACGTTGATCCCAACTGGTTCATGGCCGTGGCAGTCCTCGCTTCGTCGCACAACGTCAAGTCACTCGACCCCATCGACAAGGTCACCATCGTCGGGCTGAAGGACTACCCGGGCGCGCAGGAGATCCTCCGCAGGGGCTGGCACACGCACAAGTTCACGCCGTTCGACCCCGTCTCCAAGCGCATCACGGCTGAAGTCGAGAAGGACGGACACAAGTACATCTGCGCTAAGGGTGCCCCCAACGCGTACGTGACCTTGACGTATGTGTATCGCTGGTTCCTGTTGACACTTGCGCTGGCATAGGATTCTGCGTCTCGACAACTTCAATCAGGAGACTGTGGCTGCATATCGTGCCCAGGCTGCTGAGTTCGCTCAACGTGGCTTCCGTTCGCTCGGTGTTGCGTGCAAGGAAGATGGAGAGCCATGGCAGCTGCTTGGTATGCTGTGCATGTTCGACCCACCGCGCGGCGACACGGCTGCTGTATGTTTTTGCCCATTATTTGATATGTGCATGAATACTGAGCCCCGACAGACTATCCACGAAGCCATGGACCTCGGAATCAGTGTGAAGATGCTTACTGGTGATGCGGTCGCCATTGCCATCGAGACCTGCAAGCAGCTCGGCCTCGGCACACACGTCTACGACTCGGAGCGTCTCATTACTGGCGGAATGCCCGGCTCGGAAGTGCGCGACTTCATCGAGAGTGCGGACGGTTTTGCGGAGGTCTTCCCGGAGCACAAGTACCAGGTCGTTGCGATGCTACAGGAGCGTGGCCACTTGACGGCCATGACCGGTGACGGTGTCAACGACGCTCCCTCGCTCAAAAAGGCGGACTGTGGCATTGCTGTCGAGGGTGCCTCGGATGCTGCACGCACGGCTGCGGATGTCGTCTTCCTGGATGAGGGTCTCAGCACTATCATCACGGCTATCAAGGTCGCTCGTCAGATCTTCCATCGCATGAAGGCCTACATCGTCTATCGTATTGCGCTTTGTATACACCTTGAGGTCTACCTGGTACGTATCTTCAGCTCTCAGTCTGCATGCATGGTACTGACGAAACACTCTAGTGCACGTCTATGCTGATCTTGAACGAGACTATCCGTGTCGACCTCATCGTCTTTATCGCTATCTTCGCTGAGTACGTCCTGCTCAGTACATCACGTGCACAGGCTTTAATAACGCACGCAGCGTCGCTACGATTGCCATTGCCTACGACAATGCTCCGCATGAACGCAAGCCGGTCGATTGGCAACTTCCCAAAGTGTGGATTATTTCGACCATCATGGGTCTGCTCCTCGCTGTCGGCACCTGGATCATCCGCGGTACTCTCTTCCTCCACAACGGCGGTGTAATTCAGAACTTTGGAAGGTATGTTGATGACCTACCAATATCCTCAAAGCAGGCTGTCTGATTGGCGTCTTCCATCTAGCGTCCAGGAAGTCCTCTTCCTTGAGGTTGCGCTTACCGAGTCCTGGGTCATCTTGATCACCCGTATGGCTCAAGGCCCTGACTCGGGTCCTTTCGTCTGGCCGTCCTGGCAGCTTGTCGGCGCTATCCTCGGTGTAGACGCTCTCGCCACCATCTTTGCTCTCTTCGGTTGGTTGTCCGGTCCGGCTGTCCACGGAGGGTGAGTAGCCCTCGTCACTCGGGTCCGCAGGGTCGCAGAGACTGATGCGCCCGTCTAGTTGGCTCGATATCGTCACTGTCGTGAAGATCTGGTGCTATTCCTTCGGTGTTGTCGTCGCGGTCGGCTTTGCCTGTGAGTGTTCCATTTTTCCACCTTGGTGTAGGCGGGTTATTCACACATGGCCCCCAGACTACCTCTTGAGCAAGATCAGGTGGCTCGACAACATTGGCCGCCGCAACCGTAGCCACAAGAACACGAAGCTCGAGAACCTCCTCACCGAGATGCAGCGCCTCACGCTCGTCCACGAGCACGACTCCAGCGGCGAGTCGTACTACCGTATCTCGAAGGGTGCCTCGGCGGATGAGAAGCAGTCCGGTGCGGCGACCCCGGTGAAGGCGGAGAAGAAGCACTGAACGTGAATGATTCCTAACGCATACCGCACGGCATGGTGGCTTGCTGCCGCCCCAAGGACTTGTTCAATATCATGATAGAGTTCACGCACGAGGAGAAAAGCTCCCGATAATGTGTATTTCGCTTCACTAATCGTTGAGCCACGATGTACCGTCTACGCATTCTGTTGTCATTCATGTACATATTATAATCAGCTTCCTGAATGTAGTCTGAAGCATTGTTTAGAGTCAGTGACAGCGTTATGTAGTGCAATAATCACGCTGTAGAGCGACCCTGGTTGCGATGGGACAGCCCTGAACTTGAATTCGAGGCTCCGCGAGATGGCCCATGCGCAAAGACGTTTCCCGCTGGAAGCAACGCTAGGACAACATGTCTGTTTTTGTATTCGAACGTTGATCGATTTCTACGAGACATGAACGTTTGAACAGGTGAGCTCGCCACTGGCACGATGAAGCGTGGCTTCGTGAAGAAAAGCTGTTTCAAGGTATGTTTATGGCGGTGATGGTGAGTTGTTGGTGAGTTGTGTGATTCAAACGTCTAGAACATTGTTGAATGGGGCATTGGTTAGTCGGTACTCCCACGGTTAGTAAGAATCAATGCCTCGTTCAACAATCGTTGCGGACGTTTGAATCAACTCACCGTCACCGCGACTTGACCTGACTTTACGTGTCGTGCATTCAAGATGTCAACCGGTGTCTTCACTCCCAACGAAAGAGTTTTATGCTACCATGGACCACTTGTGTACGAGGCCAAAGTCTTGAAGATGGACCATTGGGACGAGTCGAATACAAAGCTCGGCTCGGTCGGGCCACACTACTTTGTGCATTACAAGGGGTGGAAGCAGACGTACGCAGGCTTCACCGATGTTTCTACCACCCGCTAACATGGCTGCAAATGCATAGATGGGATGAATGGGTGCAGCCATCCCGGTTACTGAAGTTCAATGAGACGAACATTGCGCTGCAGAAGGCACTGCAAGCGCAGGCATCCGCGGCCCAGGGCTCGTCATCCGCGTCTGCCGCGAAAGGCGCGAACAAGTCCGCTTCCGCGAAGGATTCTGCACGACTAGGGCGTAAAGATGGGGGGACGCGGGGGACAAAGCGAGGACGGGAGGAGGTGTGTGTCGGGTTGGTGGCGACGCATTCTACCTCGCCTTACTCAGGCTTTTGGCAGGATGAGTCTAGCAAGCGGCCGGAGATGCGGCTCAACGTTCCTGAGTCTCTGAAATCCCTTCTGGTCGATGACTGGGAAGCCGTGACGAAGAACAACCAGGTGTGTTCACCGACGTTCGATGCTCACTCCCGCTTGTGCTAACAGCATCCTAGCTAGTGAGTCTGCCGAGGACGCCAAATGTGGTACAGCTTCTGGAAGAGTTCAAAACCCATGTTCTTGCGGAGAAGCCACCTCAGTAGGTCCATTCAGTGCACGCCTTGGTCTCACTGTTGACGCGTCGCTTAGTCTCAGGGATCCTGCGGTCCTGCTGCCGACCATCATAGCGGGTCTGCAGACCTACTTTGAGAGAGCCTTGGGAGCCAATCTTTTATACCGGTTCGAGCGGCCACAGTACGCAGAGATACGCAAGAAGTACGTGACGGGTCCCACAGTGATAGTGGGGCAGGAGAAGGAGATGAGCGCGATATACGGCGCGGAGCATCTGCTACGAATGCTGGGTACGTTCTTCGGCATCCGTTGATTTCATGCACGCACGGCTCATGCTGCATGTGGCACAGTGAGCCTCCCTCAAATGGTGGCGAGTTCACATATGGATGCGGAGTCAGTCGGGCTCGTTCGAGACTATGCGAACGAATTGATGGTGTACGTATAGACCAGCTGCATGGTAGCGTCGTTTGCTGATGTCGCGGCATGCAGATACATGGCGAAGGAGTCACATCGAATATTCATCCACGAGTACGAGTCTGCCAGCGTAGCGTACCAGAACATCTCGCGTTCTTGACTTGCTGTGACCTGTCGTGACTGCTGTGTGACTTGTGTGACACTAGGCTTGCATGACGTCACGCGATGGACGAAGGTGGCACAGGCGATCCACGGCCAATCCACGTCTATATAAACCATCTTCGCGTCTTTGCCACCCTCCCCAACTTTGTTCCCTCCGTTCATCTCTACCATGGCGTCTCTTCTCTCTACTGCCACTCAAGCCGCACATTCAGCCGCAGTCTCGCTCATGACCGCGGCAGAGGTCAAGCCTGGCTCTACCATCCCACGAAAGTTCCGGTGAAGGAGGAGGAAGCAGCGAAAACGTTTACTCTTGAGGGAATAAAGGGAAGAAACGTATTTGTACGCTATTCGATTTTCGACATGTACAAAAGCGCGTTTAAAGTAGAATGCATAGGTCGGTGTGCCCGGAGCGTTCACTGGGACGTGCAGTGCACAGATCCCCGGATACATCAAGGCCTATGACCAGTTCAAGCAGAAGGGCATTGACAATGTCTATGTTGTTGCTGTGAACGACGTCTTCACACTGAAGTACGTTTGCTCCATTTGGGCCTGACTGTGCCTCATATGTACTCCCAGGGCATGGAAGGAGCAACTCGCCCCCGGTGGAACGCGTACGTGTCATTTCAGGTTCCCTCTGTGTGAGCGAGTGCTCATGTCTGTCATTCCAGCCATTCACTTCGTCGCGGATGATAAGGGCGCGTTCGTTGGCTCCCTCGGCATGCTCTTCGATGCGTCGGAACTACTCGGTGCGCCGCGATCGAAGGTATGTTATTCCGCAAGTAGCTTTCCAGTTCTCACATTGAGGCGTATACAGCGTTTCGTGCTTGTGACTGAGGGGGATACTGTCACTCACGTCGCCGTGGAGCCCGTCACGTCCCAGTTGACCATCTGCGCAGCGGACAAGATACTGCCTCTGCTCTAGACGAAAGACTTGCGTGTACAGAAGAATGACCAGATAAAAGTGTGATATTAGGTATGAATGCGCAATGTAGACTGCGTCGCGGGTGACTTTAGCTTCAGGAGACGCAATAACTCGCCATGGGTGGTGATTCAGGCTGTCGTTTCCACCGACAACCCCGGTAGGGAAGGGAAGGGGAGCTAAACTTGGACACTCGAGTATTCACATGCAGCATACAGAAGAACCTTCGGCGTATCGCAGTGCCCCGGGCGGATCACAGCTCCTCGAGCGATCGAGAGGTGACGAGACTGCAGGATTCTCCGATTCCTGAGATAAAGTGAGATATTCCCGTTACCCAACACCCTCGCTACCCACGATGCACTTCCTCTCGAATTAGATCATCTGCACCCTCCTATTGACGATTTGAGGAAACCTGGGTAAGTCGGGTCCCGGTACTCGTTGGATTGAATGCAGTCACGGAGTGCTCGTGTGATGCAAGTCGGGCGATGCCAGTGCTGTACAGACATCCATCCGGTGTCCTCGACGGCGACACCGCAGATCGTAAGTGCCGAGTCACTACTGAGTACTGAGTGCTGAGACTGACCGCATTGAAAGCACATGTCGCGGTGCTCTCACACCGTTTTGCAGCAGATGATGCACAACGTTGCTGTTGTTGTCGTGAAGCTCGACTGCCAGTGTCGCTTGTGCAGCTTCCTGTGTGGACTACAACTCAGGCTGTGCGATAAAACCGTAATTGGACATGAAGGAGGTCGGCAGCGTTGACTTCAAGTTTGTCTGCGAGTTGAGTCGCGATGTCACTGTGCTTGCTTGATATCAGACACTTCTGTAACTCACAACTGAACCACAATTGAAGTCACAAACGAGTCGAGACTCAAGTACTCAAGATTCGACGAGAACGAAACGCAACGAGCGTGTCACGTGGGCACGATGTACTGCGTCCGCTAACTTGAAGTAGTTTGTGAACAAGCTGATCGTCTTCCGCGTCGTTTGAGCGTCACATATAGCATACTGATCATTGTCGTCGGCCAGCAAGGGGATACGTACCACCGCCGGCTCCCCGGCATGCAGTCCACAGTATATGGTCACTGGTTTGCTTGCCAGCGCTCGGGCGGGAACCCACCGCCTTCGCCGTAGTTTCCCCTTCTTTAGTTGGTCATACCGGAAGCATGACGCACTAGGCCGGCAAGAAGTACTCGAGCAGTACTTAAGCCCTAGTGGTAGGATTCTCAGCATTGTCCCGATTCCGTGTCCACAGTCCTTAGAACAAGCCAATATGTCCGTCGCAAAGAAATCCGTGCCATACGGTATGTATTATCTGCAGGATGCAGGATTGTACCCACTGACGCTGTTGTGATCTACGCAGTTTACCTGGGCAAGTCCGGCCTGAAGGTATCCAAAATCATCCTCGGATGCATGTCGTACGGCAGCAAGGGCTGGCACGAGTGGGTTATAGACGACCAAGAAGAAGTCAACAAGCACATCAAATATGCGTGAGTGAAACACGACCCCTACACGACAGGTTTCCCTGACATCTTTCACGGCAGATATGATCAAGGTATCCAGACATTCGACACGGCCAATGTACGTCCTGACAAGGCTGTTGTTCACCGTATGGGCGGCTGAGGGCCGTCTGCGCAAGGTGTATTCCAACGGCCTGTCTGAAATCATGCTCGGCAAGGCAATTAAGGAGCTGCAGCTGCCCCGCGAGGAACTCGTTATTCTCACAAAGGTCGGGTCATCCACATTGAGCCTGTTATCAGCACCAAACTCAATATACACAGCTCTATGCCCCGGTGGGATCCAAGTACGATATGCCGCTCTTGGCGGCGAATCCCGAGGACTTCGGCATCATAAATCAGCATGGTCTGAACCGCAAGGTGCGTGTGCATCTCTCGAGAGTTCGAAAGCGCGTATACTAATGCCAAGCGGCTTGTAGCATATCTTCGACTCCGTGAAGAAGAGTCTTGAGCGCCTGCAAGTCGAGTACATCGATGTTTTACAGTGTAAGTGACGTAGATGACGGTACACGCGCCATGCGTTGCTCAATAGTTTGCCCACTGGCAGGCCATCGTTTCGACTATGACACGCCGATTGAGGAAACGGTTCGTGATTGTCAGGTGGCACGCTGCGATGATCATCTCAATAGTGAGGCAGCTGCAAGCCCTCCATGACGTCGTGCAAGCGGGATACGTGCGCTACATCGGCATGAGCTCGTGTTATGCGTATCAGTGTGCGTCCTCCCGATTGCTTGCCAATTTCTCGATAGCACACTAACGCAGTGCGTTCGCAGTCCACGCCATGCAGAGTGTGTGCCCTTGCCAGACTTATAGGCAAGATGCGACTGAATGCTGACGTGCACATGCCGGACAGACTACGCCATCCAGAACAAGCTCACGCCATTCATCTCGATGCAGAACCTCCACAGCCTCATCTACCGCGAAGAGGAGCGTGAAATGTTCCCCACGCTCAAGGTGAGGTACCCGCTCCCCTGTTCGATTCCTTCGTTCTGATTTACATCATGTAGTTGTTCGGAGTCGGCGCGATCCCGTGGTCGCCCCTCGGGCGCGGCGTCCTCACCCGCCCGGTATCTGCGCAGACGAATCGCGGGGAGACCGATGGGTGGGTATCCTCCGCTTCAGTATAGGCTGCCGCTGACTCGGGCTGAGTCGGGTCTCACTAGCTGGGCGGGAGCAATGAAGAATTTTGAGAGCACGTCTGACGTCGTCACCCGGTACGTTACATCCGCTGGGGTGGGAGTGCCTTTCATATGACAATTCTCCTCGGACAGGGTCGAGGAGATCTCGAAGAAGAGGGGCGTGAGCATGGCGCAGGTCGCGCTCGCGTGGAGCATGTCCAAGGAGGGTGAGCGTCAGCCACGGTTATGAGAGTTCCTGTGTTCAGCAGGGATTCTATGTAGCTGTCACCGCGCCGATTGTAGGCACGACGAGCCTCAAGAACCTGGAGGACATCATCGGTAGGTGTCCTCTTTCGTTTTCGAAGCGCCACGGGCGGCCAGAGGGCAGCCTTTTCGTAGGATGAAAGTTGTGCTGATGGGCTCGTGTCGCTACAGGCGCGGTGAATGTCGAGTTGACCCCGGAGGAGATCAAGTCCCTCGAAGAGCCATACAAGCCGCTTGAGGTCTTTGGGTTCGCTTGAGGACCTCAAGTCCGAGACAGGCCGCGCGCGGGTGTGGTTTGGTCGTTTCTATCTCGCGCTCCTAGGTCTGGGGATGGACAATGGGGGTCGTACGTATATGTAGTACGCAGATGAATTGCATGATTGCACAAGCAGAGTCATCAGAAACCCAGCTCACTTTAACATGTAAACACTTACTGAGCGGCTGAAATTGAGACCAGATCTCAATCGTACAAATGATCCTCGCTCAGCCTCGCCTTCTCCCCTCGTTCCTCAATCGAGTTGTACGACTGAGGTGAAATTCTTTACGAATACGGCGCATACTATCATACTAATTACCTGTGACAGCGTTCTGACCGTGTCGCAGGTAGATCAATATTTCAGCTTTACCACGGCTGAGCATTCTATCTCCAAAGATCAAAACAAAATTCTGCATAGGATCATGAGTGGATGTACATGTGTTCCTCGACATCAGGAATATTTCGACCCGCGTTGTGGCCACGGGGTCGTCCAATACCTTGAGACCGTACAACAGATTAGCAAAGTTGCTGAATAATGATGGTTCCATATACTCACGGACTGGACGCGACGGTGCGAGCATGCATGCATGGTGACAAGGCCGTCACTCCGCGCCGCCTCGAGGACCTTCGTCTTCTCGACCCTCGGGTTCCTCTACTTCGGCATTCGTCTGTTCAGCTAGCGTGCTAGAACGTATCACTTTCATGTCCGTTTCCCAGTTGTCGTATTCCCGTGTGTCATGGATAGTGCTGTAAGGGTTACTCAACTTTTCTTCGCAGATTGGCTTAGTCCACAGTACTACGTACGTCAGTATACCTCGTCCATGCGAGTGTGGCATCCTCTGCCTAACGAACTCGTCCCACCGATAGTACCGTTCCCGGAGTCCTGAACCCATCCCAGTAAGCTCATCGCCAAATTTCCAACTGCTGTAATCATGGTCAATGCCCAGACAGACGCCGCGCGACACAACAGTACTGGAGAAGCGCTTCTCCTGCAGTATACTGTCCAATCGTGCCAGGACATCATCTTGCTCCATTGTTGTCAGCACTCCGTCCAAGTCGTCGACCATGTGGTCTGTCCGAAGCACCAACGTAACAGACACAGCCTGGAAGTGGTTTGAGGCGATGCGAGACAGGATATGTGGGATCCAGGGCCATGCCGCGAAGGGGGCGTACAGCAATATCTCCAACTTCCACAGGAGGTCGTAGTGTGAAAGGTTGTAATGTCGTTCTGTAGGTATGAAACAATCAGCCAATTGACTGAAGAGACAACTGAGAAGACTTTCCGACCACGGCTTCGATTGTACCATCACGAACAGGAGATTCGGGATCAATATGGAGCACAACCCTTTCTGCAGATGTTGAACTCGCATCCAGCAAAGTCTGGCTTCTGCTGACTGCCGAGGATGGATCCAACTCCCCGCCCACTCCAATTCTGAGATTGCGCACTCGAGAAGCCCGGCTGATTTGCACGAAGAGGTCCTCGACGGCTGGTGCAACCCATACCACTTCGAGATCCTCAAGATTTGCACAGTTGAGTGGGAGAGAAGCCGGGGAGACTTGCTGTTTCTGCAAGCAGTCAACGCTGAAGCAACATAAGGTCACAAGCCCCGGGAGTGCTGACACGAGGCGGGACAGCTGGGTAACGCTCGACAAGGTGACATGGCGAAGGATCAGAGTATCAATGGAGCTGAACGCAGCCAGGTAGTCGATGTCCTCTGTTCGGACCAAGCCGATGGTCCACTCAGCATCTTCAATGATGAAAGTCGACAACATCGGAGTCTTGCCCGCGAGCATGGCGGCAAACGTCCCTAGGTGTGGGATTGCTTGACGTTTCCCAGGAGAGGCACCTGATATAACGACCTGTTGAACGACCTCACGGAGGCGCGGTTTTGCGCGGAGTGTCCTGGAGAGCGAGAGGACATCCTTCCGGTCTCGGAGATGAATGCGTTGACGTAGATAGTACCACGTCAGGAAGTACCAGTCTTGGCATACGAGCGCGCAGGATGTGAGAGTGAACAAATGTGGATCGCTGGGAGCACTAGTGTATTGGATATGCCATCCCATAGCTATGTGGTCGATGATCCGTTCACAGACCTCCACAGGAAGCCGTGGGATCGAAGGTCTGTGAGATGAGCATTCGGACGTTGCGGCTGCACTGTGTCACTTGTGCGTAAGCCATGTCACCCGCGTCCGGACAATGATACTTACATCGACTCGTCTCCGTCCATTACGCAGGACACAGTATACGCTACGGCAATTCGAGAGAGCTGCCGCACTGATGGAAGTGGCAAGGGAGTCGTGCACGTGTGCGATGGCCAAGCCGATCCTCGACGGTGAAGACACCTTACTACTGGCATCGTCTCAGATCACGGCTCTCCAGAAGCTAATGTGATGACACACTACATACCTGATCTCCGGTATGTATGCTGGCTACTGGACAAGCCAAGATGTGCTGTCCCAGTCGTTGGTCGCTTACGACCGTCTATTAGACGAGCGACGCTGCGAGCATAGCACATCAGTAAGGATGTTCGTTAAGGAAAGTGGACTCGTACCTCGCGAGACCTTTCAATGACTCTTGGTGCGCGCTGCAGAGATTTGGAGCTGGACGAAGAGGAGAACGCAGGGACAGCGAAGGCAATGACAGGTGATGTATATATGCATCGATAGAACGTAGCGCTGGCTTGCCGGCGCGTATAGAAGCGTCGAACACAGATAAGTGCACGGTGTCGGAAGCAGTCCTTTGCTTTCAGTGGACACTATGAAGTCAGTGCTAGATTAGTCCGTTATGGCTCGAATACTGTGCAAGGCAGTACTCACAGTACTCGCATGCAGTCCGCGGCGAGTGCACGTAATTCGCATAGAGAGCACTGCTCTCCCTGGGTGCAGTGCGCCTGAGTCTAGTGAGCGCGCGCGAGTGTCCGAACCTTGAGCTTATTGAATGAACGCTCATCGATAATCAAGTTGGACCACGTAGACGTGGGATCGAGGCTGCGCAGCCTTCTAAACCGTGACCGAGGAAGGGACACGCGGACCAAGGTCGCATCCGATTCAGTGCCAGCCAGGGATTATGGTGCATCGCATCTACACAGCATGCGTCACACCAGTTCATTCGGCCACCTACACATCAAGAGATGAGCACTGTGCGGTCGCGAGTCCGACACGACAACCCTGCACGACGAGCCTGAACGTGTGAGCCCTCATATACATACCTGGCCGATGCCCATCCGAGTCCTCGCCATACGCTATTATGTCTCCTCGAGCACCGACATAGCGTAGAACACGCGACTACCCCACTTGACATTGACATAGACGCTGTTATGTCTCCGGCGTACTCGCTGTACACGCTTCGCGCAGGGCCAGCCGGCGCGAACGAGAGGGGCGGGCTCGGACGCCGATGCCTGTTGTCCGGACCCGTCTCCGCGCGCATGAAGCTGTGCGTAATGCGGACGTTCTCTAGGAATCCCAACGCTGAATGCAAAGTGCGCATATACCCAGGTCGAGCGTGATGCGGACGACAGCCGCGTAGCGTAGCATCTACATCCAGCGAAGGCGACCTGAACGAAGCCTAAACGAAACCGATTTGAGTACATCTCGAGTGGCACCGGATGGCATATCAGCAATACGCGCACCCGTACATGGACTAACGCCTCAAAAGTCAAGTAGATGAGGTAGATGAAGGACTGTATCTGTCATGCGCATATATGTTAAATGGGTCTGTCAGGCATGTATGCTCGGATGTGGCATATGTACCTCAATCTACGGGGTGATAAGTACGCTGAAAACAAGCGCGACCGCATTCAGTTTTCGGTCATGATTCCGACGCAGGTCGCAGCTTCAACATTGCCAGATACTGCGCAAGGTAAGGGGATGTAACTTGACGAGTACCCTGCCACAGGACCCAAAGCCCGAGTCAGTACCAAGTCAGCACCACGAATTGAATCTTGGCAGTAGGCGATGACTTCAGTAGTATCGCTGCTTTGAACTTCCCCTGTAATGGCTGGAAATGATTTCAATTGAGGCGGTCACCAGGAAATAATGATAGAGCAAACGAAAGCAGTGTCCGCTCGTAGAAGCATACGAGAACGACGCAGTAGGCTACAAGTTGTCCTCCGGCCCGTCCTCGATCATCCGCGCGTAAGTAGTCTTCGTAGCTCGCAAATGTTGGTGGGCGCAGCTTCTTTTTCCTGCCCTTCTTGCCGTCTGCCTCTGTCCTCTTTCGTTTCTTTAAATTGACCGACCGGTCCGCGTCTATACGCCCCATTCTTCTTCCTCCTGGTCAGCGTCAAGCGAAGTTGGTCCTCCGCATCGGACGCCTCCAGAGTCCACGCGCAAAAACGTGTCCTCGTCGGCGGCAGGACGAGGAGGAGGGGGGAGCAGAGTCGTCGTCACTGACACGGTCCTCGAGTCCTGCACCCTCCGCTGAAGAGACGCCCGAATCGCCTAGCGCGGTGGGCGCCCCCGGACCGAGCGTTAGCGCCCAGCGCGCTGCTCTCGACCGCCACCACCGACTCGACCATGACCCGGACTCGCCCAGCCACCACGACCACCCGCCCGCGCGGCAAGACACTCGCATCGTCCCAAAGGATACGCGAGCTCGCGTCGCCAGCGACTGTCTGGCTGAACTACCGCGAGTTTAGCTAGCAGCGCCCGACAGACCCTCTGGCGACGCAAGATCGTCGAATCCTTCCCCTCCTACCCTTCTCCCTCGCTTCCGCGCTCCTCTATTGAACCCGGGCCTTTCTCTCGACTCTGTCGACATCTATTAGACGGCCCGCGGCTCTGGCAATACGGAACATAGCACTCTCGTGCCATGGGACGACCTCTAGGTCGCCCCCTCAACTGTGCAAGGTGGCACGACGGACGCGCATTACCGCACGGTCGACGTGCCCCGTTCATCTACTCATGAATGACCGTCGCATAGTGGGTACGCTGAGCCTATCGCTCGACGTACACGCTACCGACCAGCACAGACGGTCGAGAAGTGAAGGTACGCCCTTTATGCGCGTAAGCAGCACGAGGCCGTCCGGGTTTGTACTACCACAATTGCTCCCTATCGACGCACGGTACTGCTGTGATAGGCTTGAGGCCTTGAGGTCTGGGATACAGTCAAGATACGCATCCGCGTCTCGCTCATCGAAGGGGACACTTACCGTGAGGCTGCGTGCCATCTACCTTCTGACTTTATTCAACGTACAACTTGAACGTTTGATCGTTTGAACCTCGAGCGACTCGGGACACTTCCGAGTCAGTGGACATAACAAGCGCCCTTGTTGAGAGGCCGGAGGAGGAGAACAGACCCCTGTTTCCATTGCTCGTACACCCAAGGCTTTCAAATATTGGTCGATTTTCATTCATTTCACACTTGCTTCGCTTCGTGTGCTCGCTGTCACTTGATATCATGTCGTACAGGATGTTGCCCAACTCCATTGACGCTAAGCTTATGCTCCATCGCCTACCACCCCACCCCTAGCAATCCGAATCCTCAAAAGCCCGCTCGAGGGTAGCAAAGGAAGGAAAGTAGTAAGGGGGACTCGTCGCGACGCACTGCCGGGCACCGACACCGCTCAACGCAAACGCGCGAGCAAGGGATCACTGCCACCTGTGGCGGCATCCCGAGTCCGAGTCTGAATCTCTGATTCGTAAGTCAAGAAATCAAGATCCAATGCAGTGCAGCGTCGATCACTTACTGAACTACACTCCCGCGTCGTTTGAGTGTCGGAACAGTTTGGTTATCCTCGGCGAACAGCAAAGGACGCGTACCACAGTTGGCTCGGCATGCAGTTCACAATCATTTGCTGGCTTGATCGTCGGGCGGGCACCCACTGTCTTCGCCGCCCGTCCCTCTCTGCTTAGTCATACCGGAAGCATGCACCAGGCCTACCAGAAGTGCCCCGGCGAGCAGTATTTAAGCCCCTCGTGGGGAGGTACCCAGCATCGACCCCATTCCCCCTCTAACTATCCCCTCTGAACATTTCAACATGTCCGTCGCAAAGAAGACCGTCCCATACGGTGTGTTTGTATCCGCAGAATGCTAGATTATACTAATGCTGCCATGTTCTATATAGTTCGCCTGGGCAAGTCCGGCCTGAAGGTATCCAAGATAATTCTCGGGTGCATGTCGTACGGCAGCAAGGGCTGGAGCGAATGGGTTATCGACGACCAGGAAGAAGTCAACAAGCACATCAAATTTGCGTGAGTGGGACACGGCCCCTGCACGACGGGCTGCGCTGACATCCTTCACGGCAGATATGATCACGGAATCCAGACTTTCGACACGGCCAATGTATGTCCTGACGTTACTTGATGTACAGACGACTGAGAGCCGTCTGTTTTCAGGTCTACTCCAACGGCCTGTCTGAGATCATGCTCGGCAAGGCGATCAAGGAGCTGCAGCTGCCCCGCGAGGAGCTCGTTATCCTGACAAAGGTCGAGTCGTCCAGATTGAGCTGGTCATTGGCGACGTGCTAACTATACATAGGTCTACTTCCCGGTGGCCCCCAAGCACGACATACTGCTCTACGGGGCAAACCCCGCGGAATATGGCATTATCAATCAGCAAGGGTTGAACCGCAAGGCATGTGTGCATTTCTTGGGACCCGGAGTTCCGAGGCGCATATGCTGACGCCGAGCGGCTTGTAGCACATCTTCGACTCTGTGAAGAAGAGTCTGGAACGCCTGCAAGTCGAGTACATCGATGTCCTCCAGTGTGAGTGCCATAGCAAATGATGCGTTCGTTGATTGGAGTTGAATGGGCTGGTTAGGCCATCGGTTCGACTCTGGGACCCCGATTGAGGAGACGGTTCGTAATCATCCCGAGGCGTACCGCGGATGTGCACTCACACGACGGTGCAGATGCAAGCCCTCCACGACGTCGTGCAAGCGGGATACGTGCGCTACATCGGGATGAGCTCCTGCTACGCCTATCAGTGTGCGTAGACCAACTCCCTCTAACCGCTTGAACAACACTGACCGCACAAACATTCCCGTAGTCCACGCGATGCAGAGTACGTGCACGCCGATAAGGCAGGACGCGCTAATTTGCTGACTTGCCTCGCTGACAGACTACGCCATCCAGAACAAGCTCACGCCCTTCATCTCGATGCAGAACCACCACAGCCTGATCTACCGCGAGGAGGAGCGCGAGATGCTCCCCACCCTCAAGGTGCGACTCCCGCGAGTGCTCCCTGCATGATCCCTTCTTCCTGATGCGCCCCACACAGTTGTTCGGCGTCGGCGCGATCCCGTGGTCGCCCCTGGGCCGCGGTGTTCTCACCCGCCCGCTATCTGTGCAGACGAAGCGCGGGGAGACCGACGGGTGGGTGTCCTCCGCTTTTGACCGTGTATCTTACTTCTTCACTGACGCGGGTCTCGCTAGCTGGGCGGGACCGTACAAGCAGTGGGCGGGCACGTCTGATATCGTGAACCGGTACGGCACACCTGCGGAGACTGAGCCTGGTCCATCCGTGCTGACGGAATTTCACTTAGGGTCGAGGAGATCTCGAAGAAGAAGGGCGTGAGCATGGCGCAGGTCGCGCTCGCGTGGAGCATGTCCAAGGACGGTGAGTGTCAGGCGCGACTGTGAGAGGGCCCGTACTCAGCAGGGGGTTCTACGCAGGTGTCACCGCGCCGATTGTGGGCACGACGAGCCTCAAGAACATGGAGGACCTCGTCGGTGAGTGTCCTGTTTCGCTTCCCAGGTGCCCTGGGCGGTCAGATTGATGCCTGTGTGATGTGCTGATGGGCTTGTGTTGCTACAGGTGCGGTCAACGTCGAGCTGACCCCGGAGGAGATCAAGTCCCTCGAGGAGCCGTACAAGCCGCTGGAGATCTTCGGGCACGACTGAGATCTCAAGACAAACCACGGACGGCGCGGATGCGGCTTACTCTTGTCAGTCTCGGACTCCCAGTGTCACTGTATATGCGTGGTAGTATGTATTTGAGAAGGCTCGCATGTTTGTAGATCTACTAGAAACCCAGTTCATCATATAATGCGATGTTTCGATGGAGTGCTCAAGGTATGGTATAGTGCCTCAGGTCAGAGTCGGATCTCAGGCTGAAAGATCATGGTGAATTCGCACATTGTGTTCGATGAAGGGTTCGCTACGTCGGGCGCCGGGCGGGGAAACTGCGTCGCGTTGATCACGTGGGCGCGAAGTCCGGAGGTCGTCCAGAAGGAGAGCTTCTTCGTACCAACCTTGAACCCTCCGTCTCGAACTCTATCATGAAGTCTGCCCGGATGTTGTCCTAGTTCACTCAATGGTTGGAAGGCTGGGCAATGTAAAGACGTGGTCTACTGCCAGCTCGGATTCGTAGGTATGAATTTGTGACGCTTAAGTGTATACTGCTATTGCGGTTATCGGTGGGCACCCACTCGCATCACTTCGGTGTCAATCACTCATCTCTGTCACCAGGAGCGTGTTCTGGGAGTGTTCTAGTAGACTCCCCGTTTATTGGTGGGAAAGCCTTATACCCATTTGGGCTCTCGTAGAGTCGGAAGGAGGGAGGATGTGCTTGATTTCATGCAGACAAAAACTTGGTTGTGCCGGAAGAGGCCTAGTGAGTTGTCTGAACAGATATGGGTGCATTCATGAGCCTGGTCCGTGGGCATGCAATCAGTGGTAACGAGGATGTACTAAGTTCTCTCAGTTTACTGGCCACGATATATATCAGCTCTGGTCACGCTCCCCGGATGGCTTCGCATCGGACTATGACCTAGTTCGTAGACACCTGCCCACACACCAGAAGCAGCAACAGCCCGCGCACTCTACTGATTTGTGCCGTGCAAGGCCTGATCCCTCCATCCAGATGGATGTCCTTCGACACCATGTCTGATCTGAAGCCATGGGATTTGAGGTTCAGACATCTCCGCCTATAACCGGGTTTTCCAGAGTTTTCCCTTTATATCCAGCTGCAGCTACCGACGACATCAGTTGCACTCTGCTCAGCCTCTGACCACCACCATGTCTCTCGAGAACAAGTCTATGCCTTACGGTGTGTCCCTCTCTGCGGGTGCTCTAATCACTACTCACTACTGGTATACAGTACGCCTGGGAAAGTCCGGTCTGAAAGTATCGAAGATCATCCTGGGATGCATGTCGTACGGCAGCAAGGGCTGGAGCGAGTGGGTCATCGACGACCAGGAAGAAGTCACCAAGCACATCAAATACGCGTCAGTTGAGAGCGGGCCTTGCTCCAGTAATTGCGCTAGATATTTAGCTGATCGTGTCGGTGCGCCAGATATGACCATGGGATCCAGACATTCGATACGGCAGATGTGCGGGTTACAGCCGAAATATGCGCCGTGCAAGCAACTGACGATGCATGGCTGTAGGCGTACTCGCATGGCCTCTCTGAGGTCATGCTCGGCAAGGCTATCAATGAACTCAAGCTACCCCGCGAGGAGCTCGTCATCCTCACAAAGGTCAGACCACCCAAGCCGAGTCACCATCCTCAAGCCGCTGACTGTCTGCAGGTTTACTTTCCGATAGCGCCTGAGTACGACATGAACATTTGCTACATGAAACCCGAGGACTTTGGTGTGATTAACCAGAAGGGCCTCAACCGCAAGGTACGTGTACTGGCACCCTAGACACAAGCCGGCACATATACCGACGACATACGCCCTCTAGCATATCTTCGACTCTGTGAAGAAGAGCCTCGAGCGCCTGCAGGTGGACTACATCGATGTCCTTCAGTGTGAGTGCCATCAGGGTTCAACATCGCGGCTTGACGAAGGTCGGGCAATGCAGGCAATCGGTTTGACTACGACACGCCGATCGAGGAGACGGTATGTACGAGGCTCACGATACGGTATGAGCTAGTCTTACCATCGAACCTGTAGATGCAAGCCCTTCACGACGTCGTGCAAGCTGGCTACGTGCGATATGTCGGCATGAGCTCGTGTCATGCTTATCAGTGTGCGTAGACTGATTTATCTGACTGCGTCTAGCAGCCTACAGCTAACACCCACAGTTCACGCGATGCAGAGTACGTACCCTCGGCTTACTCTCAAATAGAACCCATCTCAACGCTGAGATCGTACCTGCGCCGACAGACTACGCCATCCAGAACAAGCTTACGCCGTTCATCTCGATGCAGAACCACCACAGCCTCGTCTACCGAGAGGAAGAACGCGAGATGTTCCCCACACTCAAGGTGCCGTCTCCCCGCGCCGGCTCTCCTGCGTCCCTTCGGTCTGACGGTCTGCGGGTAGATGTTCGGCGTCGGCGCGATCCCGTATTCGCCCCTCGGCCGCGGCACCCTCACTCGCCCACTCTCCGCGCAGACGAAGCGCGGGGAGACTGACGTGTCAGTGCCGCTTCCTCGTTCCGCAGTAGCTCGTGCTTACCTAGCCGTCCCGCAGTTTCATAGGACCCTACTCGACATGGGCGGGCACCCCTGACATCGTTATTCGGTACGTTACTCCGACACAAACATGCTGTTCCTCGTTGATGTGTATACATGACGTATGCAGGGTGGAGGAGCTCGCGGGCAAGAAGGGGGTGAGCATGGCCCAGGTGGCGATTGCGTGGAGCTTGGCGAAGGACGGTGAGTGCTTATCACTGATCACCCCATTGAGTCTGGCGGGGCATTCGTAGTGTTGATGTGGACGCGCCTTCTGCGTTGCAGACGTGACGGCGCCGATCGTGGGTGCGACGAGCCTGAAGAACCTCGAGGACATTATCGGTGAGTCATAGCTGCCCTGCGCGTGGTGCAGTGAGTGCTCATGACTGGCGGACGCAGGCGCGATCAACGTGGAGTTGACTCCGGATGAGATCAAACACCTTGAGGAGCCGTACAAGCCGCTGGCGGTTTGTGGCCATGTCTGAGGGGATGAACATCTAAGTTGAAATCTCGACGACCGGTTCAGTGTTGTGCGTGATGTATGTAACTGATACAATAAGGGCAACAGGTGGCTTGTAAGTAAATGGATGAATGCAGGCATTCCCTGCGACTGTGCACGAAACATCAAGTTGCACGTCGATAGGATCCTGAGGGACTAGACGTCCGAGCTTCCCTGTGAATTTGTTCAGACCCGAGCCATTGCGGGGACGCATCGACTCCTGACTATTCTTTAGTGCTTACATCGGTACACCGTGAGTAGGATGTTCAATTTCGATAGCATCGTCACCGAGTGCTCATGTCACTTGTCGTGAATTAGTATGTCTATCATGTACGATGTCTACCCATCGCCAAGATCACATTTCCATGCCCCGTCTCCTCACGCATGGCCATACACCTCCAGCGGCTTGTACGGTTCCTCGAGGTACTTGATCTCGTCCGAGGTCAGCTCCACGTTGATTGCGTCTACGTTCACCTGCCATCAGCACACATGACTTGCGCGAGTCGTAACACGACGCCCTTTCTCGAGCCAGCGTCCCGGACGGCGCGCAGCACAGAACACTTAAGAGACACATGTGAACAATCGAGTGAACTCACCGATGAGGTCCTCAAGGTTCTTCAAACTTGTCGTGCCCACGATCGGCGCCGTTATCCCTGCAACATCGTAGAAAACGTGTCCATGTCAACAACACGAACGCTCCGATATGGGCGATCGCTCGCCAGCCCGACTCAGAGCGCAAACACTCACCGTCCTTCGCCAAGGTCCACGCGAGTGCGACCTGGGCCATGCTCACTCCCTTCTTGCCCGCGAGCTCTTCCACCCTGCGCGCGTCCGTTTCCAGCGTCAGCGAGCAGCAGCACGACTTGGTGGGACCAACGCACCGGGTGACGATGTCAGCAGTGCCCGCCCACGTCTTCTGGAACCCTGTGAAGCTGCGGAATCGGCCAGGGCAAGAGGATGAGCGACCATGGATGTGCACGGAGGAGGGGAGGCACTGACGCGTCCATTTCCCCGCGCCTCGTCTGGGCGGAGAGCGGCCGGGTGAGGACACCGCGGCCGAGGGGCGACCATGGGATCGCGCCCACGCCAAACATCTACACGCAATGTGTAAGCATGGAGAATGATTAACTGGGCCTGCGCTGAGATGAACCTTGAGCGTGGGGAACATCTCGCGCTCCTCTTCGCGGTAGACAAGGCTGTGGTGGTTCTGCATCGAGACGAAGGGCGTGAGCTTGTTCTGGATGGCGTAGTCTATGGTCGGTGTCACGTCAGCCTTTTCATGGGGCGACCTGGCATTGGCCAACGCCACATACTCTGCATCGCATGGACTGCGGGATTGCATCGTTAGGATTGTTTGTCGTCAAGAGATGTGCGAAACGTACACTGATATGCATAGCACGAATTCATACCGATGTACCGGGCGTACCCGGCTTTCACGACGTCATGAAGGGCTTGCATCTGTAGATGATAAATATGGGGTCAAGTCATCCATCGAGAAATCACCGTACTGTCTCCTCAATCGGCGTATCGTAGTCAAACCGATGGCCTGTGGTTTCAACGCATTATCTTAGCGTTGCTAGCGTATCTCGACCATACCGGCGCTCACATTGGAGAACATCGATGTAGTCGACCTGCAGGCGCTCGAGACTCTTCTTCACAGAGTCGAAGATATGCTAGATATCAAGTCATCCCATGATATAGACCCGTCAGTACCCAATAATTGAGTCCACACACCTTGCGACTGAGGCCCTTTTGGTTGATTATACCATGGTCTTCGGAGTTCTTGCCCATGAGGTTCAGATCATACTTAGGTGCAACCGGGAAGTAAACCTGCATGCGGCCGCAGTCACTATAGACAGACGAGTACTCCATTATGCATGGACTGACCTTCGTCAAGATGACGAGCTCCTCGCGGGGCACCTGGAGCTCCTTGATGGCCTTGCCGAGCATGACCTCCGAGAGGCCGTTCGAATACACCTAGAGAAGACCGTCTTCAGTGGCCAGTGCATCGCACATTTCGGGGTCTATACGCACATTTGACGTGTCAAACGTCTGAATGCCGTGGTCATATCTGCCGCACGCATAAGTATAGTCAGTCAGAGCGACGACTGCCATGAGCAGGGCGCTCGACTGACGCGTATTTGATGTGCTTATTGGCCTCCTCCTGGTCGTCGATGACCCACTCGCTCCAGCCCTTGCTTCCGTACGACCCGCATCCCAGGATAATCTTGGACACCTTCAGACCAGATTTACCCAGACGAACTACATTCAGCGGTAGCGTTAGTTAGCACAGTACTCCAGTAAGTACGGGCGGATGAGTGTAGGCGTACCATACGGCATAGACTTCTTTTCGAGAGACATCTTATGGCTGTCAGATATGGAGATCACTCTCGATACGAAAGGATGGCAGTGGTAGAAAAGTGTCGTCAGGACTCATATATAAACACAACTGTCTCCCGGGCCCACGCCATAGACCGAAGTTTCGTCTTGAAGGCGGCTTCTTCCATCAAGACGTAGACTCGATGCCCGTACACGTCGTACCGTCCTATGTATAGCTTTTGCTGAGTTGAGGACAAGCATTCACCGGCCGGCTCGGATTTTAAGGATGACATGCTGACGAATCTGCGGTCTATGCCGTCTCGTTGATCACGCTGGCCCAGTCACACTGGGCGGCTGCGATGTTTATCGCGAGGTTGTCGAAACGTAAGTAGCCGGAACATGGTAAGCAAGTGACAAGTAAGCATTACTTACAGCCTAGCATTGAGTGCGGAATCGCGCTGCGGCACGTAGGTACATGTGCTACGTTTCGCCGAACATTTTGACTGAGCAGTGGCGCTTCGCCTCATTTGACAAGGTCTGACAAGGTAACGCGAGATGATGTGGTCGCTGAACCATCCGTCATCTAGCTACCTGCGGAGTACTGATTCGAAACGTTGAACATCCCACTCACGGTTATTAATGTACACAAGTACTCGAGGACAGTCAACGCGCAACTAGATGCTGCACAGCTGTGGGAGTGCCTGCGATTTACTTTCAATGTCACCTGTTACCATTGTTGTTATCAGTCACATACATCACGTACAACGCCTACCCGTCGTCAAGTTTCAATTTGATTGTCCATCCTTCAGGCATGTCCGTACACTGCCAACGGCTTGTACGGCTCCTCGAGATACTTGATCTCATCCGGAGTCAACTCCACGCTAATCGCGCCTACGTCCACCAGCCGTTAGCACGCCGCTCACACGACGCGCAGGGCACCTACGACTCACCGATAATGTCCTCGAGGTTCTTCAGGCTCGTCGTGCCGACGATCGGCGCTGTCACACCTGCAACGCAAAAGGCGCGTCCGCATCAATAATACGAACGCTCCGCCCGACTCAAAGGGACAATCGACGAGCACTCACCATCCTTCGCCAAGCTCCACGCGATCGCAACCTGGGCCATGCTCACCCCCTTCTTGCCCGCGAGCTCCTCCACCCTGCATACCCGCATCAGCAAGGAACAGCACTTTTGGCGGCGGAGCAACGTACCGAGTGACGATGTCACTGGTGCCCGCCCACGTCTTGTACGCTCCTGTGAAGCTAAGGAGGGCCAGATAAGCATGAGCGGCTGTGGAGCTAGGAAACGGCACTAACGTGTCAGTCTCTCCGCGCTTCGTCTGCGCGGAGAACGGGCGAGTGAGGATGCCGCGGCCAAGGGGCGACCACGGGATCGCGCCGACGTCGAACATCTAACCGCAGGCCGTCAGAACGAAGACATATCACAGAGATCGGGGAAATCGGGAACGGCACCTTGAGTGTAGGAAACATCTCGCGTTCTTCCTCGCGGTAGACGAGGCTGTGGTGGTTCTGCATGGAAACAAATGGTGTGAGCTTGTTCTGTATGGCGTAGTCTGTCAGCACGGGCAGTATCAAAATGTGCTCTGTTTGGAAGTAAGGTGAGGGTACATACTCTGCATCGCGTGGACTGTGAACATTATCTTCGTCAGTAGGCTGCTAGACGCTGTCAGAGGAAAGGTTTAAGCACACTGATAGGCATGGCACGAGCTCATGCCGATATATCGCACATAGCCAGCTTGCACGACGTCATGAAGGGCTTGCATCTACAAGCTCGATGGTAAGGCCGAATCGTGCCACGTCGTAACTGAACCACAGACCGTCTCTTCGATCGGCGTGTCGTAGTCGAACCGATGGCCTGTAACAATAAACGTTCGGTCGTACGCCGACAACAAGTGTGCCCCACCAGGATGCACTTACACTGGAGGACATCAATGTAGTCGGCTTGCAGGCGTTCGAGGCTCTTCCTCACAGAGTCGAAGATATGCTGTAGAACATCTTGTGTCAGACTGTACTCGATATATGCGCCCGCCTATGTCCAGGGCAGTAGTCTGCATACGCGTACCTTACGATTGAGGCCCTTCTGATTTATTACACCATAGTCCTCGGTGTTCTTGCCGAAGATGTTCATGTCATACTTCGGTGCTAGCGGAAAGTAAACCTGCAAACGGTCAACATACAAGATTTAGCACTCGGCTTGAGTGATGTAACCTTCGTGAGGATGACGAGCTCCTCGCGGGGAAGCTTGAGTTCCCTGATAGCCTTGCCTAGCATGACCTCGGAGAGACCGTTCGAGTACACCTACAAGCAGACATCATCAGCTGACAATACATACCTTTCAGCCGCAGCTCTAGCACGCACATTTGCTGTATCGAATGTCTGGATGCCGTGATCATATCTGCCGCAAGGATTGCAGTACAATCAGCCAAAGGTCCAGAGCAACTACGGGAACGAGGATGGCTCTTGACTGACGCGTATTTGATGTGCTTAGTGACTTCTTCCTGGTCGTCGATGACCCACTCGCTCCAGCCCTTGCTGCCGTACGACATGCATCCCAGGATGATCTTCGATACTTTCAGACCGGACTTTCCCAGGCGTACTGTACCCCAGTAGTGAGTGATGATTAGAGCACTCGCCGAGAGAGACGCACCGTAAGGTATAGACTTGTTCTCGAGAGACATGGTGGTGGCCAGAGGCTGAGTAGACTGCATCCGACAGTGGTCACTAGCTGCATATAAAGGGAGAACTCTCCCAGGGCACGGACCGAGTGATAGAGAAGAGTAATTCATCGTGACTAACGTGTAGACGAGAACAACGGTGATGTCAGTGGGTGCCCACCCATAAACCAATAGCACTTCAGCCAGGAAGCGGCGATAGCATGCCTACGAATCCGAGCCCATGGTACACGTCTTCGCGTTCTCCAACCTTGCGGTCATTGAGTAAACGAAGAGCGCAGACCCCATCATATACAGTTCGAGACCGAGCGTTAGAAGACTGGTAAGTAGATCTTGATATACATAATCGCCGTTCTCCACAGTGGACCGGAACAGTTTGCCTGAAAGACGCCGTGAAGAAGCGTGAGGTACTTACTGTACCTGATGGCCTCAGCATGTTTCGCCCGGAGTCAAGAAACCTCACGCGCAATAAATGGCCCACAGATGCCACCACGAAGGCGCTGAGTGCGAGAAATTTGTGCCTTGGTGAATGACATGCTTGACGACAGTCTGTACGGCGTGATTTTCGCAAGGTTTCCCAGAAGGAATATATCGTGTTCATCAAATTACGGCTGCGCAGGTGGTAAGTTAGGAGCCATGGACATGCCAGGTTTCACATACCAACAAGCAATGGGCACAGCCCTCCATTTTCCTCAAGACCCTGCGTCGTCGGCCCGGGAGACTAGTCTGGATGATGATGCAACACGGCATACAATGCTACGCAGTCGACGACCTTCTTGCAGATCTCGACGGGAAGGGGAGCCAATGGTTCGATCGGTCATTTGGATGTGAGGGTAAAGCAATCTATTAAATGCAAATCTAATGGAGCAGTTCAAATTGGTGATCAAATCACCGCACTTCGCACTCACAGAAAATGAGAACGAAGTGGTGACATGTACGGACTCGGATTCCGGCGGAGAGCTGATCAGATACGAGAATACACGGTGAACAAGTACAGCACGTACGGGGTGACATCTAGCAGGGCACCGTCCTTCTGAACGTACTCTGTATTGCGCGCATCATTATCCTGCGGTCCTGTGCAAACCGTGGCGAGCATTGTTCATTGCAAATTGCCAGCGCAGACGGACGGTTGTACAGTGTTGCTCCGCACATCAAGAGCCGAGACCTCGACGAATAGGTACCTCTGCAGGAGACTAGCTCCTCTCCATGCGAACGGTCCATTGACAAGACTGTCCTGTAGTGAGCTTCGTTACTTGGCAGTGCCAAAAGTAAAGAGTACATGCACTGTTCGAGCAAGAGACATAACACGGGAGCAGCAGGTAAGATTCAGCGACATACTACTACATACACCAGACCGATGAAGACAAACCACGTCCGGGCAGCAAGTATATCGTGACTAAATGGGCTTGATTTTGAAGTGCAGGGAAATGAGCGAGAAAATGAGACACTGACAGACAGACATGTGAGCGACGTGGCGCGCAAGAACGTACAGAAGCGGCATACCTTGAGATCCTGGACAAGGTAATAGAAGACCCGCAGTCCCTCAGGGTCCTCACTGTCTTGGATGTCAACCAAGGACCCTAGCTTGGCCGTCTATGCGAGATTGTGAGCACAGCGGCGCGGTCCCCTTCACGCGAAGCACGTACCTCGAACGCGATGTGGTCGTTGCCTACCCGGATCTCAAGCTCTTGCTTGCCGACGATGTTTTTCTTGGGCCAGTTCGTGTCGTCTTCTCTGTCGGCGACAAAGAGCAGAGTTCGGAAAGCGATAACACGTATAGTGCAGAGACACTCACTTTGTGATTTCGCTCGATTCCACGATGCGTTTCAACTCCTTCACCACCAGCGGCCCAACCCACACTGACAGACGGTGAGCATCCTACGGCAGACGCAAATTAATGAAGATGGTTGCACTGACTTTCCTTGCGAATCAAGCTATCGTTCCGGTAGTTGGAGTTGTTCGCGTATCGAAGACGACCATGCGAGTACTCGAATTCGAGGAACTCGTGTCCGTGTTTTCCAGAGTGGCCGGTGCTGGGTGACGCGTCAGAAAAGCCTCTCATAAAATGTCTGAAGGGCACTTACTAGTATCTAAGTCAGGGGGCGGGCGTGAGCAGATTGCGCACACGCCCAGGCACTGTTCTTCCTACCTAAGGTAGAAGGGGTCGTTGTCGTGCGAAGCCATGGCGAGGATGCGTCGAGGAGGTTGAAGTTCAGGTCAGAGTGCGTAGGCGCTTGTTTGTCTGCGTAGACGCCCGGCCTACCGCGAGAATGCAGCTTAAATAAGCGCCAGTAATATTACGCTGCAGTTTTGTTACATACTTGTCAGCGTAATACCAGGCGTCGGATGTACAACATCCAGCACGCTTGACATCTCAACGACGTGAGGTACTGTACGTTATTCACCTTCAACTTTGGGAAACCGGCCTCTCCACTGCTAACCCAGAATTGATATTATAATCAAATTTATAGAGACCAGCAGCAATATACATGGTACGTGCAGGCGCAGGGCGGGACAAGCAACACTCGACTGGCACAAAACACTTGCGCGAGTAGAGCATATACATCATGTATGATGTCTGACTCGGAATCTCACAATGGGTCCGAAGTGCGATTGACATGTGTCCTGTACATAAGTGCAATCAGTACCCACATCCCTGATGGGTTGGTTGAAGAATACGCACCGTAAAATGCCCCGCTCGCTCGACTGACTCATTTTGTGCCGCACGAGTTGATCCCACTTGTGCCATGTCCCGCCCCCCAGGTGAATCCCCAGCTTACTATCGGGGACTGCATATGCTGGAATACTGATTGTCAGGCAGACCCCGGTCGGAGGAATGCCGGCGAAGGTGCTTCCCGATAATGTCCCGTCCAGGATTTTGAGGTAGTTATTCCGGTTGAACTCGGTGAGCAATGCGCGCACCTGTGCGGCCGTATCGGCGCCGACGGTGAAACAGATACTGACCGTACGTATCGCGGCAGACTGGACCGTAGAGAGCACCCGAAGCATCCACCAGTGATCAGCATTTTTGGCTACCAGCGAGTTCAGAGACAGGTACTCTAGGTTCAGGTGGCAATGTAGCCTGGCGGATTGCACTGTTGATTGCACCTTCAGCGGACCGACATTAATGAGCGGTAACGGAGCTCACCCATATTGGTAAATGCTGCGATTGGCATCCCATTGGTGTCGCATACAAGGCGGAATACCTTGAGAGATGGCGCCGTTGAATCGAATAGTTGATGCCACCTCTGGCCGCCGCCCAGGGACGTTGTACAACCATCACGCCGATCTTGAGGTCTTCCACCTGCGCCGCTCTAACCAGTCTGGTGAGCAGGGACATCATGGCGGGTGCATGATCGTGCCAAACGCCCATCCTGCATAGATGGGTGATATACAGCGGTAGGACCGACGTATATGACCATGTTGATTTGCAAAACACTCTCCTGCTGATCAGGGAACGAAGGGTTGGGATGGCAGACAGCAATTGCACCAGCTGTGAGGGAGTAGAGAAGTAGACGGATGTGAGCTCAGGAAACGTGATGGCTTGGTCGAAGCCTCAGTACTTCGCTCAGTGACCTATGTTTGATTGCCACGTACAAGGGGAGTCAACAAGGCGCGTCGCACGATTTTTGACGCGGTCATTGATATCCTGCAATTCGCTGAAGTGATAGATGTCAGCGAATAGAACGAGCATACCTCGAACTGAGAACATACCATTCAGCTTTCAATCAGCAACGGGACGACTGGGTCACTGAGCTCAGAGTACGAGAGAAAGAACATGCGACACCTGTTTCGGCCGTCTGCCTCCCGGTCACGATAGCCCGGCTAAGATTGACAGTTCGAGCGGCTGATGCAGCTTCAAAGACATCAGCGTGAGCAGACGCTGCGCATATAACGCATGTACGAACCAAGGACGACAATACAATATGTACGCCCCATCGGTCTCCTAAAGGGACTCCGAGTACCTATCCACTATGTAGTATTACCGCGGCGTGAAGGTAGCATATAAACGCAAGGGCAGGGACGCACCATACAACTGACTCAGATATCATTCGACACTGACGCTGAGTTGAGATGCCGAGAGCAGGGCCGACGCATGAGAGGATCCCAGATGTTGGCGCTTCAGTACCCTCCTCCTCAATACTGTACCTCTGTGTACTGTAGAGACGGTCACGGTCACACGCCCTCCGTCTCGTCCCCTAATTCCTAGGTAGTCACAGGTCACATAGGGTCGGTCAATAAGACCTATGTATGTCGTATACATCGTCACATCCAAGTTCAAGAAGTCTCTACACTCGGTAGCACATCACCCCAGAGCTTCCCATCGTTCCAAGCCCAAACATCCTCCTCTGCATTTCCGGAAACCAGTCTACCATGTTCACCTTCGACAATGCTCGTTACACAATCGGCCTGCCCCACATCTGCTGTGACGACCTCGAGGCCAGTGGTTGCACGAATTACTGCACTCCAAGGGACATCGGAATCGTCGTGTTCGTCCTCCGTCTCGAGTGTTATTGACTCGTCGGCAGTGAGGCCCTGCACCGAGCCGAGCCGATTTTCGATCTCTTGGCGGAGATCGGCATCAGGAAAAAACACTCCTCGGAATTATGCTGTATAGTTGACCATTCTGAATAATACGTAGAGGCTCAGTAATGGCGAGTCATTCTGATGTCATTCGCAATAATGCATTGAATTCTTATTTCCAGACACTTCGCTGCTGTACGAGTTTGTAATTATGCATTCATTCACCAGCATGAAACTAACTACAGGCAGCAACATAATGCCAAGAGTCCCAAGACTGAATACTGAATAATAGTACTTGACAGCAACGATACTCGTACTCATTACAATCCAACAGAGCACACCCGATTCATTCATAGTTTCATATTGCTCAAGAAAACAAAATATATTGTTTGGTCATGATCGCATATTTGCGTCCGAGATACGTCGTACCAATGTCGTACTATGCTACAACACAACACTGTACATACTGGATCAGCGCAAACACTCACCGTCTGCTATGTCGAAAGACATGGGAGGCCATCAATGCTTGTGCATTGGAGGCCGAGGGAGCGCGAGCAGATGGGCGGCAAGCAGGCGAGCGAGTGGGGTGGGCGAAAGTCGGAGTGCGAGCGGGGGGGCGAATGGGAGTGCGAGCGGATGGGCGAGAGGAAGCGCACGCAAAAGGAAGCGTGGGCGAAAGGAAACATGGGTGAAAGAGAGGAAGCACGGGCGAAAGAGAGCGGCGGGTGGATAGGTAAATAGATGCTAGTGCTGAAGGTAATGATGGTGGACATGAACACCATCGTCAGCACAAACAACGGCATATAAAATCACCCACTGACCTGTTTGCCTTGTGGTTTGCCCGTCCTCTCTCGCACCACTCAATTGCATGTCTGCCCGTTCACCTCAGTACCAGGAGGCTCATGTGCTCTCATGTGTTCAATCACCTGTTCGAGATTGGCTGCCGTGCGCATTTGAGCTGACTACCAAAAGTGCGGACACGATGAGGTGAGTGGTCACAACGGAACCAGCCTCGCACTGACCGTTTTGAAGGTACGTTCTGACGCGATGCGTGGCCTGCTTCTGAGGGCGCCGGGCAGGCGGTATGCGAGGTGAGGGAGCTGGTACGGTTGGCGTGCAGAGGAGTCAGCAGTGGTAAGGAGTGCAAGAGGGAGAGGGAGATCTCCGTGGCCGTCACATACCGGGCAACAGTGCTCGGCAGTGTTTGCTCTGCAAATGCGTGCGGAGATCGAAGTCACGGGCTACCAACGGTCGTCAGAACAGGTACACACACCAACGGGACGTACTGACTGTCATGGATGGCTGTCCCAGCGCGGTACGGCACGGCGTAGGCTGCGATCTTTCAGTATTCAATGAGCACCAACGATGTACCCGAGCTGTCGTCTGAGTACAACGCACATTGGGATGCGAGGCTGGAAGGGCAGACAGATGGTCGCGAAATGGACAGCGGGTACGTACCATGTGCACATGTTCATTCGTCCTTTCGTGCTCCTGGGCCATATATCCTCCCGCGCATCCATCCACTGTCAAGTCAACGGGCTTATTGCGTAGTACGTCGGGCGTTGAGGATCGCGAGGAAGAGACTAATGGTAGAGACTAGGTGACAAGTCGAAGAAACGCACTGAGCGGCGCCACTGCGCGGAGTCAGATTATGACTTGCCCTAAACTTGATCTTGATCGACCACATCGCCACAACGCCACGTCGTCTCGAGCGTCGACTACCCGCCCACATCCACATTACTCGCCGAGTCGCACACTGTCATTCCAACCTCCATCAAGCAAATGCCACACCATAGCTGCTGCTGTCATGCGGAACGGCCTCCTACCACTCCCAGTTAAGCACCACAAATGTGCTACGGAATTGCTCACCTCGCTCACTCTCAGCTAGGTGCAATCCGGCGAACTCGTTCAGCTTGCAGAGCATGAAGTCAGAAGACCTCGTCCACTAAGTCCCAGACAGCCGCAGTACGTACCGTGGGACTTGTCATAGTCATCTGCATTGGCGAGATGTTCGA